TGGTGGCGCTAGCATCACATGCGCTTCTACAACTTTTAAGAGGACGAAGAAGAAGCCTGCGGTGCATTTTGGGTCAGTAGCATGCCCGTAGGATGCACCGAGACCAACCTACAATGTGGGCGTGTCTAGTATCTGAAGTAGTATCTGAAGTAGCATGCTACTCGCTCCGGTGGCCAATTCGGACATGCTAGATACTACTTCGACTACTACTTCGACTACTACTTGGCAATTCGGACGCAGCTAGTGACGTTGTTGTTGCTACTATGCAGGATTCTGATTGGCTAACGTGGGCTTGAGCTTCTCGCTACGCTGCCACCTACAGGTTTGGCATGCTCTTGACAGCATATGTACATGGGTTAGTGTAAACGAAAACTTTTCTAAAAACGTAGTGGTGTGTACATAGTTTATTTTTTAAAAATGAAAATAGCCGAGGACATGTAAACATAGACATAATCTTCGAATATTGGATGTCCATTCAAGTATTGGTGCTGATCTGCATGATCCACCTTGATCAATACACCTTCAAAATGAGACAAATGAGGCTGATGTTCAAATTTAGTTCTTGTTTCTTTTTCAGTGTCAAGTTTTTGGTAAAACTAAAACACCAAAAGGGTTTTAAATCAAAGGAAATCCTCAAACTTTTAAGGAGCAGCAGCTTTGTAAACATATTTCAGGGTCACTCATTATCAGTAACAGGCTGGATGATCTTCATGAGGAGGAATGTGCTGTAAGTTCAAAAAACACACACAAAAGACCAAAACAAATGCAAAAGGCTGAAACATGCCGCAAACACACACACACGATGAAAAGTCCAAAAAACACACAGAAGCAGAAAACACTCCAGATCTTCAGAGCAGAATCACTTCAGGCCTGTGGTTCTCAGTGAAACGTCTTCAGAGGTGAGGGTCTGCTCAGTTTGTGGAGTTATGAAGAAGAAGAGAGGATGAACTGTGACTCAGAGATGGAGAGAGGAGGCGGGGACTCTTCTTTGTAAAAATCACAGATTACTGAAGAAACTTTGCTTCTCTCGCCAAAAGGTCGAAAAGTCCTTCACTTTTATCTCAGATTTTGAAGGAGTGAAGAGGGTCCAGGCCGAGCAGCTCACAGTAAATAAGTGAGTGAGTGAGAGCGAGCCGCAGGGCAACCACGCCATCAGCGGTCCGCTTTGTAAAAAAGGATATTTTCTGAGTGTGTGTGTGTTTCTTTGTGTGTCTTTGTGGTCTCATTACCCCGGTCATGAGGATGAGAGTGTGTGCATGCGGCTGCAAATGGAGAAATCTTTTGTATCGATCCATCTCCCTGAGCTGACTTGTGGATTTACGCTTATCGATTCAGAGACCAACAGGAGAGTCGTTTTTTTTTACTTTTTCTGCCGATTTGTCTTTTTTTTGGTGACACACTCCGTCCACTTTCTTATTCCGCTCTCTCCTAAAAATCCTTTCACATATGAAACGCTTCCCCCTCTGATTCAATTTCAGGGCCGTCTCCGCTAAAAGAAGTCATGATTAACCTTGAGAAGGGACTGGGCGGCTGAGCGTGGAGTGTAAATGGAGGCAGAGACGGGGCTTTATTCAGGCAGCGGGGAGCCAGAAAAGAACTTCTGATGCAATAGTGAGAATTTTAGAAAAGCACAAAATGAGTGAGGGGAATAAAAACATGGAAGAGTTTCAACATGACGAGGCAGATGTTGGAGTGGAGCTGAAATCAAAGGGAAGAGGAAAGTGCAAGGTTTGAGTCTGCCGAGCGCATCATTCAGATGATTGTTGTTTAAACTCAAAGCAGGAAGAAGTGTAGGAAGAGGATTTAGGTTTCTTTAGATTAATGCTCCTCTCTTTGAACCTGCAGAGAAAACTCAAAAACACCGCTACAAATATTTGCTGAGAATCCCTCGTGACACGCCGCCGTGTTTTAGTAACGGAGAGAGAGAGCGCCGTCTCCTCTCTCCCCTCTCCCAGAGCGGGGTGCGCACCGAGGCTACAAGGACGGAGCGGGAGGAGGCGGATATTGGCAGGAGCGTCAGTTGGCTGGTGTTGCCGTGCATGACCAGGCATGAGAGAACGAGCTCAGAGCGAGACTGAGAGGATTATTGGCCGCCGTGGACCTCCAAAGTCAGGGTCAAAGGTCGTGCAGCAGTTACAGGACGGGCAGAGGACGGAGGAGGAGGAGGAGGAGGATGTGTGTGCTTACTCCTCTGTTGGTAAACGAGTGTTATGTTATTGACTCAAAAACTAGATGGTTTTTATATTTATTTTTCTTTATCATCACGTGAGGAAATTCTTATGTAACCAGAAATCGGTGATAAATAAAGACTTTGTTCGAGGGCTGGGTGATGTGTCCTCAAATCAATATCACGATATATTAATCAGTTCCCCTCGATAACGATAAATGGGCGATAACTACTCCACAAGCTGCTCACCCCCTCCCACATTAACTTTTGAACCGTCCTCCATCTCCTCACCTGTCTTTCCCTCTTTGTTACAGACTGGATGGGGTGGAGTCACGTCTCTGATGTAGGACAGCGTCTTAAAGGGACATGAGACCATAGCCTACCTACACACATCCAAAACTAACTTTGATTTATTTATATTTTTTGACACTAAATATATCGACATGGACAAAATGACGTCAGTTATTGTTGTAAATTTCGTTATCTGTAAATTTTTGGTTTATCGCCCAGCCCTACTTTGTAACAGTCCAGGTAAATGAACCTGATCCAAACACGTCCACTGGAAGATTTCGTCATACTGAGCTCGACCTCCTCACTCCTGACTGTGGTTTCATATCTGCACCTGTTCAGTTTTGTGGTGAGGGACACAAAGAGCCTGAATCAGTACTTCCTTATCTTTTCCTGGAGAACAGGAACTTTCTGAGCAGGTACCAAGACCTTTTCTGATCTCCTCTGAACCGGTTTCTCCTGGTGGTTCAAACTAAAAACAGATTCTTTTGATTAAGATCTTAATACCAACACGAATCCTCCAACATTTGGTCTGTCTTCACTCCATAGAAAGGTTCATTGAGTAAATATTGATTTCTCAGTTCAAACCAGCTTACAACAAATGTAATAACTCACTAAATTTTGCACATTTGAACCCCAGAATATTTTACGTTTACTCGCTCAAATTGTATGAATCATTTTCTCCCTGTGCTCGCTCAGTTTGTGGTTCGCGTGCCATAATTCATCAGGTTTTAGTCTGTTGAGATGAAATATGGTTGAGGTTGACTACACTGTGAGGATTTGTTGGGTTTGCATAATTGTCGTCCCTCTAACGGTCCTTTGACATACCTCACCAGGAGATCTCCATGCTGATTGGCTATCGCAGCAAAACTCAGGGAATCAGGCAAATGAAGCAGGTAACCGGTTAAACAGGGATTTGCATATAATCTGCTAACTTTGCATCTTCCCCCAAAGACATAATTTGCTCACCTGACAAAATCTTGCGTTCTATTGTGTCTTCATGTCAACTTTTCATGTTACATTACAGATCCTGGAACTGAAATATGTGGAAATATGAGTTCTCTTGTACCGTTTTTCACCCCCCCATCCTGAGTCAAACTGGAAGTCATTTCAAATCATTTTTCTTAACAAGTAACTCAAAGTGCTTCAGATGCTTCGAATCAGAGGATGCACAAAAGCTTGGCTCTGCAGCGAATCAGACTCCACTGACAAAGAAAAGATGGAAAACTTCTGAATTGATTTCTCCTGGTTTGAAAACCGCGGGTCAGAAGCTCTACATTGACTCGGTTCTACGTCTAACCTGCACATGTGAAGTCTTCTTGAACAGGTGTATCCTCAGACTTCTGATGTTTCCACCGCGGCTCATCAAAGTCCTGACGTTTAAAGACTGAATCAGAAGGTGACGACAACTCGGCATTCACTACATGTCGGCAACTTAGAGCCAATCAGACGTTACCCTCTCGGTCTTTCAGCGTCTGACTGAGCCGTACATCAGACCGAACTCTTACATCCCCTCCCTCTTATACCCGTGACCGTCCTCCCTGTGAAGCTCCTCCAGAAAAGAAAGTCTAAAGGCTCCGCATGACGTCAGATCCATGTCGTCCAAATCCAATCCTGCTTTCTGTTCTTTTCTTCGTGACATCCTGAAACACTTAACCACAGAAAATCCACTTCGCCTATCATCAGCTATCTGGACATCAGATTTGTCTCTCTAATCAACATTCAAGAGTCCTAATGGACATTCTTTGGTTTCTGCAAGACTATCAAATAAGAGCGGGGGGAGGTTTTAATCTCTTCAATTACCCCTGTATCTCCTGGTAATACAATCAACCCGCGCGGGCAAGCCTTCAATGGCTGCAAATCAAAAACAAATGCCGGGAAATCGAGTATTGTCTGCCGCTCTCTGCTCTCAGCTCTTTGCAGGGAGGGAGAGAGGATGAGAGAGGGGAGGAAAGAGAGGAGTAGATTAGAAAAAGTCCCTCAGCTAGTCAGATGAGGGAGCTGATAAAAAGTTCTTTTGGAAGCGAATCGGACACCACCATGAAATAGGATTTTCTGCCCCGAATCAAGAAAAAAACCAAAGCCTGATCACAACATGATCCCTCCTCCTGCCTTTTTTCCCTCCTTTAATCTAATTTGAAGGTTTTAATGGGAGTAAGGAAACGATTTGGGGTTGCTGGATCCCTCGCTGCCTTAATGCTCGGGGATGTAACTGCGATCCTGCATTTATAAAAGTGCTTTCTCTGCTGGCTCCTCCGATGCTGAAAGAGTGGTTTTGGATGCGGAGCTGTGAGGTGGGCCTCTCCTGGCACTACGGCGCTGCCAAACCCTTCACTCTTTACACCCCATCTACTGACTCACCTCCCAGCCGAGCCAGAACCACAGAGAGGCGATTAGAGGCGAATAAGTGTACGAAGAAGAATGTGAATATGAGAGCGGAGACGGAGATGAAAATTACAGCGGAGTGAGAAAGTGAAAAACAGACTCTCTCCACCTTTCCTCGTCCTGCTTTCCTCTTCTGGAAATCAGATCGTCTCTGTATCGCCCTCTCTGCTCACCTCTGGATTCAGTCGGCAAACAAATCGCACCATCTCCCTCTCCTCTTCCTCTCTTCTCTGACCTCCCAATCCCTCCGTCTCCATCGTGCTGCCCCTCTGACCTTCTCCTGGATGTGTTTCAGACTCTGCAAAAGCATCATAAACCATGATTATGTGCTGCCGGAGCCCGCTGCAACAAGAGAGAAAGAGTTATAGAAGAGTTAAAGCAAGGAATGAGAGACACAGGGGAGAGAGAGAGAGAGCGCGGGGGAGATTAAGACAAAGAGGCGAATAAAGACAACAAAAATGAGAGCCTACAGATTCACTCTGTTTCCACCGAGGTAAATCTGGAGCTTCATCATTTCAGAGTTTATGTTCGTTTATATTCACTGTCTCTCAGATCTGTCCAGCAGATCATCGGCCAAACGACATGTGGTGGGAAAAATGCCAAATAAACATAATCAGTCTTAGACTCAACGCCAGAAAAACTAATTTCATGTTTTTTTCCAAGCCAACGATTATCCACGCTGGTTAGGAGTCCAAACATTTGAATATCTTTACATTTCAAATCCACATATGTTTGTGCAGAAGACTCTATTCCCCTGAAATGCATATAAAAAAGTGAGGTTATCTTATATGCATTTAATATTTTCACCCTAATACTTCACATCACATGTAGGCAGCACAGAATATTGCTTTTATGGATATTGAAGCATGAGAATTTGAAAAAAAGTATATTTTGATAAAGATTGAAAACTCTCTGGATGGAGCTGGTGCTGATTTGGTGATAATAAACCTCTGCAGTGTCCTTCCTTCCTTGAATATACGACCCTACATTGAAATGCAACAAGGCCATTCAAGGCTCTGACATTGAAAGTGTTGCAAGGACCGAGCTGGAATGCAAGGACTTTTTAAAAACTCCTTTGGTGCAAATGAATCACATATTTGGCCCCAAACTTTCACAGTCAAAGGTCAGCTAGCATGTCTCATTTACAGACACTTGATCATAAATCAGGAGGCCCTGGTTCGAGACAAACCTGCAGCCCCCCTTTATCCTCGATGTAGCTCATTACTCCCTGCAGATCTCCTGCAGAGTAGGTGAGTTGTGTTTAGTCTCTTTGCTAAAGAAATGAGTCGAAGTTAAAAAGATGTTTGGTGTCTAGTACTATGTCTGTGACCCTATATGTCCTGTTGATGAAGTTAGGTGCTGTTCTGAGCATTATTTGTGGCTATAGAGTGGTGTTTTGGTTGAGGTTTGTTTATGGCTCCTCAGACCGCTGTGTATTGCTATCCTGCGGTCGTTACTAAAGTTGGTATAACTAGAGAAGCAACCGGTCGGCAACATTCATCTCTGTGTGTTTGACCCTGAATTTATTTTACGCCGGAATATCCCTTTAGCATTTCCTCATTGAATCACTGCATTATCAGCGGTCACTCAGGGCGAGGTATGAGTGGCCTCTCCTCGGTCCTTGTGGGTCTATAGGTGTGTGAAGAGGTTCATCCTGGACTTGCATACTCTGTGCAGTCTGAGTTATCTCTAATAACGAACTCCGAGTGTCGTACAGGTGTGATCTAATTCCATTCCCATCTGTCCTCGCCTGAAGAGACTACTCTGAAAAGATGAGCTGCACTTGGAGATACAAAAGTAGTGGAGTGGAAGGAAAAAAAAAGGATGTTAAAAAACAAACAAAAAAAGCTCAGGTGATGGTTACAGTTCACTGGTAACCACGGCAACACTGGCAGAGCCCCAGGGAGTGCTAATTTTCCCAATCTGTCTTCTTTAGCTCTGCAGCTAAAACACGTTAGCATAGGCCTTAGAGCAAATTACGCCAAGTACAGGGAGATGAATGCATGAATAAATGAATACAGAAAGAAAATGAATTAGTGAATAAATGAATAAATAAAAGCCTGATTTTTTTGAAGGATAAATCTTCTCTCTTGGACAGTAAAGTGGCAAAATCAAGACCACACCTCCGTCAGTTTTCCACTTAAGCTTTCGTTTTTCCTGCAGAACAAATCAAGGAAAAAGAGCAGCAATAAGTAAAAAGACATGACCCTGCAGCATCTACATGCACGGGTTCAAAATTTGACCTGAAGTGCATTTAGATGTTTAGAAAACATAGAGCAGCAGGATGAGTCCTCCTCGCTGGCTGCACTGTCCTCCCTGCAGCCATAACACAGAGTCCATCCTGCAGGTATAACACATTTTATTGATTGTTGCTCCCCACCAACACATTAACTCTCATTACTGCTCTACTGAACCGCCTGGCATTTACAAAGACAAATTCCTCCCCACACAGGCCCACCGAGACCTGAAATTAGGAGCTGAGAGCCCCACACATTCATCAGATACCTGCAGACACTGCAGGAGGTTCAGTGAGGGAACAGCAGGTTAGCTCTTTTTTTCATAGAACTCTATTAAAATCAATCATAAAATACATAATCTTTAATCTCTCTGCTGCAGAGAGCTCAGATTTTCATCTATCAGAGCATCATGTACATTTACTGCAGGATGCAAGCTGTCCAAAAAGCAGCACTGGGGATTGTATTTTATATCATCCCTTTTAGATTTTATGTAAAATAATGAAAAACTAAAAGTAGAACATTCAATCTTGAAGCAATGAAGCCTCAATCTTAAGGTCCTTACACACAGAGAATGATGCAAATATACAACACTGTGATTGAGTTTGAGTTTACAGTGAAAATACGTATGGTATGTTGTATCTGAACAGGTTAGCTTACGAGCTAAAGTTACTTAGCACAGATGAAAGTTCAAACAAAGACGTTTCTCAAACTGTTAAAGCTCACAAACCATCGTCATATGAGAAATCCGACGCTATGACTCTCCACAAGTCGTCCTTCAGGTCGTTATCTTTGTAATGTTTGTGTCTTTTATCAAAAATCACTCTGTTCTCCGACACATAAACAATCAGCCGGTCGGCCATGTTGGATATACCGGTGAATCTGACGTCGCAACAACACGAAATCTGATTGGTCAGAAGTGGACACACAGTGTGTGAAACTTTAGAAAATTTGGCTGTGATAGGAAAAAATAAATTCTGAGATATCACAGGACAGGAAAACGTTGCTGATGTGGACGCTTGTATTGACAGGATACAGGTTTGAAAAAAAATATTGACGTCCGAAATAATCGCATGAAAAAAACACTCCCGGTGTGAAAGGACCAGGAAGACCGACTGATAATCTCAGTAATATTCCACATATTTATCATGAATCAAACTTGGACCAGTAAAGTGTTTTCAACTGTATATATCAACTAATATTTCTGAAAATATTGGTGAGAATTGGCGAGTTTTGGCCAATTATCGATAAGTCTCAAACGGGCTAAAATTGGCCAATTTAATCGACTCGCCGATAAATCAGTGGAGCCCTAATTTGTTACCTTTATTTTTAACAAGCCTAATGTCAAACCTGATGCCTTCACTCATTCACTCACTCTTCACTCAGTTCATTCATTCAACAGTAGTATTGGATCGGTATCGAATATCGGCCGATACGTCCAGCCCAGGTATCGTATCGGACTGGATCTGAAAAAATAGATCATGCATCTCTACTCAGTCTTTGTGTCATCCTCATGATCGGTAAAAAATGTTGTAAAACACTGGAAAGGTGGCCACAGGGCAGCTACAGGACTGCTTTGTAAAACTCAGTGTTGTGCATGAAGAGAATAATGAATGTATTTATATTTTAATGAGTTCAATGATCAGGAGTGTGAATGCAGCTCATCCTGGAGGACCTCAGAGGTATCCTGAGCTGCAGAGAGTTGTCGAGGTCTGCTGAAATCAGATTTACGTTACCGCACATACACTCAGCGTGGATGCTGTGGTTAGCTGTAATTAATTTAGTGAGTATCATCACTGAAATGAAGCCAAAGCTCTTGAAGAGAAGAAGTGATGACAGTCCCTGCAGATGTCAAACCATGGGGCGAAAACGTGACCTGAATCCGACAGGTAGTCATGGTGTATCACAGCTGATTTCTACTGTTGTGTTCAAATATTAAACTTGAGAAGGAGAACTGAACTTTTTACAGATTAAAAACCACAAACGTGTCTGTAAAATCTCTCCACGCTGCTCATTTATTCTGTAAACATTATTTTCTATTCAGCCGCCGGGCTTTTCAACCACAAACAGCATTTTTCAGACAGTTAACAGCCTGAATCCCATCAGAAAGGATCCCTCGGCCTTTAATGGAGCAGTAATGTTGAAATGCTGAGCTGTTTCATAATGCAGAGATGAGAATTACACTTTGATTAATGTTGTGGAGAAATAAAGAGAGGAGTTATCTTCTGTGTTATTATGCTTTCCTTTCTGTCGTGGTCCCTCTTCAGACCGTCTGTGGACAAATTGAATTGTCTTCCCTCTGAAAAGCTGCAGAATCTACTTCAGTCTGATTGATGTCTCTCAAGTATGTGAAGGAGGAAGAGCTCAATTAAGGTGTGTGAGCGTGTGTGTGTGTGTGTGTGAGAGAGAGAAAGAGAGAGAGAGAGAGAGAGAAGAAGGGGGGCAGAGTGTAATTGAGTTAAAGTCTCCCAAGGCCAGAACTGAATTAAGAGCAGATTAGAGGCCGAGTGCTGAGTGTGTGAGTGTGTGTGAGAGAGTGTGTGTGTCCCTCTGCACCTCTGTACATGTGCCTCTGAATTGCTCCCCTGTGTGTGTGTGTGTGTGTGTGTGAGTGTGTGTGTGCGTGTGAGCAAAATGGTGCTGAAAGACGATATTAAATGTGGCTCCGATTTAAAAGCCTGTTTTATTTTCATTCAATTCACAATCACCTGAGGAGAAATAGTTCTTGTAAAACAAAATGTGGAAATTCAAGATATGACAGGATGAAAGTTTAGAGGTCCTGAGGGGCTTTTTATTCACTCTGATAGAGAATACAAAACAGGCTGAGTGTGTGTTTCAGATTAACGGTACTACATCGTGTGAACACGCTGCATCAACCTTTATTATCTTGTTAAAGCTGCAATAATCATTTCTCTACGTCTCAGTGTCTCTTTTATAGAGTGTGTGCAGATTAAAGTATCGCTCACACTGAGAATCATTAAATCTGAGGTTCCCTTCAGATCTGTAGAAGATTTTAGTTTTAGGTTTTATTTCAAACAAGGGGGCCAAAAAGAAACAGCTGTTAGCAAGCTAACTAACATCAAAATCAGGAAATCTGGAAAATTTCTGGAAAATTTAGGTAAATTTTCAGGATATTAAAATAAGTCTGGCAATTTTCAAGTAAATTTTAGGAAAATCTCAAAATTTTCAGGAAATCAAAAAAAAAAAAGTTCGGAAACTTTTCAGGAAATTCCCTCTCAAAAATATGGAAAATTTCAGGTAAATTTCAGGAAAATCTCTGCGGATCTTCTGGGAAATCTAGAGAAATTTTCAGAAAATTCTCAGAAAATTTTGAAAAAATCTAGAAATTTTAAGGTAAATTATAAAAAAATCAATAGGAATTTTCTGAAAAATCTAAATAAATTATTGGAAAAATTTTTAGGAAATTTTTAGAAAATTTTGGAAAAATTTCATGAAATTAAAAAAAAAATCTGGAAATTTTTAGGCAAATTTTAGAAAAACGGGAATTTTTCAGGAACATTTTTAGAATGTCTTTGGAAATGCTGTTATCCTTTTTTGATCTTCACTATTGAAACCGCTGATCCTTTACTATAAAATTTCCATAAATAATAATCTTTCCTTTTAATCTCATATTTTTAACTTTTTTTTAACTTTTCAACCCTTTTGCAATGCACCTGATTGCAATTAAGTTTATTTTTTTTCAAATAGTTGGCACACCAGGATGGATATGAAGGATTTTGACACTTTTTTTTTAAACCTTTCTATTAATGAGGAGAAATCTAAATGTATGCCCAGTATCATATGACAAGTAAGAGGAATAGGAAGATGTGGAATTAGCATTGGTATTTTTTTTATCCTGTTACGTGCCGCTCGTTCAGGTTCAGGACTCCTACCCTGGTTTCCTGTTTTTGTGGGTTAATTGAAGTAAACCTCCACTTGAAATACTGCTGTCTAGTGGAAATATCTGAACTTTCTGTCCATGTCCTGGAGTCTATTATTCATGTTATCCTGACACAAGCTGCCTTGAGAGAGTGTTTTTCAAACAAACTGAGCTGAAGTGATTCAGTGACGAGTGCGACTTCAGAATGAGTCACAGCGAAGTGAATAACTCTCACAGAGGGCATGTAAGCAGACCCTCGCCTCGCATATGCCAGATATGTTTCATTAGCGGGAGCTTTTCTGTCATTGTCCAAGAAATGTGACATGAGTCATAAATGAGTCATTCGTCACTGAGTTCAAATTGACTTATAGGCCTCTGATTTGACCTATCATGACCTTCTGAACCACACTACCGCACATAGCAGAACCTCAGAGCGAGGGATGATGCGTCTCTCCACAAAAAGGTGTCCTGGGCTGCACCTTCCTCCTCTCAAACCACTTACAGATGTTGAAAAGATTTCAAAAAGCCTCCTCTCACTTCCTGCTCTGACGTCGTGTCTACAGAGCTGAGAATGTGGATGTTGCACCGGCACAAATACGGCGTCAGGCACGGCCGCCCTGCAGCAATGATGTCATTGTCCCGCCCTGTGTTTTGGCACAATCCGGGCAAGATTACGAGTGTTCGCTCAATCTGTTAATCTCATTCACTTTGTCCGGTGTGTGACTGTATGTTATTTTCTTCCCCTCTTTGTCTACGCTGTGACTGATGGCGTCCACATCACCTGGCATGTGTGACCGTAAAAACGTCCAGGGTAAGAAACGGCAATTGTGTGTGGGTGCGTTTGATTTGTATGCGTCAGCAGCTGCCTCTGGGTCTTTGTCCCCTCCAGATGTTTCCCTGAGCCACCCAAAGTGCTGCAGCCAGAGAGCAGAAATCCACCAGAGGCCGTAAAGCCCGGGCTGTAAATTCGCTGCGTGCCTCAACCTCTATTTGCACCTGAATGGATTCATGCTGTGAGGCTTGAGTAGGGGAAGAAACTGACTCACATACAATGCAGCGCAGGCACAAAGTGAAGGAAGCCGCATGCATCCTCCCCCTCCTCACTTGTTGACCAGGCTGTGCAGGAGAAGCTGCTTTTAAATGGAAATGAGGAGCAATTGTTGACCCGCATTTCTACAACGAGATGAGGCGAAGACGAGCTAACAGGGGATGTGAGGAGACGCTTTATCTGGATGTAATGACGCATTTGGTCAGCTGCTCTCTGAAGGGTCCTAAAAGTGTCCTCAGAGTAATTACAGAAGAAACAACGAGGTCGGGGTTTAGCTTTTGGACTGTTTACAGGCTTTTGTCCACTATGTTGTAAGGAGACAGGATTAAAGCGTACATGTGTTTAGGTTTTAGATTTAAAGGGACAGTTCACCCAAACAACAAATTGATGCATTTTAACCCGAGAACACTATCACCGGGTGATTTTCATGATGTTGCGTTTGTCTGAGTATCATGGGTCTATGGGTAGCTTCAGCATTTCCTTTGACATCTTTGAAGACATATTTGTTTCCCTTATCCAAAACCTGATTTTTCCTACAGACACATGTTCACAGGGTGATTTTCACCCGGCAATAGTGATAGAGGGTAAAGTAGGTTTGGGTGGATTTGATAGCTGCATGTAGGGAATAAGGTCAGTAAGAGTGGTCCTGGAATCTACATGCTATCTTTATTTAGCGCAGTGGTTATGAATAACTATCACAAAGTAGAGATTTTTTAAGGGAATTTATGTGGTGATAAGAAATATTTAAGTCAGCTGGTCATTTTTACTCCAAATCTTCCATATTTTGGTTCTCTCTCCTGCATCTGTTATTGTGCCAAAGACCCTGAGTCTGAACCAGGGAAGACTCACATGAACCAGGAATGGGTGGAGAAGAAACTAAGTTTATAGTTTATATATATTTTTATTTTAGGAATTTTTTATTCCCCTCATGGCACTTTTTTCCTCCCTTTGGACATTGCACAGTTAAAAATAAACTACTTTAATTTGTCACATATTGTCCTACTTTGATATATTTTGATGACAAGTACTTTTTCTTGTGTATCTTATTTCAGGTAAAAATCACCCGCTGATTGTAATGGTGTTACTAATTTTAGTGATAGTGTTCTAGGGTTAATGACAAATGAGCTCATGAGGAAACTAAATATTTCCGACGTTTGATCAGATGGATGAAACTTTTGGTGAAAAACACTACTTAGGCATACAGAGGAGGAGAAAGGCAGAGACTGTTTTGTCCACAGGGGGCACCAAACTGACACAAACTGAAAGTTCCACACCAGAGCTTTAAAACAAAAAGTTTTTCTTCTTGGCACTAGTTTGGGAAATCAAAAAAACTGTCTTCACAGATACAACATAAACCTGTTTACGGTAATAAGAAGTGTGAAGAAATGAAAATATTTAGCTGTGGCACCATTCAGTTTCTAGATTAACATGCTCCCTTGCTCACCCCTCCAGCTGATAAGGCTACAGTGGCCTTTTAGGACAAAAAGCTCCTGCTGTACATGATCAGTACAATCCTCCTTTTTTCAAGACTTACCATCAAAAACATTTTCCAATACAAATAAATTTTGCACAAAACAGTCGATGTCTTTTCCTTCTTCTTTGTCTTCCGACCAATCACAAGATACAAAAACACATCTGCTGTTGACGGTTTGTCCGTATTCTGCAAAAATCCTGCAAAATATTATTGGTCTTAAAATTATAAGTCTTATAATTACATTATTTAAAGTTCCTGTGAGGAACTTCTATTCTGTGTCAGGTTTGGCGCCCCCTGTGGACAAAGCAGTCCAATCAAATCTCATCACTTTTGTCAAATTCATCATTTTTTGTTGTGAATGCTTTTTGTGGAAAATACAAAAACAAGACTGTTTCTGCAGCTTCTTGGCTGACACCTTCCCTCCTAATCTTTGTCGTGTTTCTTGCCTTTGAATAAATCACATCATAAAATGCCTCTAATATGAATTTCAGTCGATCTTATAAACTTAAAAAACTCCACATGAGAGCTTGAACTGATCTCAGAGCAAACAAAGACTCTGTTTGTTTGTGGAGAAACAATATTCCTGTTCCTGCTAAGACTCCACAGACCTCCTCGGTAACCAGGTTAGGCTCGGCTTTCTGCACAAACTCGATTACTTCAGCGTAAACTCAAGAAACCAGGTTCCACTAATTGGTGGTGGGGGATTAGATAACGCGGTTACCCAAGATAAACATCACCTAGAGAGGGTTAAATTCCTTTTCTAGTCCACATGTAACCTGGTTACGCATCACTTTTCCCATGGTTGTGTACAAAGCGTGAAAACGTCAGGTTACAAAGGTCTGCAGGAGTTTCTTCTCCTCGTGTTTTTGGAGCCTGTTTTCAGCCGTGAAGCTGATTTAAGAGTAAAGTTTGTGTTTTCTTTTAATCACTCTCTCTCTGCTTTCCTTCACTCCCTCTCCCTGCCCTACATTCTCTCTCTCTCCCCTTTGTTTCTGCCTCTCGCACGCCCACATGCTCACGTACATATGTTTACTTACGTTTGAGCCGTGTACTCTGAACGCCACATTAACTCCATTTTGTCACTCATCATAGAGCCGTGTTAACACCGCGACCTTTCAGCGCACGGGCTGACGTATCATTACTGATACCCTGCGAGAGCCCGGGACTGCGCCCATTAGAGGGTCATTTAACAACCTCAGCGTAATGACAAAATCACTCCCTGTAGGTGCGCTAAATGGAACCGATCCACAAACACAAAGAGCGAAGCGAAGCGCAGAGCTTGATCTTGTTTTGCATCAGTTGATGTAAGAATTGAGGAATGTTAAATGCAAATAAACAAGGCCGTCGATTTGGGCGCCTATGGCTGGATTGTGAGCGATTGATTGCAGAGATGGTGAAGATTTCTATCTTGATTTTTATGTCATCAAACAACCAGAACAGTTCAGTTGCTGTGAGCTGTGCAGAGACAGAAACACAAGTTTCAGTCATAGGGAACTTTACTGTTTCTCGGATAGACTGCAGAAGAGTCTTATTAGACTCTTCTGCAGTCTATCCCAGAAACAGAAACAGTTTTTCTTTAACAAGAACTCATCCTAACCTGATTTATTTAACTGAAATCATGTGAAGGAAACCCCTACTCACACATCTTTGAGCAATTAAATGGAGCAAGTTATTTGTGCAAATTAAGAAAGTAAAGCCAAATATCTCAAATATGCACAAATTCGGCGAGTATTTATGGAAACTGGAGTGAAAACAACATAACAAAAGTGAGATAGGATTGCATGTAAAGCTGCTGCTGTGTGCACAGAGTGTGAAATCACACACCTGGACAGCAATAGCAGGAAGTCATGGGATCGATATGAGAGTGTAAAGACATGAAGACGTTGAAGTCGGCTCCTGATTCGCACAGTTTTTCTAAAAAGTCGGGTTCTGATGTGCATCTGTGCAATTTATGCTTTAAATCTCATGCATGACTGATTACTATGCATAGACCCCAAATTACGATGCTGTGTGACCCCCTTCTAAAAGCAGAAAAAACAAGCAACACTATTTCTTCAATCTTAAATGTTCACATCTGGAGAGGCTGAGTGCAAACAAACCGGGCGGCGTTTTTTTTTTCAGCTTCTGAGGGGCTAAAAACGGGGCAGACCCTTGAGATGCTCTCTGGAGTCCAGAGCTGTCTAAGTCTGGCTTTATTATGGAGAGCACACACACACACACACACTCACACACACAGAATAACAGCACCGGGGGGCACACACTCATCAGAGAGGCTCCAGTTTGTGCACAGTAACACCAATTTAGGGGAATGTGCAGGGCTGAACACATGTTAGCTTATTAATGTTTGCAATTAAAGTCACGCTGTATGTAGCTGCTGGCTAACGGCACAGCCACAGAATCGCAGCGCTCACAACAAGCTTGTTTTTAATGATTGCATGTGCAGCTTTAGAAAAACTCGCCGCCAGCCAAAGAGTTTCCAGTCTGTAACTTTCCTCTTGCATATTTAAAAGCGGGCGTGCTGCCTCTCCCAGAAAACAGAGGCAGAAATCCTCACTCCGTGTTGTTTACCTCTGACATATCACGGAAAACTTCCTCGCACCTTTAGCCTCCGAGGGGAATTCATGTTAGCATAGCGATATTAGCCCTGAGGCAGCTCGGCAACAACACAGCGCATGTTTTCCACTTACGGTTTTGCACATTTGTCAGTGAATGCCTACTGAAGTCCTCCCTGCGTGTGCTGGAGCAACATTCGCTCAAACATAAATCAACTCAACAACAAGACGCCAAAGCCGTTAGCTCAGTTTGCTAATTCAGTTCTTTCAGCACTTTGAGGGGGAGACGGGGGAGTTTTGGGTGATTCGGGGGTACCTTTTGCAGAGGCAGCAATATCCCTTCATAATTTAAAATCAACAGGCTGGAGGCTGTGCGGGCCAGACGTGGATTACATAGTCAAACAAATGCTTTAGCCCCTGTCCGTGGCTATCAAAACAGCCATTAGCATTTCCGCGGCTGGTAATCGCTGGCGTTGAGAAAACAAGGAGGAAGCCCTCTCAGCTGGCTTCCCACACATGGTTACAAAGTGGGCTTAAGCACGCCTGCCACTCATGTTGTGGGCGAGCACTCACACACACACACGCGAAACACACTAAACACACATGGAGGCATTTATTTTCTAGACGTTCACACACTCGCACGCTGTGTCACCGGATTCCATGCCCTCAGGCTGATGGTCGACACGGCGGGTTCCCAGGGGCGGATCGTGTCGGGCAGTTAGAAACCAGTAAGAAAGCAATTAAGTCATCAGCATTCAGTCTGCAGAGGAGGAAGAGGAAATTGCCAGAAGTAATTTGAAGGGGAAACGAGCAGAACAATAGGACCTTCTAAGATATGAAATTTGTAGGTATCTCAGATCTTTAAGAAGCGAATTGGTTCTGATGTGACCCTGAGTTTAGACCAGCACGTGTTAGGAGTTTAGGAGGACTTCAGGAGGCGCTGTGGGGTGACGACGCCTGAAACGGAGTTCCTCGGATGAATGTAGAAGGAGGCTGCAGTTCTCAGTCTTCAAAATCAAACAATCTGCAAAAACAAGCATGACCTTCGATAATGTGTCTCACCATGACTAACGTCAACCTTCTGCTCTGTGAAGCTTTGAAAAACCTGAGAAAAAAATGTAGGACCAACACCTTCTCACATCTAAAGCCACATTAGTCACACAGCAGAAAGTTTTTCAACAACTGGGGGCCTGATTCATAAAAGGTTTGTGCAGCTCTGGAGTAAACCAAACGTGCAAATGAGACGACAAATCGTGGTTTGATTTACGAAACTGTAAATATCGTCTCTTTGCACCGGTGTTGTTTGCAGACGTTTACATGTGGGATATAAGCGCCCCGTTTCTATTCGAATGAACAAACAGCCACACAAAGTTGGAGAGAATAAGCAGCTTTGTGATGGAGTCTTGTGGAAGTCAGTTTATTTTTTTAAAATCAAAATACAGATAAAGAGCAAGGAGAGGAAAAAGAGGAGGTAGGGTATTTGTGCGCCTGAAAAGGGACAGGAAGTGCATGAAGAGAGAGGCGATCACAAGCGTGCAAGAGCGAACTGCCAAACTAGAAAATAAGGCCCCGTTTAAAAACTGAGACATTAACCATCGTTTGCACCCTTCGTTTAGCCGCAAAACCGTGTTACCACGCTACTGGGTATTAAAAGCCAGCATAAATAAGTATGTTTTCAACCGGGATTGAAAAAGGCCCAGGTTCGGAAATATGTCTCATTTTGGTAGGGCGTTTATTCCACAGACTGGGACCAACGACTGAAAAGTCTCGATCACTCCAGTGTTTGTGTTTTGACCTGAGCACCTCCAGCAGAAGTTGGTTTGACGACCTCAGAGCTCTACGCGGCTCCAGGTCGGTTAAAAGTTCAGTTAAATAGATGAGGGCGAAATTAAAAACTAACATTTAAAGTTTAAAATCAATCCTAAAAGAGACGGGACGCCAATGAAGGGAGGTAAGGACAAGAGTGATGTGCTCGTGTCTGTTAGTGTTCGTTAAAAGACGGGCAGCAGCTTTTTGGACAAGTTGAAGGCGACTAAGAGATGATTGGGAGATGCCGACATAAAGGGCATTACAATAGTCTAATCTTGAACTGAAACATTTTGACCTGATGTTATTAAAGATATTAAAAGACTGACTGATCAGCTGATCTGCAGGAAATCCCTGTTTTTTTGAATCACACAGTTTGATAATCACTCAGACTGTCTCAGGGTCGATGCTGTCAAGTGTGTATTTGGTTAATTTGTTGTAAAATCTCGCTTTTCTAAGAAGGATCATCATTGAAACAAACAAAAGCAGCTTGGCGATTGACTGTTAAACTCGGCGTTAAAACACACACTCACACTCTCACACAGACACACACACACACTCTCTACAAATACACAAGTTCAGGTGGGTCTGCTCCTGCCACTCACCTCCTCTTTGAACTGCTAATAGTTAATTACTTCAACATTTCTCAGACAGCTGAAAGGCTCACACACCATCTGTGATTGATTCCTGCGGCTCGCTGTGTGTCCTTTGAAGTTGATTTATTTCCTGATAGAGTCGTGGAAAGGCCGGAGCGCCTATCTCCAACATCAACGCCGTGTTTTTAAGAGAACAACATTTACATATCAAGTAATAACCGTGGTCTGTTTCCTCTGCACGAGCAGGATGAATATCAGTGATGGAGTTTCTCCTGCAGGTTTGATCAGGTATTAAATCATCTGAATCTTGACAGACGGAAACACGTTTATTAGCCCCTCTAAAAAGTGAAAAGGAGCATTTTTATACTAATCTGAATAAACTGATGTTTAGTCATCCATTATCAGATGATTGCATTATATATTCAGGATTTATTTTATTATGCAAGAATGATCGTCTCATCGTTTTGGAGTAAGTTGTTTTGGTGGATTTGGAGTGTGAGAAGAAACAGAAAGAGACAAAAAAAAGGACAATCATGAGAAACTTATAAAAAGTAAATTTTGACATCAAGATTGAAATCTTTTTAAGTTTTGTTGAATAATAAAAGTAGGAAGAGGCTTTTCTGGGCGTCAACTCCTGTTCTGAGGTCGGATGAATCAAAGTTGGGCTTCGTTTTTGGAAATCATGGACTCAAAAAAAGGGGAAAAGGAGACCCAGAATTACCGAGGTGGTCTACATTCTCCATCACAGAAGAATTGGACCACTTTTCACCCTCAAACCTCCAGAAACCATTCTCTTCAGCTCCTCAGTTCTCCGTTGACGGTGCTTCGGTTTTCGTCATTTCTGCAAAAGACACAAAATGTAGTTAAAAGTTAAATTCACCACCAGTGTGTCTAACCGTCTGCAGGTTTGGTCTCCTCTCTGTTTGCAGTTAAGTTCTCCACCCCCCCTGGTTTGTATTGAGCAGCCATCCCATAATAACATGTGCTTCCATCAGACAGCATGAACCACAGTCTGTGAGCGTCTGCTGCCACCGAGAGCTGTTTACATTTCTATAAGCTTCATGTATGGCACGCTGCACGGCCAGCTCTGCCAAGCCGAGCACGGTGTGTGTGTGGGTACATAAGTGTGTGTGTGTGTGGGTACATTAGTGTGTGTGTGTGCAGCAGGAGCAGAGAGATGGTTGAGCCATCTGTCCTCACCACAGTGGAACTGATAAAGCTGTCAGACCAGCGCCATGTGAGTCCCTCCCCCTCATCATCACCTCTATGTCACTAATTACAACCTGCAAGTGTGTGTGTGTGAGAGTGTGTCTTTGTGCTAGTGTTTGTTGCTCTTGTGCTGTTACTGTTTTTATTTGTCAGCATGAATCGATCGTGTCGATACTTTTAGTCAAATTCAATAAAAGCAGCAAAAAAATGAAGAAAAATCTGGTTTATTGTAAAAATGTTCGAATGTTCAAATCCTCTTTTCAGGTTCTGTGAAACTTCCTCCTGCAGTTAATGCGCCTCTCCTCCATGTGTGTGTGTGTGCGTGTGTGTGTGTGTGTGTGTGTGTGTGTGTGTGTGACAGGTAAATGCGTCACAGATGGTGACATCACAGCAGGTGGCCGCTCTCCAAAGCTGGCAACGTGGCGGGGGAGGCGGTCTCAGTGAGAGAATAGTGACAGGGCCGTCGCTATGGGAGGCAGATATACCCTGACAACGTCCTGGATACGGACACACCCACTTCCTCCACATCTCACGCACACACACACACACACACACACACACACACACACACACACACACACACACACACACACACACACACACACACACACACACACATATCGACACACAGGCACCTGAGAAAGTGTCAGGGCGACATCTTCACGTTGCAGGAGTTCAGGTGTGAGCTTTAACTTCTCTAATGACTTCCAGGATGACAGGATCCAGGATCAGGGTTTGGGGTCTTTGTTAGAGTCTAAGATTCATCCTCAGGTTTGAGATCTTTGAACCTACATGAAGGAGTAATCCCTGGAAAAACTCCTCAGTACAGATCCAAAGTGTTCAAGCTGTGAAACTTCAGGTCCTTACACACTGAGAAAGACGCAAATATGCGACGAGTAATCACGAAATATTTGGAGGTGAATTTTGACGCGCCTGACTATACACATCGAGCGCGATGCGACTTTGCAACTTGACTCTCCACAAGTCGTCCTTCAGGTCGTTATCTTTGTAATGTTTGTGTCTTTTATCAAAAATCACTCTGTTCTCCGACACGTAAACAATCAGCCGGTCGGCCATGTTGGATATACCGGTGAATCTGACGTCGCAACAACACGAAATCAAAATATTTTTCATGGTCTGGTTTGCTTTTTCACTGAGGGACAACAGTTTTTGCTCTGTTTTGTTTGACGTACAGCTCACATGAACTTTAGATGCTGCATCCTGGCGTGAGTCCTGTGCAATTTTTGTTGTCTGATAAAAGTCATTTAAGTAAACAAAGTTTTTTTGTCGTTTTTTTGTCGTCCAGTTTAAGTTTATGTTAACATTAAAAATCTTTGCAGGGCGACACAGCGCTCTTGTACTTCTGCAGCATCACTATGCAAAGTAAAAACTGCACCCGGTTACAGAACTTTTTCAGTATTTCAGTGAGACGTCGTCTAAATGACCTTTTCCTTTCTTTGCACATGCCCAGTGTCAAATTAGCAGCATTACTTCCTCGTTCGACTCTAACCCTCCCTCAGATCTTCTCTCATCACGCTGAACTTTTTCACTGTCCAGCTCCAGGATTTGTATCTTTGTCCGAGCGTGTTTGTCTGTGTACGTGTGTGTTTCCTGCTGTGTGTGGGCTTAGTGGGAACCTGAGTGTGTGAGAGTCTCCAAGGTCATTTCTCCTCCTCATGACCTCACTCTTTTCTCAGCCCCCCTCCGCCACAATAAAACTTCCTCTCCGGGCAACAAAGGGACTATTTTCGAGCACAATGATCTTCCTCTGACAGAGACACGGAGGAGCACAGACACACAGAGTCAGGTCTCCTCAGGTACGCACGCCGAACATCGCTTTTCCAACACGCACGTGCCTTTGCATTCATGGAAACACGCAGCGAGATCAGACAAAAAGTGGAGGGTATTAAATCTGAAATAGAAAAACGGACTCCAAGTTTCATGATTCATTCAGTAAAATACTTTCACACGTTGCAGTCGGAGGATTTCTCTTCACTCGCCGTATCTTTTGACCTTTTTTTTAGGGCCACTTTTAACAGCATTAGGGTCGTAATCTCGTTGTCAAAGAAAACTGTCAAATAGATAAACCACGTGGCGAGCTGGTTTGATTAAAACACTCCTGAATTTAAAGGAGGGACATGAGTGTGTGCAGATTTGGACTACGGCACAGTTAGGATGGTACGACAGATGGGACAAGAGAGAGAGAGAGAGAGAGAGAGAGAGAGAGAGAGAGAGAGAGAGAGAGAGAGAGACAGAGAGAGAGCTCCACAGATGCACAAACACTGAACATTGTAGACTCTGTTGAGGACAATGGAAGTCTTCACAAAACAGACCCCAACTCAGAATCTGGTGTGACTCATATTTCAGATTTGAGAGCGCTTAAAATCTCCAATATCGCAGCTAAAATTTTATATCAAAACCAAAAGATACCAGAGATGGTCGGTCTTGAACGTTGCTCCTGCAGATTTATCTTGATGCATGTATCTCAGATATCAAACAGCTTCAAAATGAAAATAATCTCCACAAAACATGACAGGCAGGAGGAGATTTTCACTTCTTAAGCATGTAGAGGTTAAGACAGGACTGCTTTGTCCACAGGGGGCACCAAAGATCACTCAAACTGAGAGTTCCTTATCGGAGCTTTAAAGTCCCACTCTTATCCTATTTTTTTTTACTACTTTAAGTGTTCTCATTGGTCTTTAAATTATGATCATGAAGTTTTTTAGCCAAATTCACGTCACTTGTGTCATTTTTAAGGGCTTTTCTTCTGCAGAGCTCCAGTAGTTTATTAGTAATTCTCCTCTGAGTCGTGGGCGGAGTCAGCTCTGCTCTGCACACTCCTCGTCACGCTAGCTTGCAGCCTAACATTGCCGATGTAGTAGAAGTGTCTTTGGGGACATGATGAACGTTAATGTCATAATTAGCTTTCTTACAAGAATTGTAATCTGCTAATGCACATGCTCGTCCTTTATTTCTCAGAGTCTGGCCTGCATAGCGAGGCTCCGGGGGCGGAGCTTAGATTTGTGATGTAAGAAATCTCACTGTGTCTGAACCTGCTGTTTGGGTCTGCCAGAGATTCAGAGCAATTTGAATGAAGAAATACTCAGAAATGCAATTTCAAACTTAGTTTTCTCATGATATGTCCTGTAGCATCAAAAAAATAAAGATGTAGACAACAAGAAAAACACGATTTTCATCAGAGTGGGTCTTTAACTAGATTATATTCCTATTTATTAGAAACTTCATTTTAAAGAGGATTTTATCAGGTTTTTCTTAATATCTTCTCTTGAATATACGTCAGCTGTCCCGTCTTCACAGTTTTATAGGACAGAGTATTTGTCCGCTTTCGTCTCCCTCCTCCACATCTGCGAGCTGAATCGTTCTGTTGTTTCTGCCGTGCTTTGTTTTTCTGTAAAAGTTAAAAAAACATCTTTAAAAAACAAAACAATGATGTCTTGTTGGTGCTGCTCACATGTTATTAAAGCCATGTGTCCCGGGTTGGTAATCTGACATTGAATCTTTCTCAGTATGAGACAGAAATCGTGTAACTCAGAGCGTCTTGGCCGAGCAGATGAGACACAAAGAAAACGTAGGAGAGCCAGAAACCTGATTGGAGTTTGGGAAGATGCCTCGGTCTGGATGTAAATAATAAACATGTTGGAACAAAGACGCGGTTCAGGTTGTTGTTTCTCTGTGTGTCTGTCCTGTGGCTGTTGGCCGAGTCGGTCTGCACCTGGGCTCTGACCCCGTGACCCACTGAGGTAAAGGTTATAACCCACAGGGCTTGTTCCCGCCTCCGCAGATCCTCCTGGTCTGCTGCCAAGTGGACCCCCCTTCTACCTCCCCAACCAGAGTTCTTCATTTTCTTCTCCTCAGGTCCAGAGAGAGCTTTCTGTGTGTGTGGTTGAGCTTTTTTGTGATTAATATTTCCCTGTTTGAGTCCGGACACAGAACACACACACAGCTGTATCGGCCTTTTGGGTGTGTGAACATTGTGAGTCAGTGTCTTTAGAAACAGAGGGTCACTTTGGGTTAGAAATGTGGCGCCTTTCTCTGAATATTTCCAACCCTCAAATCACAGCGGAGGGAGAGCGGGACAAATACTTCAACTGTCACATTGAGCGAGTGAAGAAACGGATCCTTCTTTTCTCTCAGCGTCCCCTGGAGTCAGAGGTCCTGGCTCTCTAAACCTGCAGGATTCAGTCTTCCCCTCATCAGCAAATGCAGAAAATGCATCTCAGCTGGAGAGGCTGCGTGTTTACAGAAGAGTGCACGGTGTTAATAACGTGCAAACATCATCTTTGTTTCGAGTGAGCGATGAAATCACAAATTATAAGTCCTATTCTGCCTGATGTGTCAGCTGAGCGAAGTGTTGCTTGTTTGAGAATCACTCACACTGAGTCAAATCCAGCAGAGCTTCGTGAACTTTAATGTTTTTAATTTGCAAAGTTAGAAACTGAGAGGACAGAACAGGAATAAAGCCTCCTGTCTGCAGCCGCTGTTGGTACGTCTGTCCTCTTTCTTCTCGATTAGATGTTTAGCTCCATTAGCTGAAGTTGTCCTAACTCTTAAAGGCATGGTCGACGCAGATTTGAATAAAGCGTCCCACCCGCCACACAGAAACCTCTCCCCTCTGTGCTCCACGATAACTCCACAACTCGCCCTCCCCACGTCACACCCCCTCTGGTAGAGCAAGAAGCCGGCCGGCAGAAGATCCTACGCTAGCTTCAAATAGGATTCACCATGTCGGATTGTTAGTGACTAGCAGCAGTAAACGCCAGCTCTGCTACCAAGCGCCGTCTGCAGCTGCCTGGACAGCTACTGTGTTGACATGTCAGAGACTAATAAGAGTTATTTATGTAACATGAGCCACGATAAAAGGAGATAAAAATGACCTGTTCAACTAAAACTCTGCTGTCTCGGCGTCTTTTTTCAGGACCAAATCCTGGCAGCGCTTTCTCCACCGCTCCGCACGAGCTCCGAAGAGGACCGGGAGAGTGGGAAGGGACGACTCGGAACTCCGGGAGAGGGGTGTGTCGAATACAGTGAGGTGATTGAATGGAGAGGCGGAGCAGGAGATTGACCAATAGGAGCTGTCCGGGACAGATGGCTCCTATTGGTCAATGTTTTTGCAGCCCTGCACCTGATAGGGTGAACAGATTTTTTTCTGTTCTTTTTTCTCTTCACTTTGTGGAGATCGCACTATAGGACCATGATCGCCATAGAAACGAGGTTCATAATAATCACCAATTTCTTCAATCGTCAACCATGCCTTTAACTCTTGAAACAGGCAAAGACAGCTTTGTCCACAGGGGGCGCCAAATCAACACAAACTGAAAGTTCCTCACTGAAAATATTTCAGATTATGAAACAGGATGATGAGCCGTTACAGATGGACGGGGTGTGATGGGAATCTTTCTCTTCTAAAGTTAACAGGAGGAGGATTTGAGGGGGTAGAAGTGGGGGAGAGGGGGCTCTATTCTCCCACAATGCACTTCTCTGTGTGGGGTTCAGAGAACAGGAAACTCAGGGCTGGGCGTTACTCCTCGGAGCAGGGATGGACGCGGCGTTTGTATTCTTTTTCCCAGAGGCGGCTATATTTATGTCTATTGTTTTGGACAAGGAGCTCCCCCCGTGTCTTTGTCAGCGTATGTGTGTGTCTGTGTGTGTCCACTGTCTATGTGTGTGTGTGTGTGTGTGTGTGTGTGGGCAGTTGGCTGAAGTCCAGTAATGAAAATAACATGTTGACCAAAGGATGACCGCAGCAGCCGAAGATGACAGCGGCCACTTTCTGTTTTCTGGGGTGTGTGTGTCTCAGAGATTCCCACCATAGATCACCTCACAGAGTCCTAAACAAGAGCTGACAAAAAACACAACACAGGCGGGGTGATGCCTGTGTGTGTGTGTGTGTGAGCTCTGCATGTCTCCCTTTCATTGTCATATATTTCTGGTGAATGTTTGCACAATTACTCGGTAATAATTTGTCATGCAGCCATGCTTTAGTGCACAGGGCCAGAGCCGCAATCAGGTAAACACAGGAGCTGTTCGCTGTTTGCAGGGTTCAAAATCCTCATTTTTTCGGCTCATTTGCAAGAACACCTGCTGTGTGATGATCAGAAATTCACCGTCGAACTCAAACCCTGTTTCTGCTTCAGACCGGTGCAGCCGAAAACACACATTTCGGGGTTGTAATAACATCCTGCAGAAAGCCCAGAAATTGCAGCAGATTGCTGTAATTGTAGAACATTTCTCTCATCGGCCACAAGATTTGGGAGTTTGTTGTCTTCTCCTCTTACAATCAGAGAGTTTTCTGTGTATCTTTGACATTTTAAATAGAAGTTTGGATCCAACACAACACATCAACACTGACAAACATTCATTTTGTGACTTTGCATCGTTTCTGCTGTCCATGTGTGTGGTCCAACTCCCCAAAAGAAGATTTTTTCAGCCTCACTCGTATTTTGGTGTCCTTCCATGAGCTTTGGAGTAAAATAAGATTTGCAGAGGCAGGTCTGGTTATTAATTTAAAGTTTGGCAGTGAGAAATAATAAGTTATAAAGAAGGAGGAGGTTTTTTTCTTTAACATAATTTACTTTCAACATCATGTTTGGCCGATTCTGGAGCAGGATCAGCAAAAAGACACGTTTTCTTTGTTTATAAATGAATTCTGGGAGCTTTTATGTCTTTGTTTTGCAGAGGTTAGGAGAGTGAATAAAGCAGGAAACTAGGAAGTGACACGCTGGGCTGCAGAATTTAACCCAACAGACCTCAGACAAAAGAAAAGCATCAACAACACCCTCCTAAAAAGACGTACTTTTTCTGCTGAAGGATAACTGTAGATGGAGAAACTCGACAACAAGGACAAACTACCTTTGATAAGCATTAAGGCTGTGATGGGTGGCATCACAGCCTAATGGTCTCATTTTGCAGAAATAAGAGTTTGTAAAGTTTTAGTTTAGTATTTTTGTTATAATATCATTTAAAGGTTGTTATGCCGGTGTGTACCTGTCTGTTGAATCCATCCTTCCCAGTGTTTTTTATTTTCCCATCACAAATCCACTTCAGCTCTGACTCATTAGACTACAATAACCCCGTCCAGACTATTGTCTGCTGTCTATGTTTAATCTCCTGTCTGCCTGTTGTCGGCCATCTGGAAATGATACAGTAGAGCAATAACTTTATAAGGTCAACAATCATAAAGATTCACCTCTGACTGTAGGGATCTTTATTTCAAAGTGAGACGGAGGTTTCTCCAGAGTCGAGTTTAATCTTTTAATGTCTGAGCTCCGAGGTTACATTTCTGTCCTCTGAGCTGATTGTTGTCGGTTTGAGTTGAAGTGGGGTGACGAATGAAGAGTGTAAAACATGCGACATGTTCGAACCTTGTGAAACTACAAATGTCTTTTACTCATATATATCTCCTGACATGTTCCAGTTATAACCTGAGCGCGTGTTTGCTGTTTTAACGTCTTTTTGCACGTGCATCGTTAAAGGTGTTGTAGTCAGGATCTGAGGAAGTTCTAGTTTTTAGGAGAAATCTTGAATGTAAACTCGACCCCTCCCAACCAGTTTTCCCCTCAGCTCCTCCTCTCCCCTCAAGCCCCGCCCACAAACAGACGCTCCTGCTCGCTCGTATCGTTCCAGTTAAATTCAGATATAATGCAGATAAATCCTTCAGAACATTACAAATGGGGCCCAGTCAAGGTGAAAGTCAAAAGCATTGGTGCTACTGTAGATGCCAACAGACTACCAGCAAACACAATGTTTGCAGGACTTCTACGACTAGGATAAAGTGACATAGTCCAGGACCCGAGGGAGGACAGTTTAGCGATGGCGCTACAACACGCTACAGCAGGTCCGTTTGACAAGAAACACTTCTGTTACAGACACTTGTCTTACTTTGTTAAAGCGGTTTACCTGTCCAGCAGAAAGGTTACAGGGTCACCAAGATCCCCAAGCGTCCCCCATGGTTTATGTTGACCCGGCTTTTTAGCTCTTGTCCGGTCTACCTCCGTTTTAAGCGCCCGTTATTCCTCCAGAGTCTCCGGTATTTACTTTGTTTTCTCGCTTGTGTCGGCAGTCGTGGCCAAAGGAGGATTCAGACAATTTTCCGAACTTTCTGGTTGGTTTCTACTGTCCGATATTGTATCACGCTAACTTCGTTTAGGAGCAGCATCCGCCTCACAACCAATCAGGATGGGGAGGCGGGGAATGGTACATACATCACAAAAAAAGATGCTTTTTTAACAGATTCCTGCCTACCCCACCTTCAAGTGTTTACCGCTCATTTACTAATTATGCAGTTTGTTTTAGTTTTGTTGTCACATTTCTTATCTGCAGCACACTGTTTGGACTTTTACATAAATTTGCAGAATGTTTGTAAATCATCCAGCCTTCTCAGCCGCTGTAGGAGGATAGTAATGTTTTGGAAATCAGGAGAAGTGACCAAGCTTTTGTTTTTGTAAAGTTAGGAATGAGATTTTCAACAACTGCTCAACTACTTTAAAAAAATTAGCATGTGAATAAGCTCCTTAAAACATGAAGTTGTTCACAGAAAACCTCAACCAGGAAGCTGAACTACTTTGGAGCAACAGATGTGCCTCCATGAAAATGCACTCCTTTTTCAGTACACACACACACACAGAGTGAGTCACTTTTCAGATTAACTCTACCGTATAACAGAAAGTGGGACGCTGATTCACGAAGCATCCATGTGAAACTTTCTCCTCTTTGAGTTTTTTTTTTTCGCAGCACTTTGAAAATCAGGTGCCAGGCCTCCTCTCCTCTCCTCTCACACACGTTTTACACACATCAGGCCCTCTCTGACAAAACTCTCAAACAGCATCTTTAAATAGCAGCACTGGTGGGAATTTCATTTCACGAGAGCTGAATACATTTCGCTCAAAAAAAGTTGGAAAAACTCGCCTCACCCGCAAAGAATCAGGAGAATGAGCGCATGAGAAATAACTCCTTTTTTCAACTGTGGTTTTAGAGTTTGTTTAAAAATACTGTGGCGCTATTTTGGGGAAATGTATGTTTTTGATACAGTGAAGTTGTTGTAGGAATAGTAGATGTACTGAATGATGAAATCTGGAGAAACTATGAATGTTTCCATCGACTTGGAGCATTAAAAACGGTTTTCTTACACTGTGTCATCGTTTGCTCCGACAGTATTATTCAGCAAAGACTGATCCCTCTGATTTAAAGCAGCAGTGAGAGTACGGTGTTGTTTTTGTGGACAATCAGACATGAGATAAGATAAGTGGACAGTAAGCAGAGGGCAGGGCTCCACACTCGCTTCTATAATTAACCTTTGGCTGTGACTACGACAGCCGACGGGGAGGAAATGCCGTCAGACGGCGGTAAACACGGACAGGGAGGAGGGGTGGGAACTGGGTGAACAAGGCCAAAGGCTTCGTCCTCTGGAATCACTGCCAAGCTCGAGTGTTTGGAAACATGGGCTGAAATGGAAGGTGGATTTACTGCGAGAATCAGACTGAGGATCTGAACGGCTCAGGCTGCAGTAATCCTCGGTAAATAAAAACTAAAACTGGATCAGAAATGTTGCTCAACACTCTCAAAAATCTGTTCATAAAGAAAAGTCTTCACTAACTTAAAGGTTAGGAGATCTTACCTGGGATTTCCATTGCAATTGTTGCCATCCGCCAATTCCTACTGGATCAATTTGTGAGGTGAATTTCATACTCACAACAACCCAAGGATTTACGTGCAATAACAAGTTGTTTCTATAAAGACAGCCACATAGACATATAAGCAGTAGATTGTGTCCTTCCAGAGGAGGAAATCTACTTCTAGACTTCTAGAATCAGCATCTCCTCATACATGGTGTCATCGGGGTGAAATGACATCAACAGACGGGTTTCCATGAGGCAAAAGGCTGCTTCAGAGTGAACTGATATCAATGAAGATGCCGTATTGTTTGCAAGTTCTCCCTGACACAATTGCAATAAATTGTTTTGCATTGAAAAGTCGCTTTGTCTTTCATTGCATCAAAATCAGAAAAACACTGACTGAAACATCCATGAATTTCGCTCAATTTACCAGGTTGTGACATTGTTTTAGATGTTTCTAAAATCAGGAGCAGGGTCCTAATGTTTGCCGATTGTTTGTTTCGCAGATTGTCAGTTTCTCTCTCCGTTGACTCCGCTAGTAAACAAATACGAAATGTCCCGCTTTCTGCCCCGAGGCTACGCGCACATACCTGCAATGACGTTGCACAGAAACCCATCTAAAAACCTTTCACCTGTTCGTCTCCGCCCGTTTGCATGGTGTGAAATACGATCCTCCTGAAACATGGAGTGTTTTATTTTGAAAAGAAGCCGGATGTTTTATTTTGTGTCTGTGCTGAATTTATCTGGCATGCTGTGGCGTCCGGATAAAATAGAACTCTTGCGATCCGCAGCGGAACGGAAAGAAGCCGATGGAAATTGACACGTTAATTGACACGTCTCGGTGGATACGGCCTTTTTGTAGCCGTTCCGGATATGCTGGAAATTGTGGGTAAGGTCGTCACTATTGTTTCTTTTCTGGTTATTGACGTGCACAATGCCTAAAATCCAGGTGTGTGTGTGTCAGTCAGAAAAGGTGACCACACACCTCCATGTAAAGCTCGATCTGTGTACAGTGAGACGACCTGACACAGGTGTGACCTGCGGGCCTCTATTGTTGAACGTTATCTCGGCTCCCCCTCCCTCTGATGTTGTGACAGAGGACGCCGTCAGTCTCTGCAGAGATGGGACATACCACTGCACCCAGATCAGGGGGGGTTGTTGTGATTGTGGAGCACTTTGGAGTAAATTTGGCTGCTTAATTGTTCCTGAGGAGGTCAGTTCTGGGTCGTGAAAACAAGGGATTGTGGGAGTAAACTCCAGCTGCTGATGAGGCAACATGATGACACACAGATGAAGCTTGAAGAGGGTCGGAGTGGATTGTTTCTTTCACACACACTTTCTCTCTCTCTCGTGCATGCTGATTACTGAGCCTGTGTGTGTGTGTGTGTGTGGATCAGGGCTGTGTCATGATGAATGCTCCCTCTATCCTAATCAGTCTTCCTCCCCGGACAGCAGATTGATCCCCCTCTCTATCGATCATGACTCATTCTCCTCTGCACGACCTCCTTTACCCACAAATCCCTTCCTCTTGCATCACCTCTTACCTGTTTCGCTTTTCCGGCTCTTTCTCAAAATTTCCTCGTCTGTGCGGATTTCTCTTTCTCACCCGTCTCCCTGTTTGATTTCCTTAATTAGTCGTCTTTTCTCTCCTCACCCTCCTCCTCCTCCCCTCTCTCTCTCTCTCTTCTACTTAAATCCTGTCCACCTCTGTTCAGCCCAAAGTCAGAAAGTTGATGATCTTGCAGGAAAAAACTCTGCCTGCAACACTCAGGAAATCAATAATGTGACTAAACGCCAGTTAATGGGAGTAAAAGCAGCTCTGTGTGCAGCACCGCTCCGGTCTTATGAGCAAGATTTCCACGACTTCATCTTAGATTCTCGCTCTTTTACTATCTTATCCTCGCCCTGACGTAATCAAACAAGTTTTATGTTGAGAAATGTTTACACTTTAATGATTTTAAGACCTTGTTTTATCTAAAGGAGCCGAATGCACTCAAGGCTTCTCCAACTTTCTGTAGTTAAGCTGCATAATCAGGGTTCAAGTGTGCAATCTGAACGCCAAATGATTCAACCAAATGATATGCTCGTGTGTGATGGGAAAGTTCCACGCTCTTAATCTTTAGAGCCGCAAGAATCAGCGAAAGCAGGAAGGAGGTATAAAAAGAGCTAAAACTGATGTGTATAGGTCTTTCTGAATCACCAGAAGAGTCGCCAAAGCGTTGAATCGATGTCAGAAGACGCATATATGCACAGAGGTATGTGTATGTGCTTAATATGGTCCTGTGAAATCTTGCAGCATTGACTCTAAACCAGGTTTTTGTTTTGGGTCATTGCCGCGATCATCTCTGCTGGATAAAGGTTACATTTGGCCGACCATGACCCTCAAACTGTGAGCAACAAGCCAACAGGCGCACAGATGAGAGCGAGTGTATCTGCTGTCCACCTGCTGTGAGCTCTGTGGGCGTTTGGCATAAACTTACACCTGCATCGGTTGGAATATTTCCATTGCAGTTGCACACCCAGAGTTAAAGAATGTCTCTTAATGCAACAGACCAAACATCGAGTGTTTTGCAGTCTTTACAAAGCGGATAATCCATCTCTGCCTGTCCTAAAGTTGTCTATCCATCATTGGTTATACTGTCAGGAGTGAGTGATCATCGGCAAAGACTGAGAACCAATCAGCTGATGAGTTAGCTGAGGGACACAGGAAGCTTTTTTTTTTTTTCTGAAGACTCATTTCTCAAAAGTTTGTTTCATGACATGCAAACTGAAGTAGAACAGTTTTCCATAAAGCAGAAATGTTTTTGTCGAGGTGGGCCGACGGTTTTCAAAAAGGTAAAGAACAGTAAAGAAAAGGACCTGAATACAGTCGGGTGGGGGTGGGGCAAAAGGACAGATGGTGAGCAGGAGTAACATCCCCACTCAAGATTTCAGAGGCGTGAATCTGTCAGACACACGTTTTCTTTATTCTCATGGAGTCATGTGACACCAGTGTGACGGTTTAATGTGGCTGTAAGACAAAAAAAAAACAGCACTGAAAATATCCTGATTTCTTACACCAGTGGACTACATGTGTTGTTGCAAACAAGGCAGTTTTTTTTCCATGATTTTTTTCTTCATTTTCTTCTTTTTTTTTTTTTACAATATATCTGTATCTATCTATCTATCTATCTATCTATCTCAGGGCTGCAAAAACATTGACATGACTAACATCGTGACACATGTTACATAAAGAACTCTTATTAGTCTCTGACATGTCAACACGGTAGCGGTCCAGGCAGCTGCAGACGGCGCTCGCTAACAGAGCTGGCGTTTACTGCTGCTAGTCACTAACAATCCCACATGGTGAATCCTATTTGAAGCTAGCATAGGATCTTCTGCCAGAGAGAGTGTGTCATGGGGAGGGTGATACAGGTTCAGGGGGGAGCTATCGTGGAGCACAGAGGGGAGGGGTTTGTGTGTGGTGGGGGTGGGACGCTCAGTTTTTTTCAACTGCTTCTCCAATCGTCAACCATCCCTTTAATACATACTCGGTTCAATTGAAAAAAAAAAAAGAGCAGAAAGAGAATCCTTGACTTTTCCAAATCTTAATTTTGAGGCACCAGTGTGAACGTGAAAGACCTGAAAATGTCCTGAAATTCTCTGGAATAATCTGGAGTTTGTGAGACAAGAGGAATGTCGTTTTTGTGTCTGTCAATGTGGAGAAGAGCGTAAAACGATGATGAATCTCAGCTGCGTAAAGACACTCAGACATGTATCCGAATCATCCTCTCAGCTTATTTAATCACAGTCCCTGGGTGATGTGATTCATTCTGTTAAAATGATTTCTTTAAAAGCCATCCAGCGAATCCTCAAACTTATTGTACAGGATACAAGCAGCCAAGTCTGAAATTAATGATAGAGATCTTCATGACGGTTTAAATTGAATTCATTTGTGTGGAACGGCAGAAGATTGTGTTAGGAGGAGTCGCACAAAGACGCGGGGTACAGAGCTGGCCTTATTCTTGTTGTTGAGTTATAACACAAACATGCAGAGTGGGCAGTGCCAGCTGGTACAGGGATTCTGTCTTTTCACTGGGGTGCTGAATCTGCCATAACACCTCCCGGCCTAAATCACAATCACCTCCTTTTGTGGCAGAACATGTCACCTGTGCTCCCTCCAACACAGAGAGGTGAGAGTCAGACGAGACACATTCAATCCCTGCAAATGTGTGTGAGAGTGTGTGAGAGTGTGTGTGATTGACGGCAGCAGATGGTGGAGTGACAGGGGTGATCCCTCTGAAGTGATCCATGTGGGGTCTCCTGTGACCCCCCTGGTGGTCACCGATAAACACAAGACACAGTTAGCTTCTTGTTCAAACAACAAGACACGCACTCTTTCACACACACTCACACTCACGCCTGCAGCAGCTCTCCTCACTCATTAGTAAAAGGTGATTCAAACATTTCAGACAAGTTTTGGTTCAGTCAGAGGTAACAGTGAGGAGGCTGTGGGGTGTTATGTCAGGATCTGCTCGTCTTTGAATATGCATGATTTCACAGCCAGATGGCACAGACTAATTCTAAGGATTCAGCGCTGTGGGGTGAGACCACAATGCATGTTTGTAATGATGGATAATGGCAATAATGCAATGTTGGATCTAAGTGGAGTCTTCAGTGAGACGGGGCACAGGGATGTCTCAACCTGAGTCTAAAGATTTTATGTTTTACTTTGAGTTGACCGAAAATCAAATATCTTAAAACCTGGACCCCATTTCTTTCTTCATATGTATTTCTTCATATGTTAACTATCACTGTTAATGCAGTTAATAATGCAGTTTTTTATCAGCAATGCAGCACTCTTAAAAGTGCCAAAACTGACACAAACCAAAAGTTCTTTACAGGAGCGTTAAAGTCCTGGTTAATGAACTGAGAACTGGGAGAGTGGGAGGCGACGTGTCGGAACTACGGGAGGGAGGTGTGTCGAATACAGTGAGGTGATTGGATGGAGAGGCGGAGCAGGAGATTGACCAATACGAGCTGTCTGGGACAGATGGCTCCCATTGGTCAATGTTTCTGCAGCCCTGAACAGATTTTTTCCGTTCTTCTTTCTCTTCACTTTGTGGAGATCACATTATAGGACCATGATCGCCATAGAAACAAGGTTCATAATAATTACCAATCTCTCCAATCGTCAACCATGACTTTAAGTTAATAGTAAGTATGTACAGTGTTCAGCATAAATGAGTACACCCCTTCAGAGTTGTCCGAAAATCGTTAGTTTCCTTTAAAATCAACATTTTCTGTGTCAGACTGTACAACAGAATACTCCCCCAAGTGTAGGCCATTGATCGCAAACAAGATTTTTTAAGTTGCATAGAAAAAAGTATAGATTTTTTTCAATTTAAAATCAGGATGCAAAAAGGAGTTCTGGGAGCAAAGCTACGTTTTAGTTACCATATCATCCTTAATTTCATCTTATGGTGAGTAAAATGTTGTGTTAAACTCAGCTTTGTCAAAACTTTGGAAACTGTACTTTTGCTCATTAAGATATTGAGTAATACATTACTCTTAATAGGTGTGTACTGACTTTTGCTGAGCACTGTTAATATGGAGGGCAGGTGCATCTGTCTCTACAGGAGTATCTGTCTCTGTTTGTTTATTTCGTCCCTATTTCTGCACGTCTTCTACAAGACCAAATGTTAAAGTTTTACTAAAATCTGTGGGGGCAATAAAGCCAACAGTTTAAATCAAAGTGTGTGCATAAAACATGAAACTGCATAATTCTTCATGCACAACTACAGGCTGCACCATTTATTTTGCTTCTTTCCTGATGGATTTTTATCAATAGTCCTTCATCGCCACCATGTTTCTTGGGTTATTTCTGAGTCTCATTCTCTTGCAGATGTATTTCTGAACCTCTTTTTGAATGGAAAGCATGTATGGAAATGACCTGATCCATTTTGGTACCTAAGGGGAGCATAAATGAGCCTTTAGGAGACACCTGTGAAGAAATCCTGACCAGAGTTTGAAAATTAAGCAGGTGGAAGCGGTAAAGCCGCTGTGATCTGTGGAAATATTCATCCAGCGATCTCCTGCAGGAATTTGTTGATATTGAATCTGACCCCATGCTGACTGCATTATGAAAAACCATATTTCCCTCCTCATCTTGAAGATATTACCTTTTTCTTTTTGAAGGGTAGAGATTGTTTCTCCATACGCCAGGAAATGAAGTCGCTGTAAGCAAGTTTCAGACCGCCCTTATTATCAGACCACCCTCCTGTCAGGGCGTTAATTGAGAAGCGCTTGTTAACTGCTAATTTAACACCTGAGGAATGTGCAGATAGGACCTTATCTGCAGGACGCTGGGTGGTGGACATTCCCCAGAGGCTGAGCTGCTAACCTGGGACATGAAAGAGGCAGAGGGGTCAGTGCAAGGCCGCATACTGGAGTACGCAACATGCATGCGTGGGGGTCATCTTACAGTAGTGAAAGGCGGCTCGACCTGGAGACCAGGGGGTGACGGGAGGGAAAGAAAAACATGCAGGGTATGAGAAGAAGAGGAGGACTTCAACATTTCTGGAAGTCCTTCTGAACTTCTTGATGACTTGCTGATTATAAGGCAGACTACAGAGGCGAAATGAGAGACAGAGACAGCTGTCCGATCCCTGGCATGCTGTTACCACCTAGCAGGAGGCTATCTCAGGTCACAGGGAAAAGAGAGCGAGCTGCACAGTCACACACACAGTCCAGATGGTGAAAGTGTATTTACAGTAGCACCGCCTGGCTTTCAATGAGCCGGGAGACTTCTGCTTGCTAATTAGATCTAATTCTGAGTTTGCCAAGAGTATACATCAAGAGGGTCTGAATATGATTTTTGATTAGAGGAGTGTAGTTTCATTGGATTAAGTCCTAAGTGATAAATGGCCTTATTTGTTCAGGAGACGATTGGCATTTTTCAAAATTACGTCTTTCTTGAAGGCGGGATAATTGAGTTTGTGTGGAGGATGTCAACGCGATCTGAGTCTTGAACTCTTCAGACGAGATCAGACGTCCAATGAATCTAAATATGATGTTTAAATAATCAGTATTACGCGTGAAGGACTCCTCAGATAATAATGGTTATATTTCAAGGTCTCGTTTTGGCTCAGTGTAGTTGTTAAATGGATCGTAAAATACTTTATATTACTTCGCCTTGATTTAAATGTAACCTCGGTTTGTTAACTCATTCAGCGCCAATGACGGATTTTGACAGATTTTTCCATTTTTTTGTTTTATGCCATAGGGCGCTCCTCCCTAACATGCGACTAAGTTTGGGATCGTTCTGAACGCAGAAAAGCTGACAAACACGTCAAAACCATGTTATAAAGTACTTGCCAGTGAGAGGTGTGCCATCAAGTGTGCCAATTAGCCGAGTTGTGGAGTGTTTTTTCTCTCTATGAGGAGAGTAGGAAATGCAGAAGTCATTAGCCAAGAGCAAACTATCTCAGCGCATCTGCTCCCGTGGGCGCAGTGCTACCGTCTCTGGATCCAGTGGAGATCCCAGTACCAGGCCCTCACATCATCAGTAGACAATCAAAGAAACAATTTTCCGGCGTGTCGCTCGGCCGCTGGTGTTGGTACTAGTGAGCAAAAGTGAGCCGGAATTCAGCGAGGAGGACACCTAGCAGTCGGTTTGGTTTACGTCACAGCGTCAGGTTCTAGAGAGCCAATACAACTCCCAGCCGTCTCAAAGTGACCTATCACAATCGGGGTGTCGGGAATTGAGAATGATGAGGAGTGGTGTCCAAGGAGGGAGGACCTTGATGCCACCGGTAAAGTAGTTTGAAGTGAAATGAAATAGACGATCAGAGTTCTGCTTGAAGGTTTCTGCAGGTTTCTTTTTCCAGATCGGCGAGGATGATATGACCACGCTGCATTGAGCAGGCCATAACTAAACACAGGAGTGGGTTAGAGACTCACTTTTCTTTCTGTTGAAAGAAGAGAATCACTTCTTTCTTTTGAGATATTGTACTTAACTCTAGTCCAAGCACAAGATATTCTGTTGGTCCTGAAAAATACAGAAATTTCTATTACAGCCAATAAAAATTGCATAAATGAACCTGAAACTGAATGAGTTAACATCTATTTATTTGTTTGTTTGACAGGAACAAACACACAAGGCACTGCTTCATATAAAATGCCGTGCACATTGGTTTCCATGCACGGCTAATTTGCCACCCCTGTCCCTGTTTAAGCCTGAGAAGTTGGTTCGAGGTCGATGGTTCGAGTGCTTGTTTGTGGTGAGTTGACAGCGCTAAACATCTCGGTGTCACCCGGAGGTGTCATACTCATTTGACTTGGTGTCATAAGGCCACTGGGCGTTCCCAAATCAGGCTCCAGCGTTTAAAGAGTCCGTGTCACGCCACTCATCCTCCTCAATGCAGCTGTCAATCACAGCAGCCCCGCCTAAACAACAGCAGAGGGAGGAGGAGGTGGGTGGGGGGGTCGGGTTTATGGATTGATATCTGGGAAACACTGACTCATCAAATTCCTGAGCTGAGATTCAGGATCGAGGGGGTCCTGAACGTGTTAAGGGGAGCAGGGACCTCTGAGAACTCCAGAGGGACGGATGATGAGTGCGAGTGTGAGAGTGTGAGACGTGGATGTGTGGTGAGAATTGATTAGTCGGTAGTTACCAATCTCAAGGGTCTGCAGAGGGGGCTGAGTGAAGGACGGTGTATTCAGAGGCAAGAGCGTAAACCTCAGAGCGCCGATTCAGATGCTGAAACAATCAATCGGCGATCCTTGAACAGACTTCAAGGTTTCTAAAACAGCTCACACAGAAAGTGATTGTGTCTGCAACCAAAAAGACATCTACTAAATTCAATATCTACGTCAAACTCTGACTTCTGAGGCAGGAAACAGGAGTCAGGGTGAGGAGGAGAGGTGTGGTGTACATCAGATACAGTCAGGCTGTTTGGATCGACCATCGCCGCTTCACCGATTACAAATCATGTCTTTACATTCATGCACAACACTCAGCTGCAGGTTTACAGACATGAAAGTCCAGGACTGAAATCTTGTTTTGCATGTCAGATAATGTGCATAAGTTAAAGTTTCTACTCTTGCCTCTCTCTGACCCCGAATTTCCACCACATCCGGAACGGCTCAGATCAAATTCCGACCAGATCTATTTGTAAGACAAATTTTGCGGGCGGATTACGGACAGCAGGAATCGTGAGAACTCACAAGATTCATGTGCAATCACGCCACAACAAGTTGTTGGTATAAAGACAGCCACATAGACATATAAGCAGTAGATTGTGTCCTTCCAGAGGAGGAAATCTACTTCTAGACTTCTAGAATCAGCATTTAGGATCCGCCTGATACAAGGAGTGTTTTATTTTGAAAGGAAGCAGGATGTTTTATGTTCTTTCTGTGCCCGACTTCCTTTCCAGCACGGGTTAATCTGTGCTGAATTTATCCGCCATGCTCCGGCGTCCAGAAAAAATAGAGCTCTTATGATCAGCTGGGAAGTCCGGCGATCCGCAGAGGAACGGAAAGAAGCCGGTGGAAATTGACATGTTAACTTGAATGGTTATGATCAACTGCAATCGGTGGAGACGACCTTTTCGTAGACGTTCCAGATGCAGTGGAAATTCGGGGTTACACATGTACATCTTTGGAGTGGAGTCAAAATTTCTCTGACATACTCCTGAGTCTCTGATGTTTCCAGACTCTCACATTAAAAAGTGTTATTGTTCCTCTAACGTGAATCCCTGTTGGTTTAAAACATGTTTGCGTTGGTTGTCAGGTCAGATTTCTTTCATCTGCCCCACGAGGAACATCCCCGGTACACCTGTCTGCGGACTTTTACGAGCGTCGGAGGACATCTTTGAAGCTTTGCGAACACGAGGATTAATTAACTGTCCTAAACATCAACATCCTCGTCCAGCAGGATCCACAGCTCCTCAGATCTTCACTTTCCTTCCTCTGTTCAACATTAACAAGACCATGATGGGCCACATAGAAGACCGGGGGTTTCTAAAGTTTTACACTCAGAGTCAGGGGTCAGCTATGTTTAGCAGCACCCCGGAGAGGGAGCGAGTGTTTCACCAGAGAGTTGGATAAAAGGAGCCACCTCCTGCAGGAGCAGCTCGCTGCATATTGAATGTGAATTAAGGCGGAGGCCTGTCCACCTCTATTGTCTGGATAAAAGAATAGCTTGTCTTTCATGTTCTGATGTTCGCAGCCCTCTGGGTCTCCTGCTATCAACCCTGCTGATCTCTGCTGCTGCTGCTGCTGCTGCTGCAGGGAGGGACTCTGAAAATGAAAAGCTTTATCTGCGTGCTGCTGATATGATAATTAGGATCCAAACAAGATCGAGCTGAGCGAAGGCTTCTCAAGCAAACTTTGAGCTGCTACAGTTTGATTTATAGCTGCAAATATTTCAGGTCGACACCCGTACTTAGGGCTGAAATTCGTCTCATATGTTTCAGCCTCCTTCCACTCAGATTGCAGACTGATGACAGATCTCCAAGCTCCACTCCTCTCTCCGTTTGTCCCTGTCCTCCTGCACCTCTCTCTCTCTGCGCTCTTATGGAACTCATTACCGAGACTTTCTCTCCACCCGAGCCTCCCAAACACACCAGGGTCACAAACCTTTTATTAAATTATTCTTCATATTATCTTAACCAGCTGGGAGTTCCAGATGTGTGGGTAATACTGCAGAGGGACAGTCAGTGTGTGGTCACAGAGTCATTCTCTATTGCTTTTCCTCTGATTGTCTCATGGCTTGGCACTTGTATTGTCTCAACCTCCACCCATCTGGCGCTGCGGCCAGGTTAGAAAGGACGGCCAAACACACGACTGCACAGAGAGAGGACGCAGATTTATTTTACTGTGTGAGTTCCCAAATGTAGAATCTAGATCCCGGTCAGTGGGTAAGAAGTTCGACCATCAACTGCTGCAGAAAGAGACGACTACCACACATGGACGAAATTTAGATTTCAAAGGTGGGGGACACATGTGACTTGAGTACTGATGTGACAAGCGGATTGAAACGTCAATGTTAAGCTCAGATTTCTTTATTTATTCCAGATTTCAGTTCCCGTCTTTACATATAGCCTAGCAAACAGCACATCTCACTCACACAGTTACAGAGGAGGCGATACGGCCAGCGGGTGGATGGAAGTACAAACCCGAAACAGGGATGTAAATGAAACCTCCGATGAATGTGACGTTAAAATTAAATTTACGTTAAAATTAACGCCGCCCTCCTGTAAACTTCCCACTGAGCGATAGACGGCTATTAAACATCTAGTTGTTTTTTTAGACCGAATTTCAATCGTCTAGATTCTGTATATTTTTAGACGGGATTAAGACGTTGCACTTTAACCCATTATTCGATAACTATTTATTTCAAAAAGCAACTGTGAGTTTCATAACTGATCTCCAAGTATTTAACCAAAATAATTATGAGAGCCCTTGAGCAATTTACAGTTAGACCTCTGTTAGCCAGCTAGTCTAAACTGGGTCTAAATTTAGACGTCTAAAAACTCTCATTTTTAGACCTGTGGTAGTCTGATTTTAGACCAGTCGTCTAGGCTACATTTAGACGTCTATTGGACCTCTTTTAGCCCAAAAAATGCTCAGTGGGTTACATCGGCAAATAGCGATGTTCCCGGACTGATTCTTACGAGCAACTTGCAAAACACTAGTCCTGTAGGGATAGCCAATCACACACAAAAAGCGGCCCTGCGGCAAAGCCAATCAAGGACCTTGTGGGCGGTACAAACCGAGGGAAACCAGTTTTTCGACTTGAGCGGCAGTTTGGTCCGAGTGCCTGACGTGTATCAGTTTGCGATAGTGTAAAGTAACGTTGTTTTCAGACGGTTAAAACTGCAGACAAATTAAGTCCGTGCTACCATGTACTTCTGCTCATTTTAACAAGCGCTATCCTCAGAGTCGCAGCTGTTTGCAGACTTGGTAAAATACATCAAACAAACCCGAATATTCAACACTTAATCCAGCCACAGATTAGCCAAGGGTCGGGTTATTATCGTGTCAATAACTGAATAGCTGCATGATGGTTTTTTAAAGTAGTATCTGTGTCTGTCAGGTTTGCAAAGACTCTGATTTTTGGTTTTAGCACCAAACCGGCTCACTTTAAATCGTAAACTTTGACCATCAAATGTCTGAAGTTTCAAAACTTACACGCAGAAGCACAAAAGTAACCCCTGTTCGCTCTTTAGTGGGTTTAAGTGGGACATTTGATAAGAAAAACCTCTGTTCTGCTTTCTATATGGTCTTTACATTAGGCTGTGTGGAAATAACTAACCTGAAGGGACAGGGTAATTTTATATTTTGGAGTTACACAGGATGGATTTGTCAGATTATTTGTATTAGTCTCATTTTCAGCTCTGACTGAAGGTGAAAGGCCTCGGAGAGCCGTCAGAATACCCGGCAGACAAATGAGTTCGGGACCTGGCAGCTCCATTCAGGTCCACGAAGAGGTCAACCCACTGACTGCGGGGTGTCCTCAACAAGTTAACCCGACTGTAAACAGGTTTCCTCCAGCACACAAGGCCTCCATACATAACAGGCGGGGCCTCCTACTGTTAGCTGAGGGCCCCGCAGGAGCGCTGAGGGAGGCTACTGTTTCTGCCACTGTCAGTGAGATGGATGAGGGGGGAAACACGCGGAGAGGGAGGGAGGGAGGCGCTACTTAGACCCGGTTTCATCTTAGACTGTGTTTGACACATGCATACCAAACTCACACAATGAACATATGGTGTCCCCGAACACTCAAACACACATATGCTAAAGAAATTAGATTTCCACTGACGATGATGACCAATTAGATTTGTCACACTCTCGCATGGGAATGAGGAGCGCTTAACACACACATGTGCGCACACACACACTTAAAATACACAGAGGGACACACGTGTGCAGCACAAAGGAGCGGAGGGATGACACCACACTGTGCCCGAGACAAGCAGAGTGATGGATATGATGGATCAATCATCCTCCTCTCTGTTTAATCAGGACATCAGTCACCACGCTGGATGGGGGAGGATGGGTAAGGAGGGGAGGAGAGGAGAGGGCAGGGCACAGCTAGAGGCTCTTTATGACCACGTTTAACCCCTGATGGGAATCTTTATTGTTTAATGGAGGAATGAGGATGAGGCTGTATATTTAAATGGTTAACAAGCACATGCCTGACCTGAAGAGTGCAAGAGGTGAAAAGAGACGATCGAGGAGGGATGACAGCAGCTAAAGTTTGAGGATAACGATGTAGTGATCTTATTTTTAACTGGATAATCAAAATTACATTGAAACAGTTTTTAAAGTAAAAGCAAACAGTATAAAACAAGCCAAACTATCCATCACAAACTCTCCTCCTATCATAGGATACGCACTAATACAAGACGATCAGTCGGTACGTTTATATGACACTCGAGAAAACCAAATTATTGCCTTATTCTGATTAAGGCCGGACAACTGAAGTGCATGTAAACACTTTACAAACTAGGATTAAGACATCCAGATAATGCAATTGGAATTCCATTTTCTCTGCCATGTAACCAGCGTAGTTGGAGTATGATCGGACAATGTATGTGCAACTGCAACATGGCTGAAACAAGAAAGAACACCCACTTTTGGAACGACGAGGAGAGTGCCGTTATGCTTTCTGTCCTGAAAAAAAGGACATTTTAAAGTATATGGACGGTCGCAAAACGAGGAATGGAGACGATCTTTAAAAACGTCCAGAAACAGCGCCGCTGAAAAGATGCATATCGCCCCCTAGTTTTGCAGAGGAGGACATGATCAAGTCAATAATTCGATTTTCTCAGCTGCATGTATACGAGGACAAGGAGAGAAGTCTGATTCAGCGGAAAAAACAAAAACTAATTTTGAGCTTAATCTGATTAAACTGTGCTTGTAAACACACTGATTTACTGATACTGAGGACTAACAATAGACTACATGCTTGAGTGTAAATCAGTAACTTTACGGGTTTAATGCTTAACTCAACCTGAATTTTAGTCACTGATTGAGTGACTTAACAAGTCATTAACCTAAGACAATAAAAAAATCCAATCAAACTATTAAAGTTGGTTAAAGTGGCTGAAAATTTCTATCTTCTTTAGCAACTAAGACTGACAAACTAGCTGTGAAATCAGCCTCATCATCCTGTCCAGAGCTCTAAAGAAGCAAACATCTTTTCCTCCATTTGCACAAAAAAAAAACACACATTATTTTGTCATTCTCGGGAGCAGACAGCTGGACTTTATCATGCACTCTAAGTCTGTGGTTTAACTGCATGCATCGTCTATTTAGGAAAAGGAAAAAAGCCATCGCTCTTGTTTTTTAAATCTGTCAAATCTTTGAAAAAGATCAAACTGCACATGAAGACAAGCGGTTTTATTCTCCTTTATTAAACGGATCTGTCTTTACACTCTACTCTTTCACTCTTGGGTCTTTTTTTGACTCTCCTGAAGAGCTAATAAAATGTAATATCTGACGGTAGCCAAGTCTTTCCAGGGTTAGGCGGTCCATCTTTCGGACCAGGACACATTTGAGTGCACAATGCTGAAAGAATGCAGCCATATGGTTCCCAGACTGCCTCTCAAAACCTTCTGAGCTATTGGATCTCAGTGTATCCCAAACGCCTTGAGTGTACTCACCACTGTATTTACAGCTTTTGCCTTGTGAACACACAACAGTGGCCTGATAGGGAGCAGCTTTATAGTCCTAAAGTCCCGTTTCACGTGGTGGTGCTTTTTTAACCTGTTCACATCAGGAATCGTAGACGCAGACGAGAAAGTTCATATTTTTATCCACTTTTCGTCTTTATTCCTGGTCGCTGAGCAAAGAAAAACAAGGATTACTTGACCTCAAACCTTTAACGTTTTTTGTACTCGACTCCTCTCTTATAGTCCTCTCCTTCTCTACATGCAGCCCCTCCAGAACCAGGACTAGAAGACTCTGAGAAGTGGGGGGTTTGGGTGGATAAATGCAGGGTGCCAAACTCACTTCTTCATCACAGCTGTGTGTGTGTGTGTGTGTGTGTGTGTGTTCTCCTCACTCCACGCTGCTGCAGATGAGAGCTGGTTTGACGACGCCTGAGGGGCACAACACCTCGCTCACTCTGAGGTTCTTGTTGTTGCTCTGAAGATATCAAACTAATACGGGCGGTTTCGATGTTTTCATGTGGGTTTGCACACCTCCTGTTGCCCTGAGTGAATGAACATCCAGCTCAAGTCAAGAGAGAGCGTCTCCTGAACAGCAGCCAAATAGTTCAGATCTGAGAGGTGAAGCTGGTTTAACCTGCGAGTTTTGATTCACAATGTGCTGCGAAAACGGTTCGAGCTGCGCCTTCCCTTGCGACATTCTTGCATAATGCCGGGATGATGAATTTTGAGAGAGGAAATGGTGCATGAATATGAAAGCTAGTTGCACAGGCGTCTTAAGAAAAACCCTTTGAGTGATGGCGGGATATTGAGTCAGACCTTGACTGCTTCCTATTCGCCGGTTCTGGAGATTTCACACACCGTTCGCTCGTCACTCACGTCACTGTGACCCTAGGAAACCTCCATTGTTACAGTCGGGAACAGTAGCAGGCTCAGAGAGTGAATTGTGGAGAGTGTGTGTTTGTCTGCAGGAGGAGGAGGGGTGTGTGTGTGTGTGAGTGTGTGATGGATATGTCTCTCTTCCTGTTTGTAGTTTCTCAGGAGTGCTCTTTTTCCCATGCTGTGAACACACACACACACATATGCCACCATGCTTTCACTGTAGAAGAAAAGAGGAGAGATGAAAGAGTCGCAGGAATAAATCTCAATCCCCTCGGACCAAAGGATGTGCCAAAGACACACTCAACAAGGTTGGAGGGTCTTTTAAGTCTGAGACGTTATTTCTCTGTGTTTTGACATTAAACTGCAGCCTCTGCAGTGTGTCGGCACGCCGCCTAGATCGTGTTCCCGTCCGTCCTTTGCCCTTTCATACAACATTTCAGTTGAGCAAACATGGGCCTCCTCCTCTGAGCTCACTCACAGTTTTTCATTTCAGCTGATAATTGCTCTGATGCCTAACCTTTGCTCGGTGGACTCCTGAATAGCGGGACAGGGAGAGACCTCTGGGGTGCCGAGCCAAGACGAGAGAGGAGACGCAGACTCCTCGTCTCAGATGAAGATAGTGACAAGAGCTTAGCCGGATCAGCTTCCCCGTCTGTCTTTACTTCAAACCCGACCTCTGACCTCTCCGTTTGGCCTGTCAGAATCACCTGCCCTTCTCTCTTTCTCCTCCTCTCGAGAAAGATGATCCCAGACGCTGACCATCCCTTGTCACGTATCCACGGTGGTGACAGCCAAGTTCCCTCCGAGTCTTTTGTCGCAGAGGTCAGCTCTGAAGCTCCTCTAACACTTAATTACATCTCTGAAGAGGATGAGGACATGGCTGACACATGCAGAACAGAGCCGGCTCCTCGGCCGCTTTGACACAAATAAATCTCCAGGAGAAAGACATCAGGCATATGGTGGTCCGAGTGAATGGGGAGCTCTTTTAAGGGTTAGTGATTTTGAATTGAGTGGATCGTGAGGATGGACGTGGCTGAGTAATGGTCAGTCAGAGAAGACATCTGGTCAGTGGGCCAGAGGAGGATGTTGTGGTCACACGGAATGATGTCTCTAAATCGTTGGTGTGGGCGAGTATGTGCCACGAAAAAAAACGGAGGGAACATTTTTACTAAAGTTTTAAACCTCCAAAACAAAGCAGTGAAGTCAACCAGTATGTTTACATGTTGTTTAATAAATCAGTTTTTGTTAAACACCGAAGACCGGATCATAAATGGACATGCACTTCAGTTGTGCGGTCTTAATCGGAGTAAGGCAATAATTCGGTTTTCTCAAGTGTCATGTAAACGTACTGAATGACATCACCCGGCTAACCTCCGTGCATCAAGTGGACACTCAGAGAACTGCAGTTTTAAGCACTTCTGCACTAGCCTCACTTGTCAAGACCCAAGGTTTCTGCCTAATTTCTTCTACTGTACAGACTACTACTGCTGCAGGAGTCTGATTGGTCAACAGAGCTGTTAATAATGATGCTTTGCTCCTTTTTAAAGTCTTAAATGACTCATTTCAACTTTTCAATAGTGAATAAAAGCTTTAACTTTGAATGAAACCATGCCAGTTCAAGGTTTAAAGCTGCACCAAGATGGACTTTTGAAAAATCTAAGCGTAGATCAATTTTCAGAGTCCTCGGTCTCAAAGGAAAGTCAACTTTGACTCAAACAAACCAAGAAATAAATCTTCTGAAATAGATTCATGTGACAGAGAGGTCCTCACCGGAGGTGGATTACACTCAACAATCACTCGTCTTCTCAACAAGCACTTCAGACTGACAGAGGTAGACCTGGTTCAGGTCTCAGATCAATCTCGGTCACTCTGAACTGAAATACTGGGCTCGCAGCACTTTGCTATTAATCAGAGGTGACTGACGGACTGCGGCAGGAAGGCTTAATAAAGAGTTATGATTGGTGGCTGTCAGAGGTCAGTGCTGTAGCTCAGACTGACTTCCTGCATCTCTTCACTCCTCAACTTTTCCTTCCTCTTGTCTCCTCCATCCTCAATCACTCCCCTCTCCTAAAACCTCCACCTCCTCCATTCTCCTCCCTTTCTTTTCCTGTCTTCCTCACCTCTCCCATACCCAGCCCGGGGTGAAAGAAGCGTTCTCATTCAGGGCCGTGGAGGGGGGAAAGCTTGCTTTCAGGTCCCCCTCCTCAATAGCTCTTTATGCCAGAACCCCTGGGCCATCAACATGACAATGTGACAATGTGGCGGGGCTTTTTAAAAGAGATCCTGTGTTTGTTAAGTGTTTTTCCCCCTGAAGAGCAACCACGGGGCAGGGTCAGGGGACCTGAAAAGTGCCCATGAAAGACGAGGGCCAACTTTGATCACACAATGTGAAAGGGATGGACTTTTTGATTAACTTGAGCCAGGAGGGCAGGGCTTGGTTTCTTTACCTTTTTGAAGTGCAGAAGACCGAGTCCTATAAGGATCGTGTACATTTCACTGTGAGGTTTGAACTGAAACCCTGTGAGACTCTAACATGCTGCAGGTCAAACCGTTACGGAGAATCTGACCAAGACTATTCTGGACAGGTGGAGAAGGAGCGACATGGACTCTCGAACACAGAAGTCTGTGGCGCTCATGATGATGTGATGTAGATCTGATGCAGAAACATAAACCAGGATTTTAGGTCAAGCAGCAACAACAGCCACCTGTTAGTCGTATCAACCCTGACTTTAATTTTGCAAAACCATGTAGACCTCTGAGCCTTAAAGGGATATTCCGGCATAAGATTAATTTAGGGTCAAACACACCGTAACATCGAGTTAGACCCCCCCTCTGGAGATGAATGTTGCCGACCGCTTGCTTCTCTAGTTATACCAACTTTAGTAACGACCGCAAGATAGCAATACAGAGAGACACGCACTCAACCAAAACGCCACTCTATAGCCACAAATAATGCTCAGAACAGCACCTAACTTCATCAACAGGACATATAGGGTCACAGCCATAGTACTAGACACCAAACATCTTTTTAACTTTGACTCATTTCTTTAGCAAAGAGACTAAACACAACTCGCCTACTCTCTTCCAGCAGCCGCTTGTTTGTAGTGAGACCTCAGGCCAGTCCATTACGGACTACAGTGGGGTGCCGCAGCTCAAGGAAGAACATTTAGGATCATTTCTTTATCATTTCCTTTAAGTAATAATCACCATATTAATCATTTTGCACTGCAGACGCGGTAGTTCTTCTGCCTTAGCATCTCGGTCTGATTGCATCTCCATGAAAAATACCCCTGCATATCTTAAAATAAATGAGTTATAAAACACTTCGCCTGCAGACCCAACATGTCCATTTAGATACAACAATTTATTTTACTGTCAACCTGTAAATCTTGAGATTGACTGCATGTCTTTATCAATCCTCAGACGTCTTTCATGCTTGTGAAGATGGATATTTTTGTAAACATGTTTTATTGACAATCATGACTTATTGATATATTCAGCTAATAAGAGCGACATTTTGAATCCAGCTCAGTCACATTTTTGGCTAAAACTTCTCCCAGCGAAGAAACAAGAGGTGTTCCTGTGACTCCTTTAAGCCTTGACTGACGTGTGATTATTGGTGACATATCCAAATTGTTTTTCCTGGGATTACCTCTGCAAGGCATCCTTTCAAATAGGGATTAGAGAAATATGAAACCTGCTCTTTGGGCTCTTTGATACTCGCTCAAACAGTCCCATCTCCCCTGCTCGTGTTATTGCCTCACCCCAAACCACCCAGAAGCCGAGTAGACAAACTCTGCAAAATTCTTTCATTTACACATCCACTGCTTCCTTGATTCGGGCTTCTTTTTTTCCCACTGGAGCTGCACTGGAGCTCTTTTCCTCTCTACCTCCCTGAAACGTTTTCTATTATTCATCAAAAGGGGATTTAAGCACCTCTCCTTTCCTGTTACACGAGCAAAAAACAAGACATCTCTGCCTCTTTAATGCTGATTCCTCTCATCTCGGGGAACGGCATTTGTTGATCATTAAAATAAAACACAAACGCAAGTTACAGAAAATTGATTCTTTAGCTTCCAGCAGAGTAATAAGAAAACGAGGAGAGAGGGCAGGGAGAAGGGAAGAGTTTCCTGGATGTATGAACCAAGACTTGTCCTCAATTTCTGGCACTGAAATCACTTCATTTTCTCTTTGCTTTAATTCTGAGGAAATCTGTATTTCTGCAGCACTGCTCACACTCCAACTGATGATGCAGGCTCACAGATGAGCGCGCACTAACTCAGCACAAAGGCACTTTTCATTTCATGAGTATGCAAATGACGCATCTGACAACTTTTATCACTTCAAAACAACTAAAAGTATTCTTGATCTACAATGGAGGCAGCGCACAGCGTGACTCCAAGTGAACAAATTATTCCTTTCAACTAAAATTAGACACAAGCGCTGAGAGCTGCAGGTAATTGGAAAAAACTAAATGACAAAAAAGTCCCTCTGTAGTCTGAACACTTTCATTTATAGCCTGAGCAGTGTGACCTTTTTCGGGCTGATTCACTGGGCTTTTGAATTATGTGTTTTTAAATATAGTAATGCCAGTTTATTTTGGGTGCAGCACTCCGGGGAGATTTCTCACAATGGCCTCGTTTTAACTGAGTGGGATGGCAATCTTTGAGTGCTAGGCTGTGGCATTGTCAACTCGTGTTTTTTTTCTTCTCTGGTTCAGTTTGTTGGTTTGTTATCTGATGTTCTTGTTGCTAGATTTATGAGCTCTGATAAAAGTGTCTTTAGCCACTGATAGAGCATGAGAACAACCTTTAAAAATGGACACAGAGGAAAGTTAAATATAAGTCAAGACAAAATAAGCGTTTAACTATTGCACTTCGATGTAAATTTTGCTCAAATGCTTAGGTAAGAGAAGATTTTGAGGATATATAAACTCAGGTTTCAAGTCTCAGGATGCAGCGAGCATTTCTTGCGTAAATAGTAGATAGTAAAAAAGCCAAGAAGAAGAGAGCTGAAAAGCACATAAATCCCACTTTACTTCCCTATAGCCATTTCAGAAGTTTTAAAGTGCCCTTGGCCAGCCGGTTATGGGCCCATGGATCAGAGGTAGGAGGGGTTGAAACCTTCATCTGGCAAATTGGACACCTGTGAGGGATTATTTTGCAGCATCATACAAAGGGAAAAAATGGCAAAATGCTGATTCTCATCTTTAGAGAATGGGGAAATAATGACAATGAGCTCAGATGTAAGAGCAGCCTGAACATGAGGGGCAACATTCTGTCCTGCAATCAGTGCAACAGCAGCAATGTTTTTCCAACCCTTACCCCCAATTTCCATCGCGTCTGGAACGGCTACGAAAAGGCTGTTTCCGCTGATCGCAGCTGATCGTAACCATTCAAGTTAACGTGTCAATTTCCACCGGCTTCTTTCCGTTCCGCTGCGGCTCGCCGGACTCCTCAGCTGATCAAGAGAGTTCTATTTTTTCCAGACGGTGGAGCATGCCGGATAAATTCAGCACATATTAACCCGTGCTGGAAAGACAGTCAAAAGCACCAAAATGTTACGTTGTAACAGAGCTCTGGTTGTAATTTTTTCTGCACTCATATCTTCCTCCTTCAGCGTGACCCTCCTGGCGGCTTTGAATAATACATAGGATGTGTCCATCTTCATGACAACAGGTTAGCCTTTCTCTACCGCTCTGACCTGGGGTTTTTGGTCCACGTTGTTGGCACCATGGAAAATGGGGACATCAATAACCTGAAAATGAAAAGTAGATTTATCATTTTGTTTTCATTTCCATCTCTATTATATATTCTGTTTTGAACTGAAAATATGAAAGCAAACACTAATCTTTTATTTTTTGGTTATACAGTAAAACAAATAAACAAAATATTGACTCGTTTTTTCGTTTTTCATTTACTAGATTGAATGGAATAACTGAATGGACGGATAATACATGGACCATTCTGCAACTTCTATCTTATCATCTTGTTTTTTTAACATAATAGCATAAGCCTCTTCATATATTTAATTCCCTGGCCTGTACACACTGTGTTATAAAAGTTATAACACTTTGAAAAAAGTATTTTTCAGGAGAAAGTTTACAGTGTGGGGACCATAGACTGTACAAAAAAAAAAAAATATATATATATATATATGTGTGTGTGTGTGTGTGTGTGTGTGTGTACGTACACATTCTGTAAACAGTCTATGGTGGGGACTGTCTGTCACTGCTGCCGTCTGGGGAATCCCGAAGACCGGCGGAAAATGCCGAAAGCCGCACTGCACGCTGGGAAACTACGAGCTCAACGATCCGCCATCTTTCTTTGTAGCGAATGTGCAGGTGAAAACAACAACCGATTTGAATGATTATGTCTGCCAAATAAAAGTGCCGAGACTGCTCAGTTTCGTTTTATATCATACTCTCCACGCTTAAAAGGGAGCCGGCGGGGGTTAATTGAAGATAGAGCTTGTATTGAAGCTTCAGGGCGCAGTAGTTTGGTGCAAGCGCTCGCCTAGCGGAGGTGGTCATCATGGGCCGCTCACGGAGCCGCAGCTCGTCCCGGTCCAAACACTCCAAAAGCAGCAAGCACAGCAAGAAACGGAGCCGGTCTCGGTCGCGGTCCAGAGACAGAGAGAGGTCCAAAAAGCGGTCCAAGTCCCGGGAAGCGAAGAGGAGCCGCCGCAGAGAGTCTCGCTCCCGTTCCCGGTCAACCACAGCCTCGTCCCGCAGAGAGAGAGCAGCCTCACCGCCGGAGAGGATCGACATCTTCGGGCGGACGCTGAGCAAGAGAAACGCGCTGGATGAGAAACAAAGGAAGGAGGAGGAAGAGAGAAGAGTGGAGATGGAGAGACAGAGGAAAATGTGAGTATATTTCTAACCCGAGGCTTATTTTATCTTATATAACCTTGGCTGAATTGAAGTGGGCTATATGCTAAGCTAAAGGCTAGGCTAGTTTGCATTGAGAGTCAATTCATTTAGCTGTTAGCTATTAGCAGGCTAATACTAATGCTAACGTCGGCTGGCCTATTGAGGGCCCTGCTGCACACCGGGGAGGTTCATACCTGTCAGAGCTGAGTCCTGCACACACACTGAAGGCCAGATCACCTTTAGTTATACCCGTGGGTACTGTGGGGTGTGAGATTTACCAAAACTGAATGATTTTGAACTTAAACCTTGCGATTTAGACAATCAGTAAATGAAGAAAATAATGTTTGCAATCAATGTTTTCTCTCTCAGCATGTAGATTTTGCCTGTTAGATGGAGATCTGGGTGTTATTGCAATGCTTCAACACCATTTTATTACAGTCAGATGAAGCTTCAGCCAGTTGTCAGCTAGAAATATAATAGTTGGTCATATATAGAGATGAAAAAATTTACATTTTAAATGCATTTTAAGAATCGGAATTAGAAATACTTTAATAATCTCCAGGGGGAAATTTGTCACAGTAACTCCAGTGCAAATAAAGTAGAAAAAGGAAATAAACAATTGATAAAATACATAAAAATAAGTAAAAAATAAAGAGATAAATGGATAAAATTAGTAAAAAAATAAAGAGGTAAATAGATAAAGTAAAAATATAGAGGTAATACACAAGTATTTACACTAAAATCAACACAAATAGTGACATGCATACAAACAGTAAGCAGAGTCCAGGTAAAGATGACTCACTGAGGTGTCTCTGCTAGTCTGAGGGTTTTCCTGTGTCGCTCTGTGGACCACGCGGAGCGAGGATCCTTCTGCTGAAGGTGCTCCTCTGCAGGACCAGTTGACTGTAGAGAGGGTTGGAGACATTGTCCAAGTTTAATATTTCACTGTCTAATATTTCTGTATCAAACACATTTCATATTTATTATGGTATGTTTTTTCTTCATGCCATACAGACCAAGAGTCGGGCGAACAGTAGACTCAGAGTCACGAATGATTAAGAGACTCATACATTATTACTTTTTATATTTTTGAAGTTATATTGTGAGCATGCCTGCCTTTAAAAATAGGAACTGTGGTGAGTATAGAGTGAGGAGAGACATGCAGCAATAAGTTGTGACCAGGAAGTGAACCAGCGACCACCGCAGCCGAGGTTAGAGCCTCTGTATGTGGGATGATTAGACTGTGAGGCCATCAGCGCCTCTTGTTTGTTGTTACAAGAAGAAAACATATTCCAGTGATGTTTTTGTCCAGTGCCATGCAGATCTAATCCTTCCTTTTCATACTTAAATTATCTACATATTTTTCTGTAGCTGAGATGTGAGGGGGCCAATATTTATTGAATTGCATAGACGTAGATGGACAACGTGAATGTTAACATGGACACAAATCCAGATGTGAAACAAACACTGTCAGTAAATATATTTGCTGTAAATGTCTGTCAAATAAACTGCAGACTCGATATCAATTAAAACATTCACCATTTCATGACACGCTGTCTGGTCACACCTTTATTAGTTAGGTGAAGGTTTTTTTAGAGGACCATGCAAACATTCAGTAGCAGTCTCACATGTTTTACTCATGCTGTTAAACTCTTAAACCCATTTACATACTTCAAAAACATCCTTTCTGCCTGTTTTAATGTTGTCCATGCAGCTGTGGTTGGATCTGCTGGTGTAGCATTAAAACTGCTTTCTCAGGAGTTGCTGTTAAAGTGCAGTCCTGCCGCTGCTCTGCATTGTTAAATACTTTAGCGGTGTCACATTATGACCATAACCTGTTCATTGTCAGCTGGCAGGTTTGGTTTGTTGGGACAGGGAAGCTGCCTTTGTGAAAGTGTATGTGGTAGCCAGAGGCACGCAGACACCTGAGATCTGAGCTGCTGCTCCACACCTGGCCTCCTGAGTGGATCTCTTTGACGGTGTAATAGCTGCAGGGCCACTTAACCAGGCATACAAATGTTAATGTCATGTCACTGAGACTCGGTAGATAAGGAAGGACTCGGGTCTGGGCTGGGTGAGATCTCTGGTTTCTCATTGGCTGGCAGAGTGAAATCAAAACCAGGGAGGGTATGTTGCGTGTTTACAGTTGTGCCAGAAGCAATGTGACAACATGACCCCCGACTCTTAAAGGTTCCTGTTCAGAGTGCATTTAAAGACTGAAAGGAGCAATTTAAGAGGCGATTTAACAAGCAAACAGGATGGCAGGTAACACCCATCAGTCAGGACAGATGTATACCATCGTACAGGCAGAAACGAACACAAACAGGACTTTCATTTAGTTATTATATTTAGTAGGAGAAGGCTGGACAAAGGTTTTATTATAATAAAGTACATTATAACTACAACTACACCCCCTGTCGTGCCCTCCGATCCTCAGAGGGAAATCTTGCCCTACCCCCTCAAACCAAGCACCAAACTTGGGGGGACAGAGCCTTCTCCGCTGCCCTCCACCCTCTTGAATTCACTCCCCAATCCCAAACTTTGCGCCATGTTTACAAGTTGTATACTGTGCAATGCACATGCGTGCGGCTGCTCTTCTCAACACTGAGCAGTATCACTGTGAGCTTTTCCAGAGTGCGGAAATCAAATGTGTCTTTTTTAACCTTTTACATTGTTGGTCTTATAGTATTTATTCGAGTAAGCATCTACAGACATGAATCGACTCATCCTGCTTCATCTTTCTTAACCCTCATATTCAGACGAGTTTTAAATAAAACTAATGCGTAGTACGTTCACCGGCCTGGACCTCTCTCAACACTCAGAAGACGGTGACCACAGGGACTCCAGATTTCTCGGCCTTGCTGTTAAAGGCCGGTGCTTACAGGGCAACAGAATTGATATGATTTCACAAGCCAGCAGAAAATCGACACCACGCCTTCAAAATGTAAATCGCTGAGACGCCACAAGGAATGTGAAGGACCTGGACTGAGATCCCTGATAGAGCTGCATCATGAAAAATATGGAGCAGCAGAGTCTTGTTTGTATTTTTGGGGTCTGTCTGTCGTTAGAGAGCAGATCAGATTGATAATAATCAGACTGTTTCCTCTATGAAATCACGGCTCATGTCTGGTTTTTGTCCTCTCTCTGCAGTCGGCAGCAGGAGATCGAGGAGAAGCTGATCGAGGAGGAGACGGCGCGGCGGGTGGAGGAGCTGGTGGCCAAGCGGGTGGAGGAGGAGCTGGAGAAGCGGAAGGACGAGATCGAGCGGGAGGTGCTGCGGCGCGTCGAGGAGGCGAAGCGCATCATGGAGCGGCAGCTGCTGGAGGAGCTGGAGAGGCAGCGACAGGCTGAGTTGGCGGCGCAGAAGGCCAGAGAGGTAACGCTCGGTCGTTTGGAACGAAGCCCCTCCTTTCCCTTCAAACCCTAGACCCCTTACCCTCTTTTCCCTCACCCCCCCTACCACCACCTGCACTGACTGGTGCCTTACTGTGGGAGACTTAGGGATGGTGGAGGGACCTCCCACACCTCCCAGTTTATATGTTAGTAATCGAGCCATGGTGGAAATGACACAGCAGGGAGAGAGGTGATCATACTAAACGTAGACTTTTCTGAGAAGACAAATTAGAGAGCAAAATAAAGAAGGCAAATTTATTTACATTATAAAGATTTAGTATTTATTTCAATTTTTATCTTTAAAAAAATTGAGAAGCATGCACGTGTTTGCTGAACATGTAAAAAGGATGTTGCAAACAGTCAAATCTCCAATCTTTAGTTTGTGTTTGTACCAAAACTTCTTCATTTTCTTGCAGGAAGCTAAAATCTTTTTGTTTTTAAGTGATAGAAATCCTACTTTTAAATAATTCCTTGACTTTTCTTAAAGGTGACGTTTGAATTTTCCCGACTTTAAATGTTTCCCTGACTCCCCGGTGAGATTTCTGCCATGGCGAGGTTACACACAGATGACTGACTTCATCGTTTCTCTTACTTTGAAATCTCGATCGTTTTGATCTTTTATTTCATGTTTGTAGCTTCTCAGTTGATGTCTGTAATAAAGATTTTTCATCTCCTTTCTTAAATGCCGTGTCAGTTTTAGAAAACCGTCTCTCTTCATCAGCGGTCACTTCTGATCTTTCTAAATAAAGTTGACGACTCTCTGCAGAAAGCCGTAGTTTTTTTGAGTCCCAGTAAGAAGTCTTTTCCTCTAATGGTTTCAGCTTCAGCCTCCTTAAAGTAAGTCCGAGCTCAGACAGAATGAAGGTAGACAGCAGTCTGCGCCCCACCTCCCTGGGCGTCATTAGGAAAATGGGATTTGTTTACACTACAGTAATAATGTATTGTGAATGAGGGGGGGCAGCTAAAGCCTAGTGACCCCGACTTGCACACGGAGCAGTCAGTGGCTCGGTACTAATAGGGTGAGAAATGTAGTCCGGTGGCACCTCCTGGTCTTTTTCGGTTATCTCTCTCCTCCTCCTCCTCCTCCTCCTGCCTGATGCTCTGTCTGCATGCTCCCACTCTGCTCTGTCTCGTTCTCCAGCCCTTTGACGTGGACGGCGTTACAGTCTGTAGAATTAGCACGGCTCCTCTGTAACTACGACGACCAGCTGAAAAAGCTTTAGTCAGACGCCCACGGGTCCGATCTTGACTCTCAGTGAGGCTTTAGTGGAGATTTCTCCTTCAAATCGAAGTTCATGTGTAGAAAATGTTGTTTAACTCACAGTTTGTCCCGTACAGGTTTTCTTTACCAGCCCCCCCACCCCCACCCCTTTACCTTCTCTTTAACAAGGACGCACAGTAATGGACTGCTACGTTTATTTTCTCCTCTGTCCTGTTTGAAAAGGTTAACTCTCTCAGGTCTAACCTTTTGATTTGTGACTCGTATTTTTATTTCTCATATTTCTTTATTTCTCATGAAGAACTTTTTCTCCTCAGAGAATCCAATGTTCTGTGTTTTGTACTCATGACCTGCTTCTCCTATAGGGTTGCTGCTAAGTTTTGATATTGTTATCTGTAAATACATTTGTGTTGTTTTTTTATTTTGGAATTACACAACTCACCAACCTTCCTAACTAGCACTTGACCTGAGCTGGCCTGCAGCCTTTCAGCTCAGCCCGTGACTCATGTCCTGTCCTGTAAGTGTACCGTGGTCCGGTCCTCCTCGAACACACACAGACACCACTTTGTACTGTACTCTCCTTCACTCTGCTATCGACTCAGTGGGGACTGAGCTGCTGTAAAGAGAGGAACAAAAAAAAACTATTTAAGAAAAAAGAGAGAAATGAGCTGTGGCTGCAGGCGCAGGCTAAGCAGTACAGAGTTCAGAGTAATAAGAGGAATGCCGCGGGCGCGGTATGGCAGAATACCCCCATACCTACCTACCTACCTACCTACCCACCCACCCACCCCAGGAGCGCTTCTCTGTCTCTGCAGGGGCCACACAGTCCGGACGAGACAGTAAATATTCAACCGTTTAATGCCGAAAGCTTTCACCAGTTGTGTAGGTACACAGGGAAGGAAAATGCGTAGGTATACGTGCATTGGTGAGCCAAAACTATTCCCTCCTTTATTTGTATCCTTTTTTCTCTTGCTTTTAATGATGTTAAAAACCAGCAAATGTATTTTCTTCTAGATTGTATTGTCTGTCATTTATATCTGTCCTCTATCTCTGAGTGTGATGAATGGGTTTCCCCCCCTTTTGTAAATTCATGTGTTTAAGTTTTAATGTGAGCGCCCCGAGCTTTTAATTTCTCTCTAGGAGGGTATAAACAGCAGTAGAGGGAGGGGGGAAAGTAGAGGGTTGATTTCCCCCCAGTTTCTTTATGCTTTTTGCCCCATTTTTGTATTTTTAAACCAATTTAGGCTGACTGCAAAGAATGCCGCAGTGTGGTTATGTGCGAGAGGCTAAACAAACTTCTCTGTGGTGCAATGAGTTAGTTTTATTTTTTTGTTTTGGTGTGTGTGTACTTGTGCTGGGGTGGCGAGTGTGTGCGTAACAATTAGAGGGCAAGCGTGTGTGTATGTATGGACCTAAAGTGCTCTGTGGCTGTAGCCTGTTCGTGCGCTAACATGGAACTGTGTCACCCGTCTAGGAGGAAGAAAAATCTAAGCGGGAGGAGCTGGAAAAAATCCTGGAGGAGAATAACCGCAAGATCGCCGAGGCTCAGGCCAAACTGGTACGCCCTTTCTTCTTCTCCACCGTGAACAGCAGCGCCACTTCTTTCTCCACGCATTCAGACCATTTCTGTCATATTCATAACCCTCAATTTAGCCGCTTCTGCATGCTGCTGCGGTCGCATAAAATGACTACGTCCATTCATGCGCCGCTTTTTAATGCAACACCCTTTATATGATGTCAAAAGCTCTAAAAATGAGACACAGAGAGCAGCTTGTTTCTGTTCATCTCTTTAAAAATCCATTAATATGATTAAAGAGACAAAAACTGTTTGAGAAAATAGAGAAGATTTTCGCTGCTCCAAGTCTTTGAACCAACGTCATTTTCACCAAGAATGAGGACCGCTCTTACAGCGAAGGCACTTGTGATGATTTTAGGATTGTGCAGAAGCATGAGACATTTGGAATAACTCGTTTTTTTGTGTTGTCCGCCTCGAGCTTTGGTCCTCAAAATTGGCTTTTGGAGTTATCAGAAAACCAGAAAATGTCTTTTTCAGCAGAACAGAGACAGAAACGAGTCTCCTCTCAGGACTGTGACTCTGAAGCAGACACATGAACGAGAGTTTAAAGCATCTGGTTTCACTGTCCTCACTCTTGGCTGTTGTCACTAAACATGCACTGATATATTGGCGCCGATTTCCTCAATTTTGGGGGATCAGTGATGGGCTGATCGTAACACATAAAACCGATTTTATCCACCGATCTTACTGACTTCAGCAAAGGTCTGAAAGTCAGCCGTTTTAGCTTTTTGTAGATTATTATTTTACTAACTTCCTCAAACCTTGTGATTTCCTGTGCACTTTATTTTGGTAAGAGGCTCAAATCAGGCCTTCAGTCTGACCTGTTGCTTAAGTTTTATTAATTTTTAAAATGTGGAAAATATTAAAGACTAAAGGAACTGGTAATATTTAGTAGTTTGGACACCAATATTTTAAACTTTTAATTTACCGTAGTTTTCGCACGATAAGGCGCACTTAAAATCCTTTTGGTTTGTCGGAGCTCTGCAGCTACCGTAGCCTCGCCGAGTTAAATAAAGTTTGACTTATTTGACTGTTTGCATTTGACTTAATGCTCTTTATTATCCGGTGCACCTTACGTATGAAAATAGACACGAATATGCGCGTTCATTGATGGTGCCCCTTATAATCAGATGCACCTTATAGTGCGAAAAATACGGTATATTTGAGAGAAGTACCTCATGTGCAGTTAAAACAAACACAACAAGGTTTATATTGTCCAACAAGTATTTTTTAATGTTATCAGTAAAATAAGATTGGAGCATCGAAGGTTTATGTCGTCAGTTATTAAAAATAAATAAGGTATCGGCAGGTCAAGCTTTTTAAAGATCGGTGATCGGCCAGAAAATTATGATCAGTGCACCCAAAGTTGTCACAAATTAAAACTCAGTTTGTTCGACTGTTTTTAAAATAACACTCAATAACTTTGTGATCTTTAACATGAATGTAAATCCAGTTTTAGGGTCGTAGTGAGTCTGGTACAAACAAACAGCATCACGTCATGTTTGTCATTTGTGACCTTAATGTGTCTTTCATTAGACGTCCTCCAGAGACGGAGACCTCCAGGCTCTCAGCACACCACAACACAACTTTACAGTCCTCTTGGCGAGACCCTCGTCTATTCAATAGCTTTGAATTGATGGTTATCAGTCGTGGTTAACAATCCAGCGGGTTTGTTTTTCCTGCTGGCTATATAAGCTTAAGCCTGACTAATTTGCAACGCCGTGTTTATTTGATGGAGGCGAGCGAACAGCTGCACACAGAAGGGAAAGCAGACAGTGTAATACAGGATCTTAAAGCGGGATAAAGAAAACGCCGTCAGTCTGCGGGCTCCTCTGGGTTTGAAGGATTATTGTTTTTTTCCGTCCCTGTCTGACCTCTTTGTTTGTGTGTTTGATCCGACAGGCCGAGGAGCAGTTGCGTATTGTGGAGGAGCAGAGAAAGATTCATGAGGAGCGCATGAAGCTGGAGCAGGACCGTCAGAAACAGCAGAAGGAGGAGCAGAAAATCATCCTGGGAAAGGGCAAGTCCAGGCCCAAACTCTCCTTCACCCTCAAGGCCACCGAATGAGACTGCTCCCCCTGCGTCCTGCCTTCATCCCACATCCTCATCATCTAGCCCCTACATCCTCCTCCTCCTCCTCCTCTGTGGAACGCTCGCTTCGTTTTGGAAGTGCCGAAGGAAGGCCGAGGAAAAGGGAGGTGCGACCTGGTGTGGACCTGACGTCCCTGTGAGGAGCCACCCCCCCCGGCCTTGAAGAGGAGGCAGCTTTTCTCCCCTTTTAAAGGACCTGACTGCGCCCTCCATCCCTCCCCGTCCCCTCCGCACAGATGACTCTTGTTTGTGCTTTTTTTTTTTCTCGGTTTTATTTTTTAGGAAACTTGAACTTTTGATGTAGAATGCTATAACATGTCCCCACAGTCTTAACTCCGGTGTGACAGCAAAGTAACTGTGCGCCTGTGCTCCTCTCCTCCTCCGTCTTCTTCTTCTTCTTCTTCTCTTTAAATGTCTCCACAGCCAGCAGACTTACACTAAACACCAGTCCCTGATGGAGAAGAATATGTGTGACTCTGTGTAGTTCAGCCCTCATGTGCAGCTTGGGAGTTGTCCCGTGGTTTCCTGTTTGGATTTCTTTTCAAAATAAGGTTTCTAGAGTCGCTGCTGCAGCCTCTAAAAGCACAGCGACCTTCCCGTCCAGTTGACAGGCTCGTGTCTTCCACCGTCTCTTCTTCTCCACCCACAACAAATCCACTCAGTGTCTGATTTTTATAGATTCAACTCGGTTTATTTTTCATGTTTTTAAAGAACGATAAGAAGAAATCCGCAGTTTGATTTTTAGTGCGTTCTGCAGCGCAGGTGGACTCCACCTTGACCTCCAAGCTGCACATGACTCGAACCATGAACCTCTGACAGGATACGTGTCTGGTCTATGATAGGGGGTCTTCACGGGTACTGGCAGAGAGAGAGAAAGAGAGATAAAGAGAGAGAGAGGGTGAGGGTACTTTTCCTGTATGATGTAATGTTAATAGCCTTGCTGTGATGTTTAACTCCCACTGCCCCTCTTCCTGGTATGAAACTGATCCACAATCAGAGAACAGAAAGTCACAGTAATGCTAACTCCTTTAATCCGACTCTTTGTTTGGGGAGAAAAAAACACTCGTGTCCGTGTTTCTGTCCCCGAGTTTGGTCGTAGTGAATTAACTCGGGCGAGCGCTTGATTCGTAGAGGATGGACAAGTTCAGGTAAGATCAGGTTTGAGGTCAGCAGCAGTGAGTGTGTGTGAGTGTGTGTGTGACTGAGGAAATGTGTGAGTGAGTGTGTGTGTTGGTGAGTGTGTGTGTTTGACTCTGCGGCGCTGACCTCAGGTGGGTATACAGACTTTTGTTGAGTTGTGGGAATTTAAATTTGTCATGTAATTTCTCCCCAGTTGTCGAGGGACTGAACAGATCAATAAATCCATTGAATGCCTCCACACCTCTGTAGACTCTGCACTCACTTTCTTTTACACTAAAGGGTGATTGATTATCGGGGTGAATATTCACCGATTGGTTAATTATCTTTCATTTTACTTCACCTGTGGCTGATCGAACTGGGATAAAAGTGAACGACTTTGGCTCTCCTTCGGTGTCTGTCGCTCTCCGATTGTTCTAAGATGGTCTGACACTCTAAGGCGATGTTCACACTGCAGGTCAATTCTGATTTTTTAACCATATGTGACTCATATCTGATTTTTTCATCTAAGTGTGAACAGGTCAATTCTGATTTTTTCTGATCCGACCCAGGCCTCTTTTGTATGTGGATATAAATCAGATATGTATCCGATTTTGACTGCAGTGTGGACGCTCAGGTCGCATTCATCCGACCTATACGTCATTAATATGCGACAAACGTCACCATTGTTCGACAACACAAACAGTGCTTTGTGCGCATGCGGGTCACTTCACGGACAAATTCTGTTCACATTAGATGCCGCATTCGTAATTTGAATGACCGCACAAAAAGATCGAATTTAACAAGAAACCTGAATTGTGCATCATAACCTGCAGTGTGAACGTAGCCTAAGTATTTGGTCTAGGGGTGTCCTGGTACAACTTTTCGACTTCCGATACAATACTGATATTGTAGCCTGTAATATTGACCTATACCGATATTGTTCTGATATTGGCACAAACTTGCGCATGACAAGTTTTTCACTCGGCTGCAATGTCTTTTTCGGACTTAAACTAAAAATTCTGCGAAAGGGCCGACATTAGTCCTACTCTTTGGTACTTTGTTAGTACCTTAATACACACTGATATCGGAGAATTTAAATGCAGGCCGATATAATACGATGTTCATATTTTTTTTCGATATCTGATATCAATATTGGATCTGAGCACCCCTAATTTGTACTGCTGCTTAAAGCTAATTTTCCTTCACTTATCAGACAGTTTTTATCCTGCTGATTTAAAATGATCAAACCCATCGTTCAAACTGAATACTTAATGTGTAAATTCCAAAAAAAGGGCGATTTCTCCAGCGACAAATCGAATTTCGGACATCAAAAATAGGGATGTAAAAATCTCAAACTGTGTCCCTGATGGTCTTGTTTGCTTTTTCTGTATAATAATAAAGCTTCAGTTTTAGTTTCAGTTTATTTTATAGTTGTGAAAAAAAACACCACAGGAGCTTTAATGCAAATAGAAAATCTCCTTTACTTGCTGTCGTAAATTCATCTACAGTAATTGAGTATTTTTTATATTTTGAAAGATATATTTCTAATTTAAAAGTGTTTTTGTTTCAAGTATTGACCATCAGTTTCATTAAATTCACTTATCAGTAAACTCTCATTTTGAAAAACTGTAAACTCTAAATCTTCATTTTGTCGTCATGTTTTCCTGACATTTCCAGGACCTTTTGTTTCTGTTTTTTTAATTTTTTTAGCAGGTTTTTCACACTCCTATCATTTTCCACTCTGGAGTTCTCCTCTAACCGCTCCGCCTCATGTGATGACGGCCTCAGCAGAGATTTCAGCTGCTGTCTTTATGTCTGTCGCTGCTCCGGTTTCCAGTAAAGTGACAGAGACTGGATGAGATCACCGCAGATCGACCTGAGATCAGCAGGAACGCCGTCTTCTCCTCCTCCTTCTCCTCTTCCTCCAGCTTCTGTTCATTGGATTAAAGTTGATGACAAACAGCATCAACAAACACTCAGTGATTGTAGTAAGTGCTGTATTTAAGGGCTGGCTTTAATCGAGGACTCCCAACAATCCAATTCAGACTGTCAAAACACATTTAACCCTCATCCTACACCCATGAATTCAACTCCAACCTGACCTGCTGTTCAACTTTTCCACATGATGAAAGTTTACAGGCTGAAAATTGAACTTTTTAAGACTTGTTATGGTCAGACAAAAAGTAAATCTAAAACAACAATTGAGTTAAATGTTTCTCTGTGTGGCTAACTTGGAGAAATCAGTCATTTCCTCTCTCGCTTTGTCAAAATGATGTCTTATATGTTAGTTTCAAAGTCTAATTTATTCTAAAAAGTGGTAAAAAGTTTTCTGGGGATGATAAAAGAGACAGTTTAAGCACAAAATACATAAAACAAAATATGTAAAAATTAAAGTAATTAAGTAAAACATGTTTACATTTCTTTAAATCCCAGATTAGCAGAACTGGTGGTCATTTGTTTTTCAAAATAAAGTAATTAAATACAGAAAACGGAAGTCAAGGGGATAAAAAGTTGGCAGAATAAATGTTTAATTTAAAGAATAAAGTATAAAATTTGTACACTCACACACGTAGTCAGCTGTTCTCGGATCAGGCGAACATTTGTTGGCAAACATCATCTCCTGCACTCCTATCATTTACATTATTGATTAATTTAATACTTCACAGAGGGATGACGGGAACTTTTCTCTACTTTGGAGCAGTTCACACAAACTTAACCTCAGTCCATTAAAAGCGTAAAGCTCCGCGTCGTTTCAGGACGCCCCCCGGTTCCCGGTGCCAGGCCGGCCGGCCGGGTCTGTGCGCTCTGACCGCTGAATAAACACTCTGCTCGGCGGCCTGTGCTCCCTGTGCCCCCGGTCTGTGCCCCAGATAAGAGAAGTGAAGGAAGACAAACACGAGAGAACAAAGCTGCTCAGATTACATGATACACAGATTCTTTTAAAGAGTAAGTTTATTTATTTGATCATTTTACATGGACAGTTTTGGTGCTTTAATATTAAACTAAGTGTTCATTTACAACACCTGCACAGGGAGATTTTATAATACTAATAAAATAATATAATTCAGATGATGCAGGATAAAAGTAGTAGTTTAAAAAAAGTGTTAGATTATTAGTCCACCGGTGAATTTACATCCTTCTGCGTCTTAGAGGAGACATTTTGGATCAATTTGGATGATTTTTCCAAACTTTGAATTCGCGTTAATGACATTAAAGTCTGTCTCAGGAGATTTACTGTTTGCCTCACATTAAGTCTAACAATAGTTTAAGTACGTCTGTCCTGTTTGCAAGTGTCAGGCTCAAAGATTCACAGTTAAGTGTGTGTGTGTCCTGTGTGTGAGTGTGTGACGCTGAAAAATCTGCCCGACGGCATGACTGACTGACTGGCTGACGAGTTTGTAAGTGCTCAGAGCAGGAAGGAGGAGATTTTTTAAAAAGCCATGAAACTTAAAACTTCCACTAAACTGTCACCCATGAAGAGAAAGACTGAGGGGGACAAAAAGTTTTCACTAGAAATAGATTTTTAGAGTTTAATCTGCAGTGAGAAAGACTTTAAAACTCGGAAAACTCGTTTAAAGACATTGTTAGACCCTTTGGTTCTCCATTCAGACACATGAGGAGATCATATGGATAAAACCAAACCGCAAAAGAAACGGTTTTCTTTACGCACAAGTCCACAACATGACACGTTTGTCTCTCTGAGGGATTTGTCCTTAAACACTTCAGTATTTAGAGAAAGTTCCGCACATGTCAGTCTGTTAGAAACATTTTCCTCTCAGCTGAAGTGAATGTAAAAGTTCACGCTGCTGTAATAAACATCCAGGCTGTGGTTTAGAGAGCTGAAGTGCGCCTCTGTGTTGATTCCAAAAGTGATGGTTCCTCGGACTCCTCGGTGTTATTTCATTGTGATTATCAGCTAAGCAAACAGCCCCAATCCACAGCGGCTGCCCTTTCAAGAAAAAAGCAGCTGATTGAATTAAGTCTTCGCGGGGTGTGAAGAGTTGACACGGTACCTGCAGCTGACGGAGGTGTGCGCGTCAAATTAGAGGCTATTCACCAAAAAGTTGAGTGTGAAAGTGCTTCATTTCAATTAGGACTTTAAAGGAACTGAAGTGCTCGTTAAGACAATGTTTAATCAGTAATTACACCCTCCAATGAGGGGTCCAAGAGTGTAAATAATAATCATAAAATTCAACTTTTACTGGCACAAAATTAATAATCTGTTTGGACTTCATACGGAGTTAAAAACTTGTCGATTTCTCTTGATTTAGGGGAGGGGGGTGTCAGATTTAATTGTCATTATTTCATTATGTGTAAAAGGATTTTTAAAAAGTTTAATTTGGGTGTAAAATCCTCTAAACTCGTCTGTTTCTGTCTCTGTCCTCAGCTCTCCAAGGCAGATTTTCCGCTAGTGGGCGCTCGTGTCTTTCGCAAAAACTGAAGGTGCAGTCAATGGAGACTCATGCAGCTCTGTGTGTGAGCAAATGTTTGCACGTTATTTTCATCACGGATCACCAAAACACGCGAGAATTGCCTAATGTATTCTATTTTATGTATTTTTTTAAAAAGTAGAATAAATGTTTGATTTATTTTCTGCGTAATTTCTGGTCTTCTCGGTATGGATAGATTATTTTCTCATCCTTTATTACACTAATTTTATATTCACTGTCGTGTTTTATCCTCATGATATTATATGTTAAATTTTTATATAGGTTTTGTTTCATTTAAAGTCTTTTAATCCACCTGACTAAAGTAGGTTTCGTGCGTAATTCCCCCATTTCGTTCACCACGAGTCACCGCTGAACCAGTTGCCCTCCTTGACTGACAGCAGATCTCCAACTGGCTCACGGACCAATCAGCTGCGACCGTGGGGGCGGGGCCTAGGCAAAACCAGCTTCGCCAAATAGACTATTCCCAGTCGCGGTCCCTTGCAGTTACTTTCCATCCAGGTTTCGGAGCAGCGTCGTGGGCATCATCCCTGTGCGCGGTGTGCGGGACGGATCTGCAGGAGCCAGCCGCAGCGCGTGCTTTGTTTTGGGGGACCTCTACTAGTATGAGAACTTCCATTCCCGCTCCTTTGATTTCTTTCATTCTCATGTTTTCTCATTTTCTTGATTTTGACCATCCGACCTCATTGTTTCGCCCTTCTCATTTTTCTGCTGCTGTCACCCACAGTTTGTTGCTCACCACCACCACCAGCTGAAAGGGGAATATCTCACCATTCCACCACCAGCCATCTCTCTGTCTTTTCCTCTGCTGCTGCTGCTGATCTGGATTTTGGCTGCACTGCTGGACTATCACGCAGGGGGATTTATATTTGTATTGATTTCCATCTGCCGCCCGCTCCGCAGCGGACACCGCCACTTTTTCTCTCTGAGGGATGTATAACAGCGGGGTGAATCCTGCGCTCTGAACACGGGAGAATATTAACGCACTGTCTGCTGAATGAACTGCTGCCGTGCGCCCTTGGTTTTTGGAGCAGGTCTCTCTTCTGGAGATGCTCTGGTGCGTCTGATCGGGGCTTTTGGTCCGTGCGTATCCCCTCTGGATCGGGATATAAGGTGAAGCAGTTGCCGCGGAGCTCTTGTCCTCTGTTTCTTTTTTTCGTGGACATATTTTGTTTTTTTCTTTTGGAGAAGGATTGTGCACCGACCCGGCGGCGCGCAGGCTAACCATGGGGGACTCGATGTGGAGATATTATTTTGGAGTTTTGTTTATTGCCTTCAAAGTGGACCTGTGCCGGGCGCTCATCCTGGAGTCCATCTACTGGAACACAACAAATACCAAGTAAGTGGAGCACAAGCCGCGCTGATTACTGACCCCCGTAGAGCCGTGTGTGTGTACGCTCTCCTGCGTGGAGACGATTTCACGCCAGACTCCGTAGAAAAATCAGGCACTTTCATGTTGCCTTCGTCTCTGCTTGAGGAAAAACATCAGGAGCGAAAATGAATTCATGTTTCGGAGCAGCTCTTGAATTCAGCTCAGATTTAGAGGAACAAAGAGTTGTCAGAGTCGCCTGGTTTCACATTAAACATCTCCCTCTCCTCCTCTTGGTAAAATTAACGCAGTTTTTTTGTGGTCATGTGTCTGAAGCTGCAGTGAGGATGGATTTTGGGAATTTTCGGGGTGAGAATTTCCCCCTGAAGTGAGCAGAGAGGCTGATAATCATGAGAAATAATCAGTGCTGCAGTCAAACACCTCCACAGACAGGTGTGAGTGTATCTCTGCTCGTTGTTTCGGAGCATTTCAGAGAGATTCGCGGTCTGTGTGTGTCGCCGTTGGGGAATAACGTATACGCGCAGTGGACGGCGAGGCCCCGCTCGGCCGTGCGTTATGGTGCCACTCCACATTAGAAACCCGCCTCACCAGGACACACAGCAGCAGTTTCTGCAGTTTATTGATTATTTGAAATCAATCGCATCTTCCTGTTGATTTTAGATGAATGGCTCGTTATAATTAATCTTTATAAAACACATTTTTGAGGATAACTTTACGCTTCGCCGGGGCGTCTTGGAAATCGTCGCGTCTGTAACAGGTCCGATAAAAATAGCAGACCTTTGAAGCCGTTTTGAGCTCATTAACATTCCCTTTCATTCCCCCACAGTTGTGTTTGTAGAGGATCAAATATTATTGGATGTTATTTTTATCCTCCCTCCCTTCTGACGGTTACATTAATGAGAGGAATCCAAGAGAAAATGGAAACATGACGAGGCGGAGGCTTCATGGAGCTGCCGCTGCTGCTGCTGCTGCTGCTGCTGCCGCTGCTGGGACGCTCCTGCTCCGGGCCTCGGATGCTCTCCTGAGCCTCCAACACTTTTTAAAACGCAAATAATTAAATAATCAAGCGAACAATGAGCTCGTTTTAATCTGGATTAAACTGGAAATATTGTTGCAGGGACGAAAACTTTGACTCAATCCTCTTTTCTCTAAATATTTCGTGTTCTTTGATGAAGAAGCGGGGACTGCAGGGTGTTTATATTCCGGGGAGTTTTAGTGCAGTATAGCTCTGACCACCAGTGAGTGATTATGTCGAATCCAGCCTCCCGTTTAGGCCCCACCGACATGTTTGTGTCGTTTTCTCGCCTTTTTTGTGTTTCTAACCACTCATCAAGATCATCGACTCCCCCCATTCGCCTCCTGAATCTCCCATTTAGCCAAGAAAGGCGGTTGAACTCTTTTTTTCCCCCCGCAGATAAAAAGGTGTCTTTCTCCTTCTCTACACCCTGCTCTCAGCCCGGCGGGGGGCGCCCCTCTTTGTGGCCGTTTGGTCACGGCCAAACTCCTACTCGCTCAATAATTCCGTTTTTGGCTCCAGTACAGGCAGAAAGCCCCCCTCTCCCTCTCTCTGTCTCTGTGTCTCCTGTTTTCCTCTCTCAAACACGCACACAATGGAGACGTTACGGCTGTCTAACAGGTGTCTATTGTTGTGCGCGTTTTAACTGCTGGAAATGAGCGTAAACTTTGGTTGTGCGTAACCGTGCGCGCTCCCACATTGTTTGTCTGTTGTGACATGTAATTCAGGATATGAGGGGGGGAGGATTTGTTGTTCTGGGCCTTCTAGCCTCTTGACTGTCACGTGACGCTCAGATTCACGCACACAATCGTGTTTTTATCGTTTTCAGGTTGATTCAGGCTGAGGTGGGAGCTTAATTCCAGGCCAAATGGCAGTGGGTCACATCTAGATGTCATGTTGTGAGTTGGTTTGTTAATGCCGAAGTGAATTCAGAGCCTTTTGATGAGCATTTGGCCTCAACAGAAAGACACAACAAACCTTTACTTGAGTTTGAAGTATGGAGAGATTGGATTCGATCTATTTTTCTAAATATCAAGTCTGAGTTTGAGTTTGAGGCAGAGCTCTCCTTCTATATCCGGATCAACCCAACAAGTCATTTGGAGCTTTTTTTAAAAATACCTTTCTCACAGAGCCAGAGTCTGAAACCTCCTCCTCCTCCTCCTCCATTTTAGAGCAAATGAGTATGTCATTCCACTTGGCGTGTCAGATTTGATTTTGGGGGAAGAAACAAAGAAAAGGGAAAAGAAGGGAAAGGGAAGGGAGCGCGTCCCTCCGAGCAAATGGAGGCCTCAGGGCTGCAGCGGGCATTCCTGCAGAATTAGCATTGTGTGCATGTGTGCATTCTTTGCGTTCTGTCTGGGTGAGAAGTTCAGAGGTAAAAGGTAAGGGGGTGATATCATTGTGGGACCAGACGCCTCTTTCTCTCTGCAGGTAGAACCTCTTTTGTGCGAGAACAATCCCTTCAGTTTGTGGTCCAAATAAATCTCTCATATAGACGTAAAAACTCTTTAGACATTTCAACTTGAGCGTTCTTTGTTCTCTTCAATTTTTCCCTCGCCAGGCTGGAGACGTCGATGACAAACTTTGAGTGGAAAACGCTGTTCTCGTTTTTCTGAATAAATGACACAACAACTTTTTATTATCCCTTTTCACAGCTTGTTGACAGTCCTCCTGCCTCTGTCTGTCTGAGTGTGTGAGTGTGTGTGTTATTGTGTGTGTTTGTGTGAGCCGGTTATTCCTCCCCGCTAGCAAAGAGAGAGAGAGAACCCCAAAGCGTGAATATCTTTATTCAGCAGGTCAGCAGTATGCTCCACAGCCCTCCTCGCCTTCCCTGCCTCTGTCTCTCAGCGAGTTTGTGTTCGTCCTCCTCGTTGACTATTCAAGGAAGGATGAATGTTAGAAATGTGAAGGCTGCGGGCCAGTCTAATGCCTTTGTGTGTGTAGGCCGGGGGAGAGGATAAAGAAACACTCAGAGTGTGTGTGTGTGTGTGTGTGTGTGTGTGTGTGTGTGTGTGTGTATCAGAGAAGAAGAGAAAAATCCCTGCGCAGGGCCCGCGGCTGTGTCGATTAAACCTCATTGTTGTTTGCGCTTTACTACTTTACTGCCCTTATGCATGAACCTCTGAAGAGAAAAAACAAGAGAATGACCCCACCACCTCGCCCTCCACACACACACACACACACACTAACACACACACACACACACACACACACACACACACACACACACACACACACACACACACACACACATCACAGCACACACACCTCCTTCTTCTGGTAATCCATTTTGTAGTTGGGAGGGAGAAACAAAAGCGAGGCCTGCTTTACATGGTTTATGTAAAAGGAGCGCTGCCTCTCCTCCACTGCAGTTCATTAAGAGATTACATAGAAGCCCAAAGACCCTTTGTGACCGGGCAGCGACGGGGGCACCTCTGTGGGTCCTTTTGTGAATGTGGGGGGGGTTAGAGAGAGAGAGAGAAGGAGGAGGTGGAGGAGGAAGGTGGGGGGACAGGCATAGAGATGCAGCTCCATCATGAATGACTGACGAGGCCTTGTGCTGTAACGACGCCCTCCCCTCGCCCTCCTCTTCCTGAACCCCCCGCAGAGCCTCTAATTTTCTTTTCTGAGAGAGAGAAAGAGCGAACGAGGAAGATCAGTTGTTTTAATTTAGTTACACTGATCGACAGCTGGGCGGAAAGTGAAATCCTGCCACCGCAGACGGCGCCGGGTTCACCCTGCCGGCGCTCCGGAGGTTGACGTGTCTTTTGAACAATTAGAGAAGTCGATGATTGAGATTGTGTGAGAGCAGGAGAAAGAAAAGAGGAGGAAAAATGATAGAAATGAATCAGAGAGCGAGAGGAGGAGAAGAAGAAAGCGTGGGGGCCCCGAGGGGGAAGGAGGGTAATTATGTCTAGGCCGGCTCAGATCCCACAGGCCGGGATTACCGGATGAAAGGTGGGCCGAACGAAGGCAGACAGAACCGGAGAGGACGAAGGAGAGGGGGGATAGGGTGACACTCAGCATAAAGACACCCGTCCCCTCCACCACCCTCCACCGACAGAGGGCGAAAGCCGGGGCGCAGCGAAGAATTGCAGCGGATTAACCCCTCGCCATGCCTCGGCTCGGCCTCTTTGTCTGCCGCCTTAATGAATCCTTGCGTTGCAGCTGGGATTCAGAGTCAAACAGTTGCTCTTGATCTGCAGAGAGTATTCGCCTCTCCTCGGGTCACTTGGTGGGTCTCCAACCTCAGGGCCGCAGGGAGGGACTCGGTCAGGGCGGGTTAGACCAGTCAGGTGGTCAAATTTAGGAGAAAAGGTGGAGAAGTTTCAGAGATGTCAGTGTTTTTTTCTGGTGACAGATGCAGCGGTCGTAACCTCTCAGGAAGTAGATCCCCACGCCTCCTCCTCCTCCTCCTCCTTTTGGCTCCTTTTGCCCTAAACGTTTCCTCTCTCCTCCCCCAAACACATCCACAGCAAACTTTAAGTTCGAAGATAAACGAGGAAAACAGATGTCGAGCTGTAAACTTTCAAGTCTGCGGTGAGAGTCACCCACCTGTGCGCCTGAATCAGCAGAGATGGTCACATATGGAAGAGACACAACCTTCAATCTGACGAGTGAAAGTCAGAGTTTAACCTTTGAAAAGCACGAGTCCTCGCTTTAAGAAAACCTGTGAAAGCTTCCTCCTGCTGTCTGACCTCTTCTGCCTCGTCTTCCTCTTATCATAAAAGCCGATTTGATCTGTTTTAACTCTGACACTGATGCAGAGATTGTAAGGAGAGAGTTCAGCACCTGTGGCTGTTCTCACCCTCCGACAAATGGCCCGACGGCGAGCTCACAGCTGAGGGAAACCTCCGTCCTGGAGCTGTTGGTGTTTGTTTAGCAGAAGTATAAACACTGATGGAGTTTCTCTGATAAGTTTAAACTCCTGTGCTCGAGTATTTCACATAAAATCATCTGTTTAAGAGCTGAGGTTATGTTGTTTCATCATGAAACCTCAAAAATATTCAAGTATAATCATAAAAAAACAAAAAACTTTCTGATTAATCGACTGACGCTTCTCCTCTCTGCAGCCTCACAGTTAAACTGAATCTAAAACAAACTTTTCTTGTAGCTAAATAGTAAAAAAATATTTTATTTACATCTTTAACTTCTTATAAAGTCATTTTAGTTTGTTTTAGGATTTTAGGAGAGAATAATTAAGTTTTCAAACTTTTTTAATCACTAAAAGTCATTTAACAAACTGATTAATCGAATCATGGTGTAACTGGATTATTATATAACAATAATACGACACCAAGCACCTTATTATTAATTAAAATAACAAATTAACATTCTTAGAAAGTAAAAAAATATATTATTTGGTTGTTTTAATCTTTGAAAAGTTCATGCTTCAGCAGTTATGGCTCATTTTAATCATTAACACACAATTTAATCAATTTTTAGTTTGATTTCATGATTAAAACACTGAATTTTACAGTTTTTAGGACCAAATGACATTAATAAACATCAAACTAACTGTCTGTAAGTTTCCTAGTTTCATTTAAATGTTAAAAACTTTAAAAAAGATGAAAAAAAAGTTGTGAAAACTTTTTAAAATAACTTAAAACCGATCACCAATCGATTAATCGACGTGTAGATCAATCTGAATACTGCTCATCAATAAAATGAAAATTTTCTGCATTTTTAGCTCTAAAAGTAAAAAAAACATTAAAAATATAAATAAAGTGAGTGTTTGACTTCTTTAAGAGTTGAGGTTTAAAGCTGCTGCTCATTATTTATTCAATAAAATCAATAAACATCCAAATTAATCGATTAAAACTTAAAACCGAGTTGCTTCTTCATAACAATTACTTATAATTTTACTGTCATTGTTTCTCTCATTATAACGTATTAACACCATTCTTGATGTTTTTAAAGTTCTTGAAGTTTTTTTTATTTTTTTCTGATTTTTCTTATTTTTTTTAATCTAAATTCTGATGATTAATTGATTAATCGATTAGGACTCAAATGATCAAGTGTGAAACATTAAAAGTGGTGTTTTTGTGATTTCATTATTTCTTTTTAAAAGTTTTACAGCTTGAATATTACAGCCTGGGGTGATACTTCCTTTTTTAAAAACTCCTAAAAGTCGAATGTTATCGATCAAACTTTGTGGAGAAGAAGGAAAAAACTTTAGCTCGCTTTATAAATATCTAGAAAAAAAACAAGAACTCTAATTAATTTACTTTTTTTTTTATAAAATTAAGTTTTATTTCACTAAATCATTCACTTTTAATTTACTTTCTTAAAAAAAGTAAAATGTCACATACAGTGAAATCGACTAAATCTTGTTCTTAGAGAGAAATCAGCGGAGATATTTGTGTTTTATTTACATTTACTGACCTAAAAGAGTTTCCCTTTGTAAACAGAATAAGTGCTGAAGCTGCTTATATTCAGTTTTTAAGAGTTTCTGAGTGAGACGTCATGATTTTAAAGGTTTCAGTCGTGTTTTCATGGAGGAGGAGAGTAAACGGTTAAATCTGTGTAGATACAGTCGAAGTTCCAGTTTCTCTAACAGATCTATAAAGTTTAGATCCCATGAGCTTCAGTGAAAAGATCTGCTGTTAGAAAAAAAACTCTTTTCTGAATCAGTCCTCGCAGATATGACTTAAAGTGTATTAAGTGAACTCATATCTTGGTATCGGTGCGCTCTGAGCCTCTCCGTCTCTCTTCATTTTGATTAATCAGCCTTTGATGCTTTTAGCGTCCAGACGAGCAGCAGACCTCGGTGATAAACGGCTCTCAGCTCTTTGCTGCAGGAATATTTATGGTGCGGGGAGTCTTCCTAAAGAAGGGGGCTTTTATTTTGACGGAGAGGAGGAGAGGAGAGGAGGGGTGAAGGGCCAAGTGTGCCTTGAAGCAGGGTGGGGGGCCCGGTTGGAGGAGGAGGAGGGTGGGGGTCAAACACATTTACAATTATAAGACATGCAGGCTCTTCTGTGTCGTCGTCCCTCCCTCTCCGCCTGTTTTATCGTCACGTCCAGGTGTCATGTCACCGTCACACATGTTTACTCGTCACAAACCGCACGGCGCAGGAGACAACGAACAGGCGTCCATTTTTCCTTTTTTTTCAAAGCAGAATAACTCATTTTATTTCGCAGTAATCAGCCTCTTGGCAGCTCGTCGTTAAACCCACGTCTAAACCACAGTTTGATTCTCCTCTGTCAGTTTTATTGAATGCTTTCATTACACAGCACTTTGCTGTAAATCAGCTGGCTCCGACACAGCAGCGTAACCGAGAGGATGTCTTGTTTTCGTGCCCCTGGCTAAGGCAGATCTTGTTTTTTTTTAAATTGTAAAGACGGTGAAAGAGCAGGATGCTACCATTAAGATATAAAATATCATATTCAGTCAGGAGCAGCAGAGAGCAGAGCGGGGCCCACACACCCACTCTGATTGTATGTGACAGAATGAGATGAAGACATGAGGGAGACGTCTCCTGTAGCTCTGGCAGATCTCTCGGTTTCTTCTCTTTGTGTGTGAAGTTCTCTCTCTCCTTCTGTTCGCTCTGTGTAGGTTTACTCTCATTATTCCTGCGTGCAGAACCAAACAGTGGAAAGACTTCTCCAGTTCAACATGCACGGACATTACACAATCTGGGTCATATTGTAAGATTAGCCACGTTGTTTTTTTGTTTGTTGAAGTTTATCCCGACTCTTCCAGGTTAGCCCCTCCTTGCAAACTTCCACTAACGTCCACGTCGTCCTCACTCTGCTGCTTTCTCCACCGTCATGCACGTTATAGAAGTCATATCCTCCCTCCTGAGACTCAGCTCTGCATTAATGCAACATGCAGGGCTTTATCCTGAGCGATATGCAGCTAAATAACTGCAGGAGGCGACTTCAGCTGTCAGCTTGGAGAGAAAGTCAGACGCAGGGTGAAATTTTTAAATTATGGCCAAAAAATTCACTTTTTTTATGGAGCTGAAATGTTTAAAAAAAAAACAAAATATATTTATTGATCTTGTTTCATACATTAGATGTTTTTGGAAACTGATAAACCACAAGAGGACATTTTTATCAAGGTGATTTTTAGTCATTTGTTGATCATATTGATTTGACAGAAGTACGTATCAAATATGATACAAAAGTCAGAGTTGTAAATGCGAGGTTAATTTGACCTGTGCATGAGAAGAAACATAATCCAGGTTGTATATTTTTATGAATTCAGTGATTAAAGTAAACGTCTGTGCAGTTTGAGTTTCTGTTGCTGAGTCAGTTTGTTTCATAACTCCCATAAACTCCGAGTCCTCGTATTCGATCAAATATCGGTCGGTCTTGTCGTCCCACAAAATCAGCCGAAGCTTTTTTCTCCAGATAAACAAAGGTCACCGTACCCTTTACTTCACCCACACACACACACACACACACACACACACACACACACACACATTTACACTAACATGTGGAATCAGCACATGCATGCATGCCTGCTTTCACCTCTGTGTAAACACACACATGCCCACCACATCCACGCATGAGTGGGTCCCTGTAACCTCACACACACACAGGAGGTCAATGCATACACATACAACAGCATATTATCCCTGCTGCTTCATACATACCAACACACAGATGTGATCTGCATAGACATACATCCTCTCTCTCTCTCTCTCTCTCTCTCTCTCTCTCTGGACACACTGAGCGGCTGAGTGTGTCCTCAGGGGAAGGAGGAAATATTCGCTCGGCCTAGTTAGCCGCTCTCTCTCTCTCTCTCTCTCTCTCTCTCTCTCTCTGTGTGTGCATGTGAGATCCTTGTGTGTGTTTGCGTGCGCTCACTTGTGCACACGCTCCTGCTGCCCTGAGCGATGGCGATGATGCATGCTGTTAGAGGAAGAAGAGAAATAATGTATGTGTCTGTTTCTGTGCGATTGAACGACAGCGACGCAGAAAAGAGGCAGAAATGATGTTTCTGTGAGAGCGCAGCCTTTATGTTTATATATATAACTGATTATGCGTTGGATTTTCCCCCCGCTATTTCATTTAGCGCTCTTTGTTAATTATGAATCGACTGCGCCTCGCCACCGCTCCCCTGTGTTCAGGCTCCCCTGCTGCCCCGCGGTGCCTCTCTTTGTAGTCAGGAGGAAGGAAAAAAACAGTAAAAGCTTTACGCCGCGTTCAGGCGTCAACGTGAGAGGACTCAGAGCGGCTGACGGGTGCTCGGTTTTCTTCTAGGAGCAAAGGTCAAAGGTCACTCTCAGGTGTTTGGCCTGGAAATCCATTTTATTTTAATATTTGTGCAGAGGAAGGGTGCAGAAATAAAAACTAAGAAGCTCATTAGCAGCTTACATAATCCGTCAATACTCATAATTGGTGTCAGAAAATGACAGCAGCAGCGAGAGTTTCTTATGAAGATGAAAACAGCCATAAAGAGCGAGAGTGTAAGTGAAATCTGCTGGATAATAACAGTAAAAAAAAACAGATGAAATAAAGACTTAAATCATCAATAATTAAAAGGAGAAGCTGGTCTATTGTCTCGTCTCTGTAATTGTAAACAGACGGTCCTTAAATTCAGAAAGTCTGTTCAGAAAAAAGACGCAGATTCACTTCAAACGAGGATTTATCAGCTGCTGTTCAGACTAAAGATGATACTATCAGTGTCGCAAGAGTTTCAGGACTGGAAATCGATCAATACTTTGATTTTGCAGTCACCCTGAAGTTCATTTGAAACTTGGATGAATCATGAAGTTTTCTCTAAGACAAGAAATGCATGAAAATGTCACGTCAGCGTTTGGATTGATGCTCCAAAAACAGATTTTGGTAACGCTTTCTTTTACGGTTCACTTATTACCAGGTAATTAACAGGTAATTACCAAGAAATTATCTGGTAATTACATGATAACTACTAAGTCAATACTGTCTAGCCACCAGGTAGGTAACCTTCCAGGATTTCCAGGATTTTCCCGGCTTCCTGGAACCACCGCTTGCGTAGTAGCGTTGTACACATTCGGCGGGTGAGTCGCTGTGATGACGCTCGGCTCAAACAGCGAATCGCTACGCAGAAAATAAGAACCCAAATAGATTTTGAAAATGAAGCTGCACAGAAAAAAGAAAAAAAGAAAAACTAGACAGTATTGACTTAGTAGTTATCATGTAATTACCAGATAATTTCATGTTGTTACTCTGTAATTACCTGTTAATTACCTGGTAATAAGTGAACCGTAAAAGAAAGCGTTACAGATTTTTTATTCTCAATCAGTGATCAGTTTAGTTTCGGACTAATCCCCTCATAATTTCATGCGTTCATATCCCTCTCCTGTGCGAAGGTCACATATGATGATCAGCGTGTCGGACTCAAACGTCCCGATCGTATCTGCGGTGTTTTCATTAATCCTCCTGCGGTGCATTTCTCTCTATTTCGCTGCACCGGTCTTCATGACACGCCATTAAAAAAGCCTCCCGGGCGTCACAGTTAACATTTCAAATGATATTTAAGCACACCTCACACTCTGAATATGAGTGTGTGTGTGTGAGAACATGTGCAGTCAGGGGAGAGCTGCAGGGGGATCAGACTCCTCTCAGACTAACGACAACATTATTTTACTTTTGGAGAGAGTTTAGGGAAATTTCACTCTCTGACAAATCCCCTCCAGCTCTCTGTGTTTCTCTGCTCCCCCTCTTGTCGCTCACGCTTTTAATATCGTTTTTTAATTTTCTGTTTTGCACGCCAACGTCTTCGTATGGGGGGGACTGAGAGCGCCGCCCGCTCCTCATTTATCCCCTTAATTATTCTCTCTCTCCTCGATGCTGCAGAGAGAGAGAGAAAGGCGCTGTGATTTCATCCTCAGATATGAGGGTCACTTTGCACCACACGCACAAATTCATCACACCATCCGCCATTATCCGCCATCATCTAAAATTAATGAACACAATCAGTAATTACCACATCAATAATTAAGCTGACTTCTCTTTTTTGTGGAGAGCTCGATGGCAAACACTCCAAAAATGAAAATGCATAATGAATGACTTCTCCTCACTCGTCTCTTTCTCTGCGTCTCCTTTCAGATTCGTGCCAGGCCAAGGCGTGGTTTTGTACCCCCAGATCGGGGATAAGTTGGACATTGTGTGCCCCCGCGTGGACGGAGGGGTGGGCGACGGTGTGGAGTATTACAAGGTGTACATGGTGCCCAGGGAGCAGCTGGAGAGCTGCACCATCACCAAGGCTGACACGCCACTCCTCAACTGTGTCAAACCCGACCAGGACGTCAAGTTCACCCTCAAGTTTCAGGAGTTCAGCCCCAATCTTTGGGGCCTGGAGTTCTTCAGAGGGAAGGACTACTACATCATCTGTGAGTACACGTCTCCCCCTGAAGGGCCAGTAAATTAAGTCCTGCATAATTTAAGGGGAAAAGTGGCCTTTTAAAGAGTCGGGCGAGGTAGAAGAACCAGCTGCCGGTGACATGTGTCAGACGTCAGGGTCAGGTTTGTCGTGCAGGTCCACTATTTTTAAACCCGGGCTTTTATTTTGGCAGATTTAGGGATCATGATGACTAAAAGGTACAAACGCTCAGAGACTTCAAGCTGAAACATGCTGCGACTTTATCCTCGGGGTTGATCACAGCGGACTCTCTAAAGTCTTGAGTCACTCACAGGCGGCTCAGATTGGTATTTTAAGTGTTTGACAACAAGAGTGAATGTCACCCTCAGATATATTTAATTCTGCAGAAGTGAGACTCTTCTTTAAAAACCAGGATGTCTCCTTTTAAAGTCACCGAAAAGCCAATTTAGAGAAAAGGAGAGAAATTCTGCTCCCAGACCGAAGAGCTGCTCGTCTGCAGATTTATTTGTTTTTGTCTTGATCCAGGTTAGCCTTCTGCAAAACAAAGTCGTAAAATAAATTGACATTTTTCAGGCGGTGGTGGAGCAGCTACTGCAGGTCTTGTTGTCAGTCTGGGATTTGTTTGTGTTTAATGATGAATTTTTGGGGCGGGGAATGAGGGTGGACATGCACCAAACCATGTCAGGAACTCTAGCTGTTAAAAAAAGAACATTTCAGTCTTTAAAAAAAGAGTCGGTCTCTGCAGGGAAACACAGATAAAAAAAAGTGAACTGCAGTCCTTTCATTTCCTCGTCCTGCAGTCAGCCGACACGGAGGAGGACACGTCGGAGATAAACTGCAGCAGATAGATGAAGCCGAGGTCGAAGTTTAGGGTGAAGTTGCTTCTTCAGCTCGTAACTTTTCTCTTTCAAACCACAAATGAGGTTGTCCGGAGGGTCCTCCAGATCCTGCAGATATACGAGTAAATAATTCAGCTTCATTTGAAGTCGGATCATTGGCAGGAGAGGTTTTTAAAGATTCTGCTGATGGGATTTATTTCATGTATTAGTCAAACCGCCCAGATCGAAACGAGGAGTAGTTTGAAGGTTTAGAGACTCAAACCGACATGAGAATGACTCAGCAGTCTCACGGCGAAGGTGTGGCCGATTCCCTGTGATGTGCGCACGGCATCCTGGGAGGAAGTTGCGGTGGGGTTTTAGTGGCGGCCCCCTGGTTTGAAAACACGGGAGGTGGACTGAACCATCTGTGTGGCGCTGATGGGGGGTGCGCTGCAGATAGGACCATCTGTGAGGCTCTGCAACAGCCATCTGTGAGCTGTCACCCAGAGTGGAGGGCCATATTTCTGAGTGGGGAAAGAAAGGAAGAGGAAAGAGGAGCAGGAAACACTGATTATGATCCAAACACTTCCTCCTCCGCCGCCGTGCTGGAGGAGGAAGAGGAGGAATCAGGCAAAACAAACGTACAACACGCCGCACTGTACTTTAAACCGCCTCCTGCAGACGCTTTCAAATATTATTCTGGGCTCTGCAGAGCTCCGAGGTCCTGCAGAGAGATCTGTCAGGCAGCTGTTTGAGCAGAAGAGAGAAAAAAAACAGGTTCACTGACACAATATGTTCATTCAGCTCCGCTTCAGGTGATTTCTAACCAACAGAAACTGTCGCTGATGTGTCGTAGCTGCAGGATATTTGCGTGGCAGGGCACGTCCCGCTGTGTGAGGCTCTAACAGGTGTTCAAGTGGTCGTGCGGGTGAGACACGTAGACACCAAACGAAGCCGGTTTAAAGAGAGAAACTCTTCTCTGATGACATTTGTGGAGAGAATATTTACAGTAGATCTTTTCTGCACAGATAAGAGCCTCAGAGAGCCTCAGAAAACTGCTTTACCAGACAGATAACTTCATCAAAACAAGATAACGTTAAAAAAATGATAAAAGCACTTCATAAAGTCAAACACAAACATTTAGATGCACTTAAAAATGCAAAATACTCAAAAAAACTAACAACATCTGGAGTGATATGTTGCAGATAAAATCTACCACTGTAGGAACTAGCTTTGTCATTTCTTCTGCAGATATTAAAGGGTTAAAATAATCTTTCTAAACTTCCTCAAACCTTCCTGTACTCGACAGAAATGTCAATAAACTCTTTCTGACCAATCCCAGGTTTAATTTTCTGCAGTTATCGTTGAGAAAACCTCCGCTCCTCCACTCCTCCGCCTTCTGCTGCGTCTTCTTGTCACATAAAATATACATGGATACCTGACAGGGCTGGATGCACACATAAATACACCTGTGTGATCATCCACACCCACAGCAGCAGCATTAGATGTGGTCTGTGTGAGCGAGTGTGTGTGTTCGAGGACTACAAAGGCTTCAGACTGAAGAGACGCAGACACCATCCGCCTCCCTCCCTCCCTCCCTCCCTCCTCCACCATCCGCCCAAACGCTGTCGTTAATTATTGATGAGCCGATGCTGCTGTTTACTTATCCCTGATCTCTCAGAGCTCGGCCCGGGTCCTGCCGCTCGGAGTCATCACAAAGTTCTGGATCAGAATCTGAAAGGAATCCAGAGTCTGCAGATGAACGCTCTGGTTTTTGTGACACAAAAACCACAATCATGGAATATCTGAGAAAATTGTGTTCGATTTTCCTCCAGATGCAGAAGGTTGAGTGAAGTTGAGGAGACGTTTGCAGGTACATGTCGGTCTATGTTTGAAGAGACACACTCACACACGTCGTCCCTCAGGAGAATCTTTCTGTTTTTCTCCTCTCTATCAAAGCCTGAGCAGACCAGAATATTCGATTTCCGAGCGCCTGCCGTAAAAGCCCTCCTCTTCATCAGCCTGCCGACTCGACAAGTTGGAACAGAGGGAACGCTGGGAAAGTTCAATTCAGAACTTTAAAAAGAGGGGCTGGAAAAATCCAATTTTGCACTTCTTGCAAATCCCCCTTCTTTCTCTTTCTTCACCAAAATCTCCCCGCTCCTCTTCCTCCGCCGCCATCCCGCCTCCTTCTCCAGATCCTGAAATGCTAATGCTTAGCCTAAAGAGGGGAGAGAGGGAGCTGTTCCTCCGCTGGAGCGTGTCACGTTTTGCTGTTAATTGCCTCTTCTTGGCGAGCTCTGGCCTCCAGTCCTGCAGCTTTAACAGCCCACTGCAGCTGCATTGTGGCGCTGCGTTGTGGACTCAGTGCTGTGTTTTTTTATTTTTTATTTTGAAGCAGCTCCAGCTTTGCATGGGTAAACAACACGGAGAGAGGGAAGCACAAACACAAACATCAGAGAGAGAGAGAGAGAGAAACACACAGAGGTGTGCGTGGGTGGAGTCACATTCATGTTTTATTTGCTGCGGTGGTGAGTGTGTCTCTGCTGGTGGGCGTAAAAGGTATCAGAACTAATAGGAGCACAGAGAAACTCAGAGGGGGGTGAGAGTGAAGAAGAGCTGCAGAAAGAGGAGAAGAGGAACTTCTTTACTGCAGAGGAACTTTGAAGTGATTGTACAGAGTATCAACCTTAACTTAGAGTCAAATCAATAATCTTTAAATACGTATTTGAACTGTGAGGGCTGTCCCGTTACGATATTGATATCAGGTATCAGTCCCAAAAGCAAATATCAGATTATATCGACCTGCATCTAAAATCTCCGATATGAAGAAGTCCATTCCAGACTCCACTCCGGCTCCTCTATCTAGCAGCGCCTGGATCCAGCATGTAGAGCCCATGTGATCACAGCAACAGTGTGTACTAAAGTACGAACAAAGTACCAAGGAGTAGGAGTGATGTTGGTCCTGTCCGGAGTCCGAAAAAGACGTAGTAGCTGAGTGAAAAACTTGTCATGCAAAAGTTTGTGCCAATATCGCTATCGGCCGATACTGAAGGATGCGATATTGGTATCATATCGGAAGTAAAAAAGTTGTATCGGGACACCCCTAATAATCTTCTGTTGGGTGGAGAATGTGTTGTTTTGTCTTGTCGGCTGCATCACCTTCATCCACTCTGCAGTTTTGCTCTTTAGCCGCTCTCAGATTATCAGAGTGATTTAGCTTCTCCGTCCCATTTTGTTCTGATTTGTTTTTTTGCATCACGTCACATTCATGATGAACAAACACGAACAGAGAAGCTAAATCACCCTGATACAGGCGTCTGTCTCAGTCTGTGAGCAGACATGATCAAAGATAAACCAACACAAGTGTAAATATCTGAGAGTTTTACTTCTTATTTAAAGATTATTGATTGGACTCTAAGTTAGGGGTGATACTCTGCACAAAATCCTCCATCGAAGAGGTCCATGATCTCAGATCCTACTCTTCAAACTTCCTCTGCAGTAAAGAAGTCGCTCTTTTCCTCTATCTGCAGCTTTTCCTCACTTTCACCTCCATGTTGCTCTGATTTGTTTTTTTGCATCGTGTCACATTTATGCTTGGACAAATGCAGTCAGGAGTCGCCTTTTCTAGTCATCTTAAAAATGACGTCTATCTGATGGTGTGGTAGAGTAAATATTAGATTATTCCCTTAAGTTTCAAGGACAAAGAAGTAGAAATTTGTGCCAAAATGTCGTAAAAGTTCACATTAAACTTTAGATCATGACACATGCTCTCCTCCTGAGCGTCCCCGCCCTTTGCTCCTCCTTTCTAGTGTTGGTATGCAGGCTTGTACCCGCCCCCCCCCCCCTGAGCTGTCCGGCCTCCATCAGACTGTGACACCGCCTCAGAAAACTCCGCACGAGGAGGATTTCATTAGTCTTGTGGAGTGAGCACTCGATACGTAATTAATTAACCGCCTTTTAATCCCCCATTTCTTCTCACAATCACCGAGGCGGCCTGCACATCAATGCTGCCCATCGGAGTCTCCACCGATTGGATTAGTGCTGCCTCGCGTTCATCAGTATTGTGGCGGCGCACAGACCCAGATTGGATGGAAAGTCTCGACCCCTCCTCCAACTTAAACCCCCCCCCTAACTCGAGCATCATCAGGCCGCAGTGACTGTCTCATTTGGGGCTTTTATTTTGAAGGATGACAGGCGCTCAGGTCTGTTTGCGGTGCAGCAGTGTTTGTGTATTGTGTAAAATAAGTGTGCAAACTTATGTGTGTCCTTGTGTGCAGATTCCCCCTGTGTGTGTTTGTGTGTATATGTTGCGTGCACATGTGTGTTCGTGAGTGTTGCTGCGTGGCCTTTTTAAAGCGGCGGTGCACAATGCTGCTCCAGTTGAGAGCAGATGAGTTTGATGTGATTGTTTGAGGCAGCATGGCCCGCAGCCGAGAAACTAGCGAGCTAGATGATTACATGATCTAAAGAGGGAGAGAGAGAGAGGGAGAGAGATGAATGAGGAGGGAAAGGGGGCAGAAAGAGTGACGTCAGAGAGCGAGAGAGCGAGAGAGGGAGGAGGAAAGAGAGCTAAATACAGAGAGAGAGAGAGAGAGAGAGAGGATGGAGCTAAAGAGCTAAAGAGAAACAGGGGCACGGTGAGGAGATGAGCTGAAGAGGGCAGAAGAAGGACAGATCTGAGTTTACAGAGAAATTTCATCACGACTTTATTCACCTTTGGCCTCCGACGCCACAGAAAATAGTCCCGTCAGCAGAAGAAGAAACACGCCTCCTAAAAAGCTGCATGTTTAAAAGAGAGTTAAACAAACAAAAGCATCTTCACACTCACAAAAATCTAATCCTGCTCATGTTTTGACCCAAATATCGTAAAAACTTGATACTAAAAGACTTTAATGACAAATTTTAATCGGCTAAAATTACGTGATCACAGTTTTGGACACGAGCTGGAGGCAAAGAAGAGGGAGACGCACCATTTTCCCCTCTACGGGTGGGGGAAAGGCTCAAAAATCACTTTTTGCAACTTTTTAGTCGTTTTTATTTCTTGTCAAATTTATATTTCATCGATATTTGATGAACTAGAATAACTCTCTCATCATGTTCCTGTTTTGTTTGAGAGACCAGCAGTGATTGGTCGTCATTCGTTGGGTTTCGCTGTGACCCGGCTCTGCCCCGGCCTTGTTCTCAGGGTCACCTGGGTCCCGAACACGATGGCGCCCCCTGTCTCTGCAGATTAGTGCGCTCTGCAGTGACGGCTCCTAACTAGCTCATAACCCCGGCGCTGCGATGACGGCTTCACGCTCCACAGAAACCTGATGGACGGCAATTACTCCCGGCGTTTAGATCATGGCTGCCTTTGTCTCCTCCTCCTCTTCTTCCTCTTCTTCTTCTTCTTCTTTTTCTCTAAATCTCTCTCCGTCTCTCTCTCTCTCTTTCTGCCTCGCCTGCTTCTCAGAGCCATGCTGCTCTCTTCCACTATTTATGAGCGGCACAGCATTGTCTTTCGGCGGTGCATTGTGTATTAATTATACCCACAGAATTTGGCAAATTCGACGCAGCAGATTTCAGAGGGAAGTTTTTCAGGCTTTGTCAGACTCCTCTGGACGACAGACGGTTATGAAAAGCTCGTAAAAATGGTCGATAAAGACTCAGAAACCACTCGATGAAAAGTTGACCTTTTAGTGACACTAAAACAATCATTTACGCCGAATCAGATTCAACAAAAGTGCTAAAAGTGAGCATGTAGTTTCAAAATAAAAGACCCATCAGTTATTCGAGTCCACGTGTTTTTCTGAACATCTCTGTCTGATCCACTTCGCTCTCATTTGGTCACAGCCAGCCAATGATTTTTCCTGATGACCTTTTCCCGCCCGTGTCGGCGTTCATGTGTTTGTGCGTGTGATCGCACGGGACCAAAACCTCGTCTCGACCACATCACCGGTTAAAAAGCATCGAGAAAATAGACCCTGCGCAGCCACATAATCAGCACACACAGAGTCGTGTGAACTGTTGTTAAATCCTCAGCAGGATTTTTGACTTTTGCACGAGTTTGACGAGCTTTTAGAGTCTCAAATAAACGAATTTCACTCCTCTCATGAGAGCACTTTAAACCAAGGCTACTCCTCTTAAGCCGCCTGTTCTATTTTCTCTGTGAATTACGGCGTATATGGCTGTTATTCAGAACAATTAACACTCTATAGAAGGCTGCTCTTGCAGCGATGCGTGGGTTGTTACTCAGCTTGTTCTTCACAAAGCAAACTGAAGAAAGCTTTTCGATTTTTGCCAAAAGAGAGCCTCGGATAGAAATCTTTTCTTTGCATCAGATGAATGTGTTCATTTATGTCTGGATGCACGAGTTATTTATTGTTTTTATGCATCTGTTGCTTTTATGTTTCATGCTCATAAAAACCTGCAAAAAATCAGATTTTTTTCACAGTCATTTCCCCTTTTTTTGTTTCTTTGTTTGTTTTTATGTGCAGACTTCCTCTTTTTTCTTCTTGTTTCTCCTTTTTTTATGGTTCCCGGTCACAAAAGCAGAAGCAGTGCGTTCATTCTCCTCCTTGTACTCCCTCTTCTCCTCCACCTCCCCGCCTGTCCTAAGTCTTATCTGACCACCATAATACCTGCAATATTTCTGAGGATCTCGTATGAACCGCTTCTATCCCTCTCCCCCCTCTTTTCCTCCCTCAGCATGTTCCCCCCCTGGGCAGCACGGATTAGCCGGTTAACTCTAGCCAGCTCGTCTGTCAGCCGCTCCGGCCCGGGCCTGGACTGAGGAGGGCCAAGTCATTCAGCCGACTCAACAATCACATTCTGTTTAAATCCAAGTCAGGCTTCTCCTGACTGCAGCTCTGGCACACAGAGTCTGCGTTTTCCTCCGCATTTAAAGGGGAAGATTTGGAGTTTAAGAGGAATTTTCTCACATTTCGATAAAAAAAAAAAGAGTTTCGTGAAGCTCGGCGAGGTTGGTGTTTTGCTAACTTCTGCGTTGATGTGTTAAATGATTTAATCGAGCAAAAAGGGTGAAGGCGGGACGACAGGACAAAGACCGGAGGGGGCACAAGTGGCCTAAATACACCTTCTGTGCGGCACGGTGACCTCTGACCTCTCAGGCTCAAGCGGCTTGAGCGTGCGTGCACCCGGACGCGACTGTGCGAACGCAGCGTCGTCGTGCCAATCACCCTGCAAAGTAAACAGTGCTAATGTGGTTAGCGACATGGTGCCGGATTGTAAAATTCATGAGTGTTGTGCTAACAGGTTTATGAAATGAGCACACAAACAAGCACACGCGCACACACTCACAAACACACACACACACAGGAGCGCAAGCCTTTAAGGAGCTTTGTCTGTAATGTGCTTTTCGGGCTCCGTCGGAAAGCCATAGGTCAGCGAGAGAGGGAGACGGGGGAGAGAGGAGGAGAGGAGGAGGAAAGGAGGGGAGGGAAGGAGGCCTTGTTAACATGCTCTTTGTGTCCGCTCCCATCACCGTCTTATTGCAGCGAGGGGATTCGGATCAAGATGATTGGTGGCGGGGAGGGCGGAAAGGGAGGAAAAGAGAGAAAAGGGACAACAAGGAGGAGGAGGAGGAGGAGGAGGAGGAGGAAGTGGCACAGCTTCATTTTTCAAAGCTCTTTCCTCCTCACAGAGGCACCTGCCTTTCAATCCGCCTGGAGATGATGATGGGTGGGAATGTGCGTGGGTGGGTGGGTGGGTGGGTGACGCCGGGACGAAAAACAACAGGGTTTGAGGAAGAAGGTGGCGGCAGAAAGGTGGAAAGAGGAGGAAACCGGGCAGGACGGGGTGTTACTGAAGAAGGAAGGAGGGAGAGGAAGCAGAGGGGAGGGGGGTCAGCGCGGCGGTGGCGGTGGGAGAGGGGGAGTCGCAGTGAATGCGGGCCACTGCGCTCTGGCGGGAAGCCAAGCCGCTAAGCCCCGGCAGCTCGTTAGCCTCTGTGTTACTGACCTGATAAACCACAAGCCCTACTACCCCCTCCTCACCCTTTTACTCCCCCCTCCCTCTTTTCCTGCTGGTTCACCGTCCTAACTCATGATCTCAGCTAGCTGCACTTCTGCACAGGAGCCACCGGGGGCAGACTCATGAAGCTGTTTGACTTTTTAAATGACAGAGAAGAAGAAGAATCAGGTTGATTAAACATCATTTTTTAATTTTCAGACTCTGATCTGTTTTAGTCCGACGAAGCTCATCTAGGAGCTCATTCGGTGGATTTTTCAGGTCCTGTATTTGCCGACAAACTCACTCCAACAATCCTGGAAACAGAGAAAATATGTACTGTACTAGAAGTCACTCTAATCTTCCGGTTTAGCGTAATCTCACAGTCTCTCTGAGCTCATTTTCAGGCTGCAAAGATTAGAGTTTTTTGGGAGGATTTACTCTCCTGCCTCTTTCTCTGCACAGGAATCAAACCTGAGAAGAACCTGGAGATGAGACACGATGAATATCGAACTCCAAACACAGAGTCTGTGTCTTTTAGTGAATGTGTTTGACTAGACGACAATTAAAAAGACTTAGGAGGAGAATCTGAAACAGAAATAACGGGATGGTGAAATTGAAGTGTAAGGCTTTTATCTGTTAAATCAGAAAAAGGTTGAAATTGCAGCGTTTCGACTCTGTGATCTACTGCAGAGTCCACTCTTTCAGTGAGGGATGATGGACAGAGTGGGAAGAGAAAGAGAGAAAGGACTTACATTGAATACTGGAGTCCAACCTGGGCCGCACATGGGGCACGCTATTTAACTACTAGGCCAAACCGGCGCCCCCCGTGCGGCTCTTTTCACGCCATCTGTTTCCACCAGGTGGGGTTTTGTAGTCCTGCACGCTCTCAACTCCACCGTTTACTCCTCGTCTTAAACTGAGGAGTCTTTTCAGGTGTATTTACTCGATAGTAAACAATAATTCTTGTAACGTAATCCTGCAGTAGATGAAACCTCTTTTTTCCGCACACAGACCGGTTAAATCCCTTCGATCACACGTGGGCCGTCTCGCTCCGCCCCTCCAGATTCCTGCAACATCTGCTGCCGTCCCTTAAACACGGCGTTTAGCATCTCACTTCTGTTTTCTCCTGTGTTTAAAGGAGGTTTTCACATCCTTTAATCTCTTTTTATCTGAGGACCATCCAGGTTTTTATCACCTCCCTCTGTTACCTTCATTTCACTGCCTCTCCTGGAGAAGCGCCCTATTTTTAATCAACGTTCCCTCCTCCTCCTCCTCCTCTCATGTTAGCACACCTGTTTTTTCTTCATGTCGGTGTCAGCAGATCTCTCTTTCTTCTTCATCCTGGCAGCGAGCTTTTACAAACCTGTTCTGGCTCCCTCTCTCTGGAGTCTTGTAAGCACTAATGCAGGATAAGCCACCTAAATTTCATGCCAACATGGACGCTTCCTCTGCAGCCCCCCCGTCCTGTTGTCTCCCCTCGCCTCCTTTAACGGCCTCCTTGACGAGGCCCATCAGCACAGTTAGAGATATTACCGTCACAATTACTCAGCCTAATTGACTTTGGGGATGTGAAATATTCAGCCTGAGTGCAGACACTGAGGTGATGAGCAGGTGAATTGTGATTTTATTAAAGGGGGAGATGGCTCATTTGGCTCCTCTGCAGCGGGCGTTCGCTGCCTCTGTTGTCTTTGGGAAGTGGCTGTTTTTCTGAGATAAGCTTCACGAGTGAACAACCGGGATCCTACAATTACAAGAACGTCTTTTTTTTTTACATCATAAACATTAAATTTGAATCTTAGTGCTCGATGTAAGAGAAAATAAATCTGCGCAAAAGCTTAAAAAGGATCAAAATAAACATTAGCAAACAGAAATGCTCACTGCTAATCCGCTATGAGAGAAAATGTGTAATTTTCCTTACCTCCTCTCTGTGTCTCCTCTGCAGCTACATCTAACGGCACCATGGAGGGCATTGACAACCAGGAGGGGGGCGTGTGCAAGACCAAGTCCATGAAGATAATCATGAAAGTGGGACAAAGTAAGTATTTCATTATCACTGCAGCGAGCGCCTGCAGGCAGAGCGAGCAGAACGTGTTCACCGCCACTGTCTCAAAATGCCCGAATAAGGTCAGAGGAGGCTGTGCAGCAAACGGCTCCATCGTCTCCATGACACCTGGGGCTGCGAGGGGGCAGGAGATGTAATCTAGCGGAAGTCCTAATGCGCTGAAAACACACACACGCACGCACACACACACACACACACACACACACACACTGAGTATGCTTGCATGCACTCATGCACCACAAGCATCTGCTGCAGTTAAACTAGAAAGCCTCTGACACATGCAGATCTGGTTTAGAGGAACACAAACATATTAGTCATGAGTCACAGCAGACAGATCAGACTGGATTTCTTATTACTCTAATTATTCGTCATAAATCAGGTGTATAGGTGCCACCCAGAGCTACGATTTTCACTCTAACACCATCTGCTGCGGCGTTGTGCGTTTCTCCAGGTCAGAGGAGTCGATACGAGCGTCTGCAGGAAAAGGTTCAAACCCGCTCTGCTTTGTGTTTTTATTGTGTTTAAAGTTGACGCCCATCCTGAGAGTAGTTTTCATTATGACGGCAGATGTTCAGTGTTTTGTTCCATCATTTAAAGCGACCGTTACTGAGTCTGCTCAGCATAAGACAAAATAACATAAACTGAATATTTAATGAAGAACGGGGAAAAAAACAAACAACCGTTGGCTTCTTTTTGAGGGAAATAGGAATTGTTGCTCTACCAAACATGTCTGCTTCTGATACTAGGCGTTAAAACTCCTCTTTTGCTGCAAAAACATCTGTCTCTGCAGGATCTCTTTCTCAATCGTGTGCACTAAAGTCGAAAACCGCCACCTAACGCCTGATGCATCATGTCTGCTTCTTTCCAGATCCCTCTGATCCTATTTCACCCAAAGACAACCCCACCAGAGTACCCTACCCTCCCAAGCACCCAGAAGACAAGGACCCCTACAATCCTAACGAGGTGCTGGAGAAGCCAGGTGAGATCACCTTTCTGATGCTTAAATCCAGAGGAGACGGTAATTGAGTGGAGGATTTATAGAAACAATTTGGCATTTGGGCGGGCAACTGTTCGGGCCAGCTAAGAGCAGATAGCGCCAAGTAAAGCGTGTGTGTGTGTTTGTGATAGTCCTTCAGCTGTGTGTGTGTGTGTGTGTGAAAGTGAAGGAAAGAAAGGTCAGCGATTCATCAGCCAGTAATTGAATGTTGCCCATAAAGCTGATAGGCATCTGCGGCCTCTTAAGGTCTTATAAGGTATCTCCACGATGGCCGCTTTCCAACCTCAACCCGCCGCTTAAGTGACATTTTCAGGAAAATGATCCGATCGCTGTCTGCCATCTCGTCCTAACGACCTGTTCTCAACACAGAGCGACGCTTGTTTCTGCAGCGAATCACAGCTCGGGCAGACACGCAGACCGCTCTTATCTCTCATATTATATTCCCCTTCAAAAAAAAAAAAAAAAAAAAGTCCTGAGAAGAAAATCAGACCGGCAATTTCCTCGGCAAGAAAAAAAAAAAAAGAAACAGGAAGAGCTCAAGAACAAAAACAAGTTTATCTAGCCGGAGCCTGATTCATTCAGGGTGTGGCCCCACCTGACTCTTTCTGTTTATGCTGTTGAGCATGCTAATGCTGCCGGCTAACCTTCTGACCTCTGCAAAACACACTACAGCAGCAGCACACACATTTTGAAGTCTCTTTAAACGCTTAATATTCTCGCTATTTATCAAATCTCTGCTCAAGAGCGAGTTAAAGCATCTACATCTTATAAAAAGGTTTAAAAAATGACTTTAAATCTGCAAGAACTTGAATTTCAACCAGATTTTTCATGATAAACAAATAAAAGAAACATTTCTGCAAAAAGAAATGATAGCCCTTATATACACAGATGTTTGAGGAGCTTATAGATGTGATGTCTCTGTATATTCTCAACCTTCAGCTGCAAAAACTGAATGTTTTGATAATGTAGTTTTTTATGCTGTGAGGGGGTAGTTGTCAGACGAGATGATTGACAGCAGGCTGAAGAAACACTGTCTCTCACTTTTCCCCCAGCAGATATTTATAACCGTCCGTACATTCGACTGTTAAAGCAAGAGGAGAGAAAAGAGATATTTCTTTGTGCAAGAAAAACTGCGTCTCACAGGAGCTTTAAATCTGCAAAATGAAGGTTGATTAGGTTTATATTTGACATTAATCTGCAGCTGCTTGTTTCGATGTTCGTACAGATTCATGAATCAGGCTCCAGCTCTTCTGTGTTTTAATTTGATGAAAAACAATCGAGACCAAAACCAAAGTTTCTGTTGCAGACTGAAGAACCAGATGACATTTATACTCCCCGTACAATGTCACTGAGTGAAAGACCAAAGTCTCACCTGGGACCGTACCTGAGGCTATTAGAGCTTTTACTGAACATCCATTTAAGCAGGGTCATGTAAAAACCGCCCCCCTCTCAGGGCCGCCCACCAGAGTCCCTCTTTCAAAGGGTAAAATCCACTCTGGCGCTCTGTCCCTGCAGACCTCAGCGTCTTGTCCTCCTCTCTCTTGCGCCTCTTTATGTCTCATCCCTCCATCCCGGGCGGAGAGCTACAGGCAGAGCGTCTGAGGCGCCATAATCCCCGTGTACGACATGGGCAGGGTCCTGGTTTTGCTCCGTCTGCCATCCTGTATCCACTCCCCCCGACCACAGAAAAGCACTTTCAGGCCCTCAGGAGAGCAGCAGCAGCAGACAGGGAGACACAATAATCCCCACGTTCTTGTCCCGGGGAGAGCACAGCGCGGCGGCGGCGACGGGGTCTAAGTGTTGGACGAGAACCATAACGTCTATCGCTGGGAGTCACAGCACAGCTTGCCTTTCATAATTCATGTCTCATGTGGACATCAAATATTTCTCTGGTATTTTTCTTCCCTCTGGGGCTGCGAGTAAGAAAATGAAGTTACTCTTTTTGAGTCTTTTAAATTGCAATTTATCTAAGTGCTGTTCGCCTGTTTCCGCCCCAGCTATTGTATCTCCTATCAGGCGGCGCTCGCCCTACTTTCAAGGTTGCAGTCTTCACCGGCTGAATTTGAATAGCCACCGGATCGAATGTGACCTTTTATACAAAAGCTTTCTATAGGCAGGCTTCAGCCTCAGCTGCGGCGCCGCTGGCCTCTTCCCTGCTGCACGCTGACACAACGCTGTAAAAACATCACTTCTGCTGCTGCCATCTTCTTCTCCTCCTTTCTAAAAAGGCGTCACACCGAAGCGTGTTTCTGGATCTGAGACCCCACACCTTCCTGATGTCAGAAAACGCGGGGGCTGCTTCAGAATCACATTTCACAAGCTTTGGAAAATTCCCAAATTCACGCCAACTTCACACAAAGATTGGCCGGGATCTCGCCTCTTCTCGCCGCCGTCTCATTTTACTCTTAACAAAATCCTTTTACAGCCACAAACCCATGAATCCTTCTCAGGAAGATAGTCCAAAAGCATTTATTTCACCCACAGTTTGGTGATTATTACTTCTCACGTCTCGGTGATGGCAAGCTCTTCATTCATGCGTCGCTCCATTATTTTTAACAGTGTGTTAAAAGCATTTCTCCGTGCTGCTGCTTTAGATAAGTAACAAACCTCCTCGAGTACTAATGGCTGTGTTTATGGCTGTTTTTTTTTTGTTTTTTTTTTCAGGTTAAAGATGATTTTTCTAAAATGTTATTAGAGACTAAAATCAGCCTGAGTGTCTAAAGCTCTGAAACCACAAAAAAATCAACTGCTTTCCCAAATTTTTCTTGTTTAATCCATTTATTAAAAACTCTTTTACTCTTTATATGGAGCCACAAAGTTAGAATTGTGCTAGAAAACAGTTTAACCACAGCGACTCCACACATTTGGAGGTCACCATATTGGAAATGGCGACTGATGAGGTGTGAGGTTATGCAGGGCACCATGACTCGACTTGATTTTCAGGTGACTCAGCAAAATGCGAAGATGTAGGGCTGGGCGACAAACCGAAAATTTACAGATACTGAAATTTACGGCAAGAACCAACATCATTTCACCCATATCGGTTTAATCCGTGAGCAGCTTCTGGAGTAGTTATCGTCTGTTTATTGTTATCAAGGTGAACTGATCAATATATCGTGATATTGATTTGAGGCTGTATCGCCCGGCCCTACAAGGAGGCGTGGTCAGCTCAATTCTGCAAAACTTGTCGCCTCAAATCCTCAGACTGAGTTAGCTGCGGTTAGAAACCGACTCGTCCGCTGCAGAGAGCCTCAAGTGGACACTAGAGGAACTGCAGTCCGTCGCACATGCACACTAACTTTGCTTGTTTTTTTTCTGCTTTCTTGATGTCGTACATGAATAATAAGTGTCAGTTAAATCACTATTACGATAAGTGTTTTACCTGTGACCTCTCAGGTAAACCCTCGTGTGAAATCAGGCGTGTGAGCGTGTTGTGATTCTGTGTTTGATGATGGGATTACTGCGTCCTCATGTATAATTATGGTCTGTCGAGTTACATCGGAAGTCCAAGCTGAAAATGACGTCACATCCGAGATACCAGCGTTTCAGTTACCAAGTTGAAAAAAAGCAAAATCGGAGGCCTGAAACAAGATGGCTACGACTTCGATTTTGCTTTTTTCCGACTTGGTAACTGAGACGCTGGTATCTCGGGTGTGACGTCATTTTCAGCTTGGACTTCTGACATCCGAGGTAGCTCGAACGCAGCATTCCAGCCTGACTTCACTCCCCTGAGATGATGTCATCATGTACTCACCTGAGTCCCCTCCCCCTTCTGTCTCTCTCAGGTGTAGCACCGAGAGAAAGCAGCGACACCGAAAACGGGGGAAAGTCCTCCAGCGTCATCGGCTCCGAGGTGGCCATCTTCGTGGGCATCGCCTCGGGTAGCGTCATCTTCATCATCATCATCATCATGCTGGTCCTGCTGCTGCTCAAGTACAGGCGGCGGCATCGCAAGCACTCCCCGCAGCACGCCACCACGCTGTCTCTAAGCACGCTGGCCACGCCTAAACGGAGCGGCGGCGGGAACAATAACGGCTCGGAGCCCAGCGACATCATCATCCCGCTCAGGACTGCTGACAGCGTCTTCTGCCCGCACTACGAGAAGGTCAGCGGCGACTATGGACACCCGGTCTACATAGTCCAGGAGATGCCGCCTCAGAGTCCGGCGAACATCTACTACAAAGTCTGACGTGGAACTTTTAGCGGAACAATCCTCGGGCAGAGCGGGTTTTTGATTTAGCCAGGCGACGCCGGCACACCCGCAGACTCTGGCTCTTTCTCTCTCTCACTCTGTCGACTCCTCCTCCTCCTCCTCTACTCCTCCTCCTCCTCCTCCTCCTCCTCCTCTCCTCTGATGTTTTGTCACTAGTTTTTCTTTATTCGAGTTTGCTGATACCTTGTGGCTCTGGTTCAGTTACGGTCGCTGTGGATTAAAGGGTGGAGGCTGGAGGGACGCCTGATGCTGCCGCTGCTGCTGGGGCTCTCGGGGAAACACAGAAGATGATCTCCTGCTCCCCTGAAAGTCGCTCCCTTTCCTTTTTGTTTTTGTGCACTGCAGCCAGCGAGGATTGTGGGATCAGAAAGTCAAGACGGATGCAAAGCGTGTTTTTGCGATCCTCGAACGGGATGGACAGATGGATGTACGGACGTAAAGGTTTCCCCCGGCACGAGAGGAGGGGAAGAAAGAGAGACTACTGCTTGGGAAAAAAAGAGAGCTAAAGAGACAAAAAGAGTGAGGAGGACAGGAAAAGGAGAAAACCGGCTGACCATGAACTCTCAAAATGGCTGCCCACTGTTGAGAGACTCTGTGGATTTAACAGGCGGAGGAGGAAAACGGAGAGAGATCCTCGCAGAGATCCTCTCCGGGACTTTCCTGACTGACTCACGGAGATCACCCATTCACCCTGCCACCCACATGCCCGCTCTCACATATACACACATTCACCCACCCACACACACAGACAGACACACCGTCTCATGTGAACTGTTTGGGTTTTAACGTGGATTGCACCATTTCTTCCTCACCCCCAGATTTGTTGTTTTCTGAAAATCACTCCGCTCAGATTTACTTGAAGATTCACGTTTGTTCCATGTTTCTGGTTTCATATCCTGTTCAGATCTTCTGTCCTTTAGCCACATCATGTCAAGTGACCCCACGGTGGCGAAAGAGTGTGCAAAGAAGGAGTGAGGAGTTTTTTTCTATGTTCACCCTCATGCACGGACTTGGGTGTACGTCAGGTCTGCCCGGGTGGCTCCTGGGAAGAGTGGAGGACTTTCATTCACATAGAGCAGCACTTTTAACCCCATTCTGGTACCTCCACTCTTTTCAGAGACCGTGATAGTTGGAGATGGGAGAGCAGCTGAATCCTGTCAGAGTTCGCAGCAGTGAGGGGCTCGCCTCAACTTCTTTAGAACCCAGACCTCCACACACACACATGGGGAGGGTCTTCGGGGCAATAAGAAATCCAGTTCGCCTTACTGCCGCATCAGGTGAAGACGAGGCCCGAGGTGTAGTTGAGGTTGGCGGAGCTGTCGGAATCAGCTCTTGGTACTGTAATGTTTACCCCGAGGTTTGATTAAGGGTGCTCTCCTATTCCAGCACGTTCTCACTTCTCACTCCTAATGCGGCGGATCGGACGGCGGCCGAATGCTCATGTAGGGACGCTTGATGGGTTTGTTTTGCATGCGCAGGGGTCAGAGGTCAGAGGTTTCCAGTTAGACGACCAAAATCTGAGATTCGTAGTGATTTACTTTAACCAAAACTGTCGCTTTCACGTCGATTCATTGGTTGGAGTTCCCTCACGAGCTTCTGTTTGAGGCTCAGCTCGAATATTTCGTATTTATTGAGGCTATCTTGACATTTTTGTGAGGCCGACCCGACCCTGAAGCTCTTCACTCGTGAAACCCAGATCCTCATAATTCGAAGCGCCGGGTCACGGGCCGAGCTGCTGCTTTACGGAGCTGAGAGTGAGAACGTGCTGACTCTTCTTGATTTTTAAAAAAAGCACAGGGACATCCACTTTACATTGTCACTGTTTCCCATTCTCCATTAGCATTTCCACATTGATTTACTTTCTTTTTTTTTACTAAATAGATGTACATTTAAAAAAAAAAAAGGACATTACACAGATGAAAAAATAAAATAAAAAGCAGAATTTATTTATGATAGACACATAGAGCACAGGCGTTTTCAGGCGAGGCGAAGGAGCAGAAGAAAAAGAAGTAATGTTAATATATTATGGTATAAGTGCACATTATGCAATCTAGGTTTTTGATTATTTGATATCTCTCGACCCGCTGAGTCCTGTACTTTCACGAGCTCTCGCCCGCAGACTCTGGGCTCGGCTAGGGCGGCCTGGACCCGACCCCGGCCCCTGGGGTGCGGGGCTACGGGACCCCGAATAGCTCACATTGGTGTATAAAAGGGCAGAGTAGCTGTGTCTACCACACTCACTCAGTGTAGCATCTCCCAAAGGTTAACTCCCATGAACACCCAGTGCCCAGATTCTCCTCATACACACCCTTCATGTTCTCTGTGCATGTGTGTACATGTGTGTGTGCGCGTGCGTGTGTTTGCGCAAGTTTCAGTGATTCACATCCATGAATATCGTCAGCTTAGGCTCATCTTTGTGACTTAAGCTGCTCCCCCAGCATGTGTCAGCCCATCTTCATTTGTTTTTCAAGAACATCAAGTTTCACCGAAAAGCCAAGCCTTGTATGATCTGAGGTTTGTGCCTCCAAGAGGCTACAAAATCTGCAAATATGCAATTCTTATTTATTTTTTTAATCGATTCTGAAGTAAAAAAAAAAAAAAAAACACCTATGGAAAGTGTTCTTAACCACTGAAAGATGTAACGACAAACAAACGACACAAAACTAGCAAAGTACGTCTCACACAAGCCTGCTGTTCAGTTTGATTTCTGCATTATTTCGAGTATTATTTGAACCTTTTCTGTTCGAACGATGTGCCGTAGTACAAAGGTAAACTGTGAAAATGAAACCATTAAAAGAAGCATATACTATATCACAACTGAACAGGTATTAGCAAGAGAAGAAGAAGAAGAAGAAGAAGAAAAGACACACACACACATACGACAAAGAAATGGCTGTTTAGTTGCTGTCTGTCTGCGGCAGAATATGACAATCTTATTAGTTTCTTTTAATCTGGCGTCCTTTTCTTAGCTGCCGCTCGTCTAACGCTCTCCCAACATCGACCCGGTTCGGTTCAGAACTGTCGCTGCGAGAGTCTTAGCACAGGAGCTCGGAGAAGCACCTCAGGCTACTGTAAAATGCCTTGCTCGTATGGTCAGCCCTTGGTCACTTGACTCAGTAATTTTGCACCGTACTTCTGTAGGTAAGAAACTGTAAATACATTAATGTTTGTATTGTATATGGATCCTGGGTTGTTACAATAGCCTTATTCACCTTTTTAGGAAAGTAAATGGAAAAAAACGTTCAGAAAAAATGGAATTACACTTCAGTAAAAACAGAGCATACTACTTTTTTGGTAAATAGCTTATGTAAATATTGACCAGAACCCAATAAAAACATTTTTTATAAACTCTTAAAGTAAGATGTTTTGTATAAAATTTGAATTTTTTGCTATGTATTTTAGCTAGCGCTCGATGGAAAGTCCGTGTCCTCCCCACTCCCTCCCCTTTTGCACTGTTTCCATGGTAATTTGGTTTAAAAAAAAAAAAGAGAGAAAAGTTGCCAAACCGACTGCTGCATATTTGTGCCATAAGTGTGTACCATAAATATTTATTGAATTAGTTTCTTTTTTGTTCTGTTATGATTTAATTTCAGTCCAGTTTTTAAGTAACACAGTATTATAATATTTGCATTGTTTGTTCGTCTCCCCTGGTTTTTTCTTTCGTCATGTTCATGGTTACTGGGTGGCTGTACCCTCTTCTCTCTCTCTATCTCTCTCTCTCTCTCTCTCTCTCCCCCTTCCTTGCAGTATGAGATGGCCAGGCTGTGAAAAAAACGGTTTTAACATTCAAAATTTAAAACAAGTTCAAAGTGAGGATAAATGACACACATTCCACCAGTCTGTTACAAACTGAAAATGTTTTTCAATAAAATGTTTTTCCTATGGATTCGCTGTCTGCTGGTGGTGCTTTGTTGCTCTGCTCTCCTGCCGCATGAATAAACCATGACGCTTTTTATTGCTTTATAGTAACCGGACAAGAAGCTGATCTGACAGACTTATTCACTTATTTAAGACCTTATTCATCTCGCTGCTACCGCTCAGTGTGTAAACTTTGAGCACACTCCTTAAAAATTCATAAAACATGTGATGATATATAATACAGTCCAAACACTGACTGCTTTGCTGGTTTAAGGAGTGAAATCAGAAACCAGGCCGCCTTATTTTCTTTTAGGGAAAACAGAAAGAGGTCAAACACACACAGACATGCAGATATTACCCCTGGGTAAAAAACAACTGGCATCATTGAACCGTTGCTTATTTTCATAACTATTTTTGGGTTTAAAATGACCTTTGGGTACTTTACAAGTTTATAGCAGTGCTACATTATTATGCTAAAGCCAGCAGCATCTCTAAAGTTCCTGGTTTCTTTTCAAACAAAGCCTCAAATTATTCATCTAAAGTACTGCTGGGAGTTTTCAGCAGAGTTTGAAATATTGTCCTGCTTGTACTGATGCCTGCAGACGATCTGCAACAGCCTGATGCAAATGAGAAAGAAGTGCAAAACAGCTGCATGAACAGCGATCATAGATGAGTAATCTCTTAATGAAGATCATTTTGCTGTTGCAGATGATCTGACCTTGTCAGCCACCGTAGATGACCTAAATTGAGTTTATTTGTGGCTGTGTCCAAAATGAATCACTCAACCCCTAACCCCCATATGGGATTTTACTATATAGTTGACTATGTAGTGAACTCAAGTTACCGGAGGTTTCGGACACTACATGGCATGACTCAATGCATGACGGGATGCCCACCACCGGTGAGTGACCATCGGATGGTCACTTCATTTTGCAATGCTTTATGGGAAATTTTGAGTCGCCTAAATAGGTCACTGGATTTGATTACTGAGATTTCGGACACCCCTCAAAATGGCACTAACCCCCATGTAGTCACCTATATAGAAGTTAGGGATCCATTTCCGACACAGCCTTTATTAAACAAGCCCTTAGGATTGAATGTTGTGTTTTTCTGGGGTGAGGACTGCATTTCCCATGAGCCCTTTCACTGCTGTGGTAATGCATCTCTTTGTTGTAGAAGCAAATGTGTAGACAAAGATATCCTTCTCAACGCTGATTTTCATTGTTTGAGACCACTTTCTGCAGGATTCAGATTTGTTGCCATGGCAACTTACCAACTCTGACGAAACACTTGATAAACTAGATAGATTTTAATGCCTGAAACAGCCTGTTTTTACCGTTTCTATATGGATTCTTACAAGAAATATTGGTAACACTTTACTTGACGCCAATCTCAAAAATAAATATATGTATAATGCGTTATAATCACATGATAGCACTGTTTAACTATAGTTATAAACACTCATAAATTATTATAATACCAGACCATACCTGATTATGATGTGTTACAACTGTTAACAACTCACTGACAATGCCCACATAGATAATGCAATGCAACAGTTGTTAACAGTCATAACACATTATAATACCTGACCTTATAAGTCATGATAAAATGCTTTATACGGTGTAATTATGATCATTAATGAGTGTTTATAATTATAGTTATACAGTGCTTTAACGTGACTATAACACATTATGAATGTATTTATAATGCCTTATAGAGATAGGCGTCAAGTAAAGTGTTAACGAAATATTCATTGTATCTATAATATAGAGTTGGTTGGAGAATTAGTGGAATACCTTTAAATGATTTAAGTCTTTTAGGTCCAGATGAACCGGCCTTAAATTACAGTAGCAGATCTGGTTTGGAGACAGTTTTGACTCTAAGTGTGACAAAGCGATAAAGGTGTGTCTGCTGTGTGTGGCGTGGCTCTCTCTCTCTCTCTTTGTTGGTGTAATATGGAGGCAGTGATTAAGGGATCGTGTTTCCTATCAGTGGGATGAAGGGCGCTCTCTGAAACAGAACCAGCACAGGGCCAAATTATCGCTGAGCTGGTGAGTCAGGCTCCTCACTTTGTCAGCCAACATTTCCAGGCAACTAGCCTGTATAACCAGCCGAGCTGCCAGTTAGTCAGGACGAGGACCTGCCAGAACACAACCAGGCAGAAACTCCGCCACAACAGGCCAGGCTCCCCTTCCACTAGAGCTAGATAGTACCGCCGAATCAGCTCGTATAACCCGTCATCTTGCCACCATTAACTCAGTGTTCAGCCAAAGACTCCGCGGGCCAGAGTATCAGGCAACAAGCAAGATTATAGCTGTGACAGCCAGCCGTCCAATCAGCCAACCTTCTCAGCCAAGTCCACATTAGGGCGGTCAGAGTCTTGGCTTATTGTTGTAAACACTCGGTCACCGGGTCTGTAATTACTTTCTGGAAAAGGTTGAATTTGATGTACAAACCTTGTGGTGAAATTGGACGTTCCTGAAATTGTTCCTAAAAACCGTGTCTTTGTTTCTCCTTTAGGTTTTACTTCAGCCTTAAGGACATAAAACTCTGGAGGTCTAATCAGCCTTGGATGTACTCGCTGCGTAATTTCCCTGATTTTTACAAATGAGCAAATTGAACATCGCGCACAGCTGGATCCAAAAACGTCGACGAGGAGCCAGCGAAACAACAACACCTCTGAAAAGAAGAGAGGTTTAGCACGAGTCAGAGATTTGTCAGGTGCAGCCAAACCCTTGAACCCCGGAACATGAATATATTTCTGTCTGTGGTAGATGAGGAATCCAGAAAGCCCCTCCAGACCAAAGTTTTACATTCACCTGGGTGGGACCTTGAGAGCAGTGGTTTTTGTGAGGCAGAATAGCATTACCTCGCTGTAATCTTGTAAAACCTCTTTTGTTTGGAGGCCTGAATGTTTGTTAAAGTGATTATTTTGGAAAAATCAGAGCCTCAGGAGTCATATTAGCTCTTTAAAGAGTATTTTAAAAAGAAGGTTTGTTTGTTAGTTTGATGTTTACATCCTAAAACCAAAGTCCTCTGGTGTGAATTAGACATAAGGTTCTTTCAAGCCCTCAAGAATCCTCCTCCTCTGTTGTTTATTACATTTTGTGCATTAAACGACAAGAATCTGACTCAGAGAAAGTTAGAAAATGAATTAAAAAGTACATGAAATCTGACTAGACAAAAACAAAACTTTACTAATACTATTCTGGACTGAACACTTGTTAGTTGGACTTGTTTGCTGCTCTGAGTCAGACACAGGTGACACTCGAGAGCAGATGACGAAGAGATGATGAATAATCAAAACTCCAGAAACGTGAGAGAATGGAGACGAAAATCAAACACAGTCTGGGAGGAGGTGAGGCCAGTGTCGGAGGGATTAAGTGATTTCACTGTTTCTATTTTCGTCTCTTTTTCGACACGAGCCGCAGGTGCGGACACCTTCCATTCATCCACACAAAGGCGAGGGGTGGGGCCGCTGTCTGACACACAATACCTGAGCGGGGAGCAGGCGAGAGAACCGAAACACAAATCCGAGGAGTGTGTGAACTTGTGTGTTGGTGTGTGTTAGTGTAAGAGGGCTGCTAAAGGTGTTGGCTGTGTTTACATACCTGTGCAGCATGTCAACAAGGAAACCACCTCAAAATTTGGTGATGGGAAAAGTGGACTTCATACAGGATCAGTGTTTAAACTGAAACTCTCTGTTTGCTACGTCGGGATCAACGTATTTCACGCCCTTTGACCTCAGCGGTTATGAAACAGTGGACTTTGAATGACCTGAGATGATCCTCACATTTCTGCATCTACCGCTCTGTCTAACATCAGTCTGGTTCTGCTCGAGGGTTCTGCCTGTTAACCCTTCTACCCTGTTAGGGTCGCTGTTGACCCGGTTCGATCAATATCTAATAATAAGAGCAAAAACTGAAATCACAAGTGCACTGTCAGGAAACACACTGACAGTCAGATCCTCTTCCAATCATGAGAGATTTGGAAATTCTCATTTTGCCATGTTTTGTCCAGACATGTGAGATCAGTTCAGTATAGATGTCTGTGTGAGGGGTATACTGACAAAAAAAGGCCCAGAGACCCATGACAAAAAATATTATAATCAATATTTTCATGGATAATGAAGTCTAACAAGGTAACACAGCGATGAGAACCAAACTGGATGTTAGAGAAATGTTTTTAGTGTCATTTACAGCTGATTTAAGACATGGATCAAAACCTTTAACCTTCAACATGGTGGGTAAGTAGTGAAAGCTAACTCAGGAGGAAGGGTAAAGGAAGGTCTTCCTCTAGGTGGCTTGTTGTGAATCGGCACCATATTAATAAAGATTGACTGACTGATATATTAAAGTACATAACCAAAGATACTTTCGATGTACGAATATCAAACTCTGAAGACTTGGACAAACCTTCATTCAGCTCTGAGTAGCTGGTGAATTAGTGACACATTTCTGTCCCCGTAGGATCTTTGGTTTTGGATTTGAGGGCTTCACACATTATTAAATAAAACAGCCTGACATCAATTTGCACTAACTCGCATGAACATAGAGGAATGTGTAACAGGGGCGGCCTGAGGACCACAGTCGATTGTCTTCACCTAAAATCCTCATTCATGTGACGGATGTCTCCAAAGTGAGCACATGGAGAAGGAATCTGTTTTCCTGCATGAGTCAGAGAGCAGGAATCAGGAGTTTCTGTGCGGATTATCCTCTTATTGTAGGATGTGGGTGCAGCCTTATGATTTATGTGTGCACTCCCTCCACAGATCAGAAACTAGGATGGATTTTAACATTCACATGACACCACCATATGCATCACTGAGTAATTTACTTACTCAACCAAGCTTATCTGTGCAGATGAGTCCGGGGTTTCAGCCCACGGATTCTGCAGCTCGGATCACACGCAAATTTCCTCCCGTGGTAGACCCGAGCTTTCTGAAGCTGCGGCATTAGTATGTAAAAGAGTGCGGCGTTAAGAGTTGTTTTTTTCCTTTCATTCACACCCTCAGAACAAGATGTG